CACAGAAACGCCGTTTACCTTCCCGCCTGAGCGGTACCTATTTATCTACTTGCACTTTGACATGCTTTCGAACTGCTAGGTTGGCAGGAGCAGGGGCTGAGCAACAGGAGCTCACCCCATTGCGGGGATTCGAACCACCGACCTTCTGATCGGCAAGTTCTAGGCTCTGTGGTTTAACCCACAGCGCCACCCGCATCCCCTCAGCTGGGTTATCCTTTGTCAAATACCATGGAAATGGGAGTGGACCAGTTAAGCAAAACTATTCTAGTCCATTCCTGGCCTGAGGTACTCATGGACCCACATGAAGAGCTGGGCAGGACTTTGGGAGGCATCCACAAGTTCACCTTCCAAGAGTTGAGGTATCTTGCTGAGGTTTGTAGGTATGAATTTTAGGCACCCACATGGGGCATGTTAGGTTGAAGGTCCTTGGGCTAGGCTGGGAAGCCTGTGGCTCTTCAGATGTTGTGGGCCTCCAACTCCCATCAGTCTCATCCAACATGCTTATTGGTTAGAGATAAAGGCAATTGTAGTCCAGCAATATCTAGAAAGGGGCAGGAGTGAGGTCCTGCTTCAGGTTTTCCATAGGCATCTGGGTGGCCACAGTAAAAACAGAATGCTGGACAAGATGACCGACCCAGCAGGGCTCTTCTTAGGTTCTTAAATAAAGTATGTTTAGGATTGCAGCCTTCATCTGGACTGACGGTCCTTCAGCTATGAACATGGAATCCAATTTTTACTCTGTTCTTAAGCGTGGATGCATTGAAAGAATGGAGAAAGAGAAAACGATCTGTCCTTTTATCTGTCCCTGATGGCTGTTCTATAAGGTGGTAGAGATATGAAAGTGATTAGTCTGCATAAAGTGTCCTTTTAGCATGCAGAAGAGGGGGCTCCTCTCCATCCTCTGTCGCTTGGGCCTGGCTTTCCGTTGGGCTGAGAGACGTCCCTTCTGTTGCTATGGAAACCTCTCCCAGTGATGTGTTTTGGCAAACCACTGGCTCTCCGTAGAATTTCACTAGCTGGGGGCTGGGGAGAAGCAGTTTTGGGGGTGTGGATAAAACCTAGATTGTTACTAAACATTCACACTCTCCTCCCTACCCCCAACAAGAGGATGTTTGGGTCTGATCAGATGTTTCTCCCTTTCGGTTAGTGATGGTTTTGAGGAGAATCTATCTCATGTGTAAGACAAGGGTAAAATGTGTGTGTGTGTGTGTGTGTGTGTGAGAGAGAGAGAGAGAGAGAGAAAGGTGTCAGATTATCTCCCCATTTCACTGCCATATAACTGATTGTGCTCCCACTAAATCCATTACTGGGCTTTCAGCCAAAAACACTGTACTGACCATGGGGGAAAATGGCCACTTGGCTTGATTCTTGCATTGTCCACCTAGCAACCAACCTATAGGTCACCTTGGACAGCAGGGGAGAATAAATTCAGGCCACATCTGCACCAGACATTTAAAGCACTATTAGGGCTAAAAGGTAAAGGACCCCTGGACGGTTAAATCCAGTCAAAAGCAACTATGGGGTTGTAACGCTCATCTCGCTTTTAAGGCCGAGGGAGCCGGTGTTTGTCCACAGACAGCTTTCTGGGTCATGTGGCCAGCATGACTAAACCGCTTCTGGTGCAATGGAGCACTGTGACGGAAACCAGAGCACACAGAAACGCCATTTACCTTCCCGCTGCAGTGGTACCTATTTATCTACTTGCACTGGCGTGCTTTCGAACTGCTGGGTTGGCAGAAGGCTGGGACAGAGCAATGGGAGCTCACCCCGTCACACTGTTATACCACTTGAACAATCATGGCTTCCCCCAAAGCATTCTGGGAAGTGTAGTTCATTAAGGGTGCGGAGTGTCATGAGGAGGCCCTCATTCCCCAGAGTTCCCTGGGAAGAGGGATTAAGCCACTTTGAGAATTGCAGCTCCAAGAAGCGGACTGGGGTCTTCTAACAAATCTTGGCAGCCTTAACAAACTACCATTCCAGGATTCTTTGGAGGAAGCCATAAAGCAATATAACAGTGCTTTAAATGTCTGGTGGGGAAGAGGCTTCAGGTTCCAGGCAGATGAGCTTTGGTCATGAAGACCTGTGGCCCTGTCTGCAGACAGAGAAAAATTATTTCATGAGGCTTTCTCCCCCATAATAATAATATTAATAATAATAATACTTATAAATAATAAATAAATAAAATCCCTTGCTCGTATTGGCTCAGTTTCCTTCTAACTAGGGCACATTTCCTATTTGATGCCATTTTAATGATTGTAAGGTGATTTGCTATTATTATTATTTATTAAATTTGTATACCGCCCTATGCCTGCAGGTCTTGGGACGGTTCACAAGATAAAAATCTCAATATAAAAAGATAAAATAAGTGATAAAAATGATTTTTAAAAAATTGTTCGTGTTATACTGGAACAATACTGCCCTGGAAACTGTTGGGTTTTAGGCCGATATGTCAGGGCATGGCCATAGCCAGGATTTATTTTTGGGCCGAGCAGGCTTTATGTGGGAGGAGCAGAAGCAAGTTATCTGCAACACAATTAGTCAGTTAAGTATTTTTATTTATTTACTTGATGGGGGGGTGGCAGCTGGCACCCTGCCCTCCCAGCTACGCTCACGTGCCAGGGTATAAAATAAATTTGGGAGTCTGACCCATATTTTGACCCAGGGAAGCACGAAGGGAACATTTTCCTTCTGGTGTGCTTGACTTCTGCCCAGCGCTTGTAACAAATCCCCCACCCCTTTCATTTTTTCGTGTCCCCCCTCCTGCATTCCATTTTTTAATGAGATCAGGAGGAGTAAAAGAAGAATCTGTCACATTTTGTCTCTTGAGGCTGCTTTCCTAAATTGTTCTTCTCGGCCACCCCTTGCAAGCCTGCTACAAGGGGGTTAATTGGGTTGTTATTTTTAATTTTGAATATATATTTTGTGGTTTTACATTGTGTGAACTGCCCTGAGACCTCCGGGTATAGGGTGGTATATAAATTCAATTAATAATAATAATAATAATACTCCCTCAACTATACGTGGCACATAACAAACTAGGACAGCTGTGGTGGCTGATGGGAGTTGTAGTCCAAAATATCTGGGCCCAGCTGTGGTGGCTGATGGGAGTTGTAGTCCAAAATATCTGGAGGGCCCCCAGTTTGGCAAAACCCTCCCTGGAAAATAGCCTCCAGCCCTAATATTTATCCCCCAGCGTACAAGAGTTTTCCATGGTGCCATCTGCCTTTTCCTGCCTCGAGGGCCAACTCTTTGGGCAATTAGTTCGTTAAGTCCTCTGGGGCCAAGGGATTAATTAGCAGTCACTTTGAACTGATTAATAATAGATGGAGCTGGGTTTGTAACCGCTGCCAGCAGCCAGCTACTAAGCAATTCATTAAAACAGCAACCCTTGGTGCAGTGCATCCTGCAGGCCTCCTGGAGTGGAGCGTGGAGCGTGGCTAAGCAAGTCAAAATAAAAGGGGGAAAGAACGAGGTGCATGTCGCATAGTGGTTACGTTAGAGTGTTGCACAAGGACCCGGGAGACCAGGGTTCGAATCCCCACACAACCGTGAAGCTCTCTGGATGACCTTGGACATGTCACTGCCTCTCAGCCTGATCTACCTCACAGGCTTGTTGTGGGGATTAAATGAGGAGGGGGTAGAGAGAGAAGCACGTCGGCCACTTTGAGCTCCTTGGAGAACACAGGTGGCTATCAATGCAGGAAATTAAAATAAATCAATAGACGTGCTCTCTTAGGAACATAAAGGTAAAGGGGCCTCTGACCATTAGGTCCAGTCACAGACGACTGGGGTTGCGGCGCTCATCTCACTTTATTGGCCGAGGGAGCCGGCGTATAGCTTCCGGGTCATGTTGCCAGCAAGACTAAGTTGCTTCTGGCGAACCAGAGCAGCACACGGAAACGCCGTTTACCTTCCTGCCAGAGCGGTACCTATTTATCTACTTGCACTTTGATGTGCTTTCAAACTGCTAGGTTGGCAGGAGCTGGGACCGAGCAACGGGAGCACACCCCGTCGCAGGGATTTGAACCGCCGACCTTCTGATTGGCAAGCCGTAGGCTCAGTGGTTTAACCCACAGCAGCCAAAGCAGTAGTCTAGCTCAGTACTGTTTACACTGACGGGCAGCGGCCAGGATGCCAGGTTGGCGGCTGGGGAAAGCAAAATGTCACTTAGAGAAGGATCTGAAATATTTTCCTTAAAGCCTGAATCAGTTAAATTCTGGATTGCTTTATGTGATGTTTTAATGTGCTGTAAACCACAGAGCCTAGGACTTGCCGATCAGAAGGTTGGCGGTTCGAATCCCCCCAACAGGGTGAGCTCCCGTTGTTCGGTCCCTGCTCCTGTCAACCTAGCAGCTCCCTCGGCCAATAAAGCGAGATGAGTGCCACAACCCCTGAGTTGGCCACGACTGGACCTAATGGTCAGGGGTCCCTTTACCTTTACCTTAAACTGCTTTGAGGTTTTTTAAAAAAATATATAAAACAGTATAGGTATTATTATTATTATTATTATTTATTATTTTATTCCTGGAGGGGGTGAAACAGAGCTAGACAGCCCATTGTGGTGATTGCAGCCCAGGTTTAAGGTGCCATCGCTGCCAGCAGCTATCTCTAGAATTTTTAGATTACAGTCTCTCCCTGCCATACCTGAAGATACCAGGGATTGAACCTGAGACCCTCTGCACACCTGTTCCACAGCATTGCTAAAGCTAAGCTGATGTGGACCTGACCTTTCCCTTAGATAGGGAGGCCTCTGAGAGCACCAGGTAACAGCAAAATCCAATAAATAAATAGTTTCCAGCCGATGTGGTTTCTATGAGGATCTGAGCCGCTAGACCAGACTTTATCTATTAACTCCTTGGCTGTCACTGGGAGCAGAGTGGCCATATCTATAGGCAAGGCCCCTCACTCTTATTCTGCTGTCTTCCCTTCCCTCCGCTACAGGCCACATGAAGCACTCTGCTCTTCCCACCCTCCACCCCTGACACCGGCCACAGGTGGCCATGGGGTTCCTAGGCTCCAAGAGCTCCTTGTTGGCGTTCCACCTGGGCCTCATCGCTGGCTTTGTCAGCACCTTCTACCTCATGGGCAACCTGACGTGGGAAGGGCCCCCACGCCTTGGCTCCCAGCTGCCGCGTGGCTACAAGGACCCGGAGTGGATTGTCGATAGATCAGCTCTCTTCAGCGTGGCACACCCGCACCAGGAAGGTAAGGGCTGGAGGGGTTGTTGTTTAGTCGTTTAGTCGTGTCTGACTCTTCGTGACCCCCTGGACCAGAGCATGCCAGGCACTCCTGTCTTCCACTGCCTCCCGCAGTTTGGTCAAACTCATGCGGGTAGCTTCGAGAACACCGTCCAACCATCTCGTCCTCTGTTGTCCCCTTCTCCTTGCGCCCTCCATCTTTCCCAACATCAGGGTATTTTCCAGGGAGTCTCCTCTTCTCATGAGGTGGCCAAAGTATTGGAGCCTCAGCTTCAGGATCTGTCCTTCCAGTGAGCACTCAGGGCTGATTTCCTTAAGAATGGCTTCAGGATTGTTCTCCTGTACTATTTCAGGCACGTGGTTTATATACTTATATTTATATCCTTATGTATGTGTTTGCCTTGTACATTTATGAACACACACACACACACACACACACACACACACACACACGTGTGTATATGGCCTTAGAATTCCTATAACAAAAGGGTGGGAGGAATCTCTGTTGGACTACCACTCCATTGGTCTCCAGTCACTGGCCATGTTGAATGGGGTTGATGGGAGCTGGGAATGCAACAATGTCAGGAAGGATGCAGGTTCCTTAGCGGTGCAACAGAGAAATCTAAATAGGGGCCTTTAGGTAGGAGCAGTGCTTTTTTTCTAAACAAAAATGTTTAGGGGTCCTCTCATTTTGACTCAAGAAAATCACCATTTTATAGTTCAAATTGGGAAAAATAAACACAGTAAATGGACAAAAGTACAAAGATTCACAAAACATTTAAGGGTATGCGTACCCCTGCATACCCCCAGAAAAAAGCACTGGTTGGAAGTATGTCTTCCACTCTGTTTGGGGTTACCTTTGAAAGTGACTCAGAAACTACAACTAATTCAGAATGCGGCTGCATGGGAGTAGCCACCGGGACCATATAACACCGGTCTTGAGAGATCTGCATTGGCTCCCAGTACCTTTCTGAACAGAATTCAACGTGTTGGTTCTGACCTTTAAAGCCCTAAATGGCCTCGGTCCTGTATACCTGAAGGAGTGTCTCCGCTCCCATCGTTCAGCCTGGGCACTGAGGTCCATCTTCGAGGGCCTCCTACCCATGATAACTGAGATCAGGTGTCCCAGTTCATCCCCTCCCCACTCCCCCGTGGAACCTGCCCCAGCCATTCTGTTGGCTGGGGCTCACTCCCAGGGAGCCTGATCTTCTTCCCTTCAGAACAGAATGCAAACTATACAATAAACCAATAAAACAGTAGAAACTAATAATAATTAAAAAAATGACAATTATACTAAAGTTAAACTAATCCCCAGCCCCAACAGAGCAAAAACAAAACAAAAAACCAAAATTTCAAAAGCCACAGATTAAAAAACATTTAAAAACATTTAAAAGCATTTTCAACATTTGCCCCAACCCCAGAGTTTGTTCCAGTGAGTCTGGGCTCTTCAGGACTCACAGCAGGGCAATGTCCCTCTGGTCTCCCAGGAGTCTAAAGCAGAGGAGGGCAAGTCTGGGCCCTGCTTCCCAGGCCAGGTAGAAAGGGCCTTGCAAGGAGTGGCCAAACAGACAGATAAACAGGGAAGGTTCCTCTACTGTCTCCACTTTCAATTAACAATTTTGTGTTGGTATATGAAGCCCTGATGTTTTGTGAGTGGGAAGTCTATAAATACTTTAATAAATAAACAAAGTGCGTGGTACAAGCCCTATAACCGGAAGCGTCTATTGTGGAATATGCTAACTCTGTGGCCTCCTCTTTCTCAGGTGAGGAGAGCAGCGTGGCTGACGAACTGTATGACAAGGTGCGGATCCTGTGCTGGGTGATGACAGGCCCCAGTAACTTGGAGACGAAGGCTCGCCACGTCAAGGCCACCTGGTCGCGCCACTGCAACGTGGTCCTCTTCATGAGCTCTGTGCAGGACGACAACTTCCCCACTGTCGGGCTGGGAACCAAGGAAGGCCGGGACCAGCTCTACTGGAAAACCATCCGGGCTTTCCAGTACGTGCATCAGCACCACTTGGAGCAGGCGGACTGGTTCCTCAAGGCCGACGACGACACCTTTGTGGTGGTGGACAACCTCCGGTGGCTGCTCTCCAACTACACCGCCGACAGGCCCATCTACTTTGGCAAGCGCTTCCGGCCCTTTGCCAAGCAAGGCTACATGAGCGGGGGAGCCGGCTACGTCCTCAGCAAAGAGGCCCTGCGGCGCTTTGTGGCTGGCTTTGAATCCAAGGTGTGCAGCCACACGACTTCGGTGGAGGACCTTGCCCTGGGCCAGTGCATGGAGAAGATGGGCGTGGAGGCTGGGGACTCACGGGACACAGAGGGGAGAGAGACCTTCCATCCTTTCGTGCCGGAATCTCACCTGACGGAGAAGTTCTCGAAAAGCTTCTGGTACTGGAACTATTGCTATTACCCCATTGTGGAGGTAGGTGGCTGTATCCTGTTTTGGGAAGGGGCAGGGAAGGTGGAGTGGCTCTCCTGGGTTTTGGAAAGGAGAGATGCTGGGGTTGAACGTGGGACCAAGCCCTGTGCTCTGGGGCAGTGTATCAGGAAGAAAATCATCTTTCACAGCCCTGTCTCACAGTGCTGAACTGTCAGGAGCTGGAGTCAAGGAGTAGGTCAGCAATCAGAGAAAAACACAGTGCTGTGCTGGCTAGGAATGAAGAGAGTTGAAGTTAGACCTCCAAACAGGCAGCAGCTGCCTCTCAGCTTTAGTTTGTGTGCATGGATGAGAGTTTATCTACCTGAAACAGCCTGAGCTCCTTATTCATGTTAGCTCTGAGGTTAAGTCCCGTCCAACTTCAATGGGTTTTACCCCAAGTAAGTGTGTGTATGGGGATGCGGGTGGCGCTGTGGGTTAAACCACAGAGCCTAGGACTTGCCGATCAGAAGGCTGCTGTTTCGAATCCCCGTGACAGGGTGGGCTCCCGTTGCTCGGTCCCAGCTCCTGCCAACCTAGCAGTTCGAAAGCACGTCAAAGTGCAAGTAGATAAATAGGTACCACTCTGGCGGAAAGGTAAACGGCGTTTTCGTGCACTGCTCTGGTTCGCCAGAAGCAGCTTACTTATGCTGGCCACATGACCCGGAAGCTGTACGCTGGCTCCCTCGGCCAATAAAGCGAGATGAGAGCCACAACCCCAGAGTTGGCCACAACTGGATCTAATGGTCAGGGGTCCCTTTACCTTTTTAAGTGTGTGTATGGCAATAGGCCAAAGTGACCTATAATCAAGGCCCAGCCTGCTCCTTCACGCATTGCAGCTGTCAGAGCTGATAACGTTTTAATAGGGCAATATTTGCTGCTCTCACCTACTCCCGGTATTTATTTAACCAGAACAACAAACATCCTCTTTGCTACATCAGTGCAGGACTTGCATTCAATCCTGGGGCCTGTTGTCCTTGGTGGGGCATGGTAGTTCCTGGCAGGCAGCTGGCCTTACGTTTCCCGAATCAGAAGTCTCCTCTGATAAATTCTGTGCATGCCATGGCTAGGAGAAGCACCTTCAACAATAGGGACAGGGGTGAGACTTTGCTCTTTGGTTAGGGAGAGTGTCTTTGCCTTTCATTGATGAAAGATTCTGGAGGTACGATCCCAGATTCATGTGGTTTTCTAACAGAGGCAAGAGGTCTGTGTCCTCCAGCCATTCCCAAAGCATTTCCCTCCAGCTGTCGGTGATGTGTGGATTTTACCCAGTGAGTGGTGCTCACTTCTTCAGGAAACCTGGTTTCATTCCTTTCCTGAGGCGTGTTTTTCCACCCTGAGCTTTCAGCAGTTGGAAGTTTCTCTGTGACGGCAGCAATTTGTGGCACCCCTGTGGATAAGGTGATAGAGTTAATAGCATTAGGCACTTTGCCCTGCTTCATGCAGGAGGATGTAGCAAGGGAAGAAGCAAAGAGGCACCCCATCCCACCTTTGGTTTTCCTTTTTTTAATCTGAGTGGCATATATACTGGGTACTAACAGGTACTTAGTCAGAAAAGGGGAATGTTCGGAATACGGAAGGTAAAGTTGCCCGAAATATGAGTGGCCTGAGAACTGAGAAGACCGAGGGGATTAAGTAATTAGGTTAACTTGTGTTTAGCTGTGAGATGCATGAAAGAGAGCCAACAGGATTGCTCTGCTTCAGGGAGACTTTTTTGTCTAGTGTGAGTCTGGGCTGTTTGTTCTCTGGAAACTTCATTTATACCAGGCAGGCAGGGGCGGCACGGTCTTGCAAGATCTCACTGGAAACCAGCACTGCTTCTTCACCAGTGGTGCTGGGGTAGGCAGGTTGCCCTCAGAGATGCTACCCTAAGGCTTCTGCTGCCTGAGGTAGCTACCTCAGCCCACCTCATGGCAGACAGGCCCCAATACCAGGGATAAGGAACTGGATCTGACCAGTGGGTGGGGTCCTTATCTCCATGGCGCACTGTGGGCCAAGTTTTACAGGTGGGTGTGGCCAGTCACCTGACATCATTCTGTTTTTCTAGCCCAGGTTTCCTCAACCTTGGCCCTCCAGATGTTTTTGAGACTACAATTCCCATCATCCCTGACCACTGGTCCTGCTAGCTAGGGATCATGGGAGTTGTAGGCCAAAAACATCTGGAGGGCCAAGGTTGAGGAAGCCTGTTCTAGCCTGTCTTTCACCATCTTCCATTTTTCATAGACCAAATGGAAGGGGCATGAAGTGGCTGCTCTGCTGAAACTAAGCAGACCTAGGACTGGCCAATAGCTGAATGGGAGAACACCTGGAACCTTGAGCTCCATCGTGGAAGAAAGTTGGGAGGACATAAATGCAACCCAGATATTGGTAGACTACAACTCTTGTGGCAGTTGCCTCCTAGGATGGGTCATAAGGAAAGGGTTAAAATAGGTGTGATGTGATTGGCCAGTGAGAATGCAAGGGGGGAATAAAAGTTAGAGTGGGAGGTTTTGAAAGTCAGTTGAGGTTTGGGAGTTGAGGGTTGAGGTTTGGGAGTAGAAGAAGGAAGAGGGGGGTTTAGGTGTGGGTTGGTAGACTTGTATTGTGAGAGAGTGAGAGGAATTGTTAGGTGGAGTCAGATAGATAGTTGGAATAATCAGTTTGGAGTTGTTAGGAACTAAGAATAAGAAACTGACAAGAGAAAAATTAACTGAAACCATAAGCTTGTTCCTGCATTTTAAAATAAACTTGCTTATTTGTTTATGTTAACAACTGACTGGACTCCGTGTGTCCCCGTGAGATACGGGGTGGTGGCAGCGGAAAAAGCAATCACAGTGGCGGCACAGGGTCAATAGACCGTCAAACGTCCGGGGTCCCTGTGTGTGATCGCCACAACTCCCATCATCCCCAGACAGCATGGTCAGTGGTCAGGGAAGATGAGAGTTGCAGTCTAACAGCATCTGGAGGGCCACAGCTTCCCCAATCCTGATTTAATAAATGAATTAATTTTTTTTTAATTCCCGAGTCCATTGCCAAACACACCCAGATTCTTTGGAGAGTTGCTGTCCGGTGCAGAATACCTTCTGCAAAATAAGCAAGTACCGTATTTTTCGCTCTATAGGACGCACTTTTCCCCCTCCTAAAATTGAGGGGAAATGTGTGTGCGTCCTATGGAGCGAATGCAGGCTCCTTGGCTTCAGCCATAGCAACGCTAAGCCTCCGAAGGGCAGAGGGAGCACTCCCTCCGTGCTCCAAAGGCTTCGCATTGCTTTCGCTGAAGCCTGGAGTGCGAGAGACGTCAGTGCGCACCGACCCCTCTCGCTCTCCAGGCTTCAGGGATAGCCGTGCGCAGCCCCTCCAACAGGGAGAGGCTGCATGTGGCTATGGCTTCTTTAGCCCCGCGCAGCCTCTCCTGGGAAGAAGAGGTTGCGTGGGGCTAAAGAGGAAGCCAAAACAGCCAGCGGTATCCATCCTCCGGCAGGGAGAGGTTGCGCGCAGCCTGTACGCTGCTCTTAGGGGCTGGGGGGGAAATAAGATTTTTCCCCCTTGATTTCCCCGCCCCCTAAAAACTAGGTGCGCCCTATGGTCCGGTGCACCCTATGGAGTGAAAAATACGGTATGTACTTATTTATTTGCATAATTAGTTCAGCTTGCTAAATGTTGCAGATTCACAACTTTTACTTCTTTCTTGATTATACAGAGTGCACACCCAGCCCTATTCTCATTGGATCGTGCAGCTGGCATGGCCGGGGGTCGTGGATGATGGATTCAAATTCCCATTACCCCTGACGGTTGACCATGTTGGCTAAGGGTGATGGGAGCTGGAGCCCCACAAAATCTAGAGGGCCTCAGCTTCTCCATTCCTGACTTAGAGAATGCCTGGCATTTCTGATAAGCATGCATTTCTGCATGTGGGGTTCTTATAAAGGAATGATTGGCACTGAGCTTTGCGTTGCCTGACCCTTTTAGGAGGCCGTTTACCAGTTCCACCCAACCCCCAACCTCATGTTTCCTGAAGCTTATTATGCCCCTTTTCCTTAATCCAACTAAGGCTGTTGCTTTAGTCAGTAATGGGATGAAGGTTTCCTGCGACATACATAGATGGTAGGAGTGCACAGCAAACCAAAAGGCTATGCTTGCTGAGATGGATGTAAGGGAAAGAGGAAGGAGCAGGCCATTGGAACACTAGACCTGTCTCAGCAGAAGGACTCTTGTCTCCCCATGTCCTCGACCACACCTGACCTGCAAACCAGCCTGTGTGCTCGACCAACACGTGGGATGAACTTGGAGTCCTGATTCAGCACAGGGGGATTAGCCCTTTACCCATTGTGTAATCGGTCCTCGGATAACAAAACTGCAGCTTAGAATCAAGGATGCGTAGTTTGATCGCAAAACCGGATTCTTGATCAACGTGCAGGTTGTTCCAGAGTTATTGCAGGGAGGATGAACTGGGCAAGCAGCAATCAGATTGGCAGCTTTGTTACATCTGTGGCTGTGTCACAAACCAATATTGTAGGCTGCCCTGATGGATAGGTAAGCAGGCAGGGTCCTCCATTGCACCACAAGTTTTCCGGTGAGAGCATCCTCAGATTTGTCTGCAGCTTCTGCCGTTCTCTGTGGTTGTCACTTCTGCTTCTTGTGGCATATGGAAAGAAAAGGGATGTGGGTGGCGCTGTGGTCTAAACCACTGAGCCTCTTGGACTTGGGGATCAGAAGGTCGGCGGTTTCAATCCCCACAACGGGGTGAGCTCACGTTGCTCTGCCCCAGCTTCTACCAACCTAGCAGTTTGAAAGCACGCCAGTGCAAGTAGATAAATAGGTACCGCTGTGGCTGGAAGGTAAATGGCATTTTTGTGTGCTCTGGCTTCCGTCACAATGTTCTCTTGTGGTTTAGTCCTGCTAGCCCCATGACCTGGAAAGCTGCCTGTGGACAAATGCTGGCTACCTCAGCCTGAAAGCAAGATGAGCGCCGCAACCCCATAGTCGCCTTTGACAGGACTTAACCATCCAGGGGTCCTTTAAAGGTAAAGGGACCCCTGACTGTTAGGTCCAGTCATGACCGACTCTGGGGTTGCGGCACTCATCTCGCTTTATTGGCCGAGGGAGCCGGCATACAGCTTCCGGGTCATGTGGCCAGCATGACTAAGCCGCTTCCGGCGAACCAGAGCAGCGCACAGAAACGCCGTTTACCTTCCCGCCGGAGCGGTACCTACAGTGGTGCCTCGCAAGACGAAAATAATCCGTTCCGCGAGTCTCTTCGTCTAGCGGTTTTTTTGTCTTGCGAAGCAACCCTATTAGCGGATTAGCGCTATTAGCGGTTTAGCGGCTATTAAAGGCTTAGCGGATTAGCGGCTAAAAGGCGCTTAGCGGCTTAGAAAAAGGGGGGGGAGCAAAAAAAATCACAAGACTCGCAAGACTTTTTCGTTTTGCGAAGCAAGCCCATAGGGAAATTCGTCTTGCGAAGCGCATCAAAAAACGGAAAACCCTTTCGTCTAGCGGGTTTTTCGTCTTGCGAGGCATTCGTCTTGCGGGGCACCACTGTATTTATCTACTTGCACTTTAACGTTCTTTCGAACTGCTAGGTGGGCAGGAGCAGGGACCGAGCAACGGGAGCTCACCCAGTCACAGGGATTCGAACCGCCGACCTTCTGATCGGCAAGTCCTAGGTTCTGTGGTTTAACCCACAGCGCCACCCGCATCCCTTTTCCAGGGGTCCTTTACCTTTGCCTTTATGGGAAAAGGACAGCTGTTCAGCTAGTGAAGCAATAGTGAAGGGGGTGGCTTTCCTCGCATGCTTCGTGGTCCACAGTTAACCCTGGTTTTCCTTTGCTCCTCCTAGGGTCCCCAGTGTTGCTCCGACTTGGCCGTCTCCTTTCACTACGTGAGCTCAGAGTTGATGTACACCTTGGAATACCTGTGCTACCACCTTCGTGCTTACGGCTACAGGTATCGCTACCACCCGCCTTTGCCTGAGAATGCTGCTCATCTCCAGCCCCGCCCTCGGGGGGAAGCCCCAGAGAGGACCAATAGTACTACACTGCAGACCGAGAAGAAGGTGTAGGGGCGGATCCTTGGCACGTGACCCTTGAGCAGAGCGGCCCGGCCCAGCCATCCTTGGACAAGACCAGTGCCCCTGTTATGGGGCCATCTACGCAGGAAAAAGCAACAAGAGCTGAGCAGGCCACAAGCCGAGAGATTTCTTTTAATTCCTAAAGGTGTGTGTGCACGCCTACTTGCCACACAAGGGGTCTTGCACATGGCAGAGGAGCCATTCTTACTTGTGTGCTGAGAAGCAAATGCCTGGCCTACTATGGCCCCGCTTGGCCTATCCTATTCTCGCTCGTTTTCCTACTGCAAACTGGAGAGGCCCAAGCCTTCCATGTGCTGTGAAGCGGTTTAATGCTTAGTAAGTGCTCTTGATGCACTGGGGTGGGGAGACTGGTCCCTGGGTGGTGGGGAAGAGGAGGGGATAGAGGGGCTCTTATGGGACCCGGAAGGGAGAGCCGAACTCACAAGGGGTGTGTGTGTGTGCCTGCTGCCACCACAAGAATGATGCACAACTGCATGGCCATAGACTGAGCAAGGAGAGCACCACAGAGTAGGGCTAGGGCTTTACCACTTGAGAAAGAATAGTAAGGGTCGTGGCTGGTCAGTGGTTGGTGCCATTGTGGTAAGAGGGACCCAGCACTACAAGAGGGGGACACGCGGTCTGTTTGCACCCTTGCAAGCTGTGTTTGGGGTCTCACAGTTGATATTATAGGATGAAGTGCTTGTATCTCCTGTGCCTGCAATTTCCCCCATTATTAGGTTTCTTGATACCAGAGCCTAATAATTAGGCCATCTGCCTTTAATGTCAACACGTTCCAAGTCGGGGTTCTTCACCCTTGGGTCCCCAGATGTTGTTGGACCACGAGTCCCATCAGTCCCAGCCAACATAGCCTTGTTGTTTAAGGGAAAGAGAAGGAGAGAATAGGAAGAACAGAGAGCTGGCAGGTAAGCAATTAAAATGGTAGGGGAATGTTTTTGGGTTTTTTAAAGTGGCAGTTTGTGGCTTAAGGCAGGTCCCAAATCCGGAAAGGCTAAAGACCTGTGAGCCTGCAGTTGTTTCTCAACTGCACCTCCCGTCATCCTTGACCATTGGCCATGCTGGCTGGTGCAGATGGGAGTTGTGGTTCTGCAACATCTGGAACGCAACAGCTTCACCACTCCTTGTATGAGACACCCTAACTGTGCATGGTCCTCAACATTCACATGAATAAAGATGCTGTTGTATTATGGCCATTTTGCAGTCAAAAAGTGATGTTTTGTGTCAGAACCAATAGGTTTGGGGCAGGGCTTGCCCGCCCATGAGTTGGACTGAGGCAGTTGTATCAGGTGGGAAAATCTTGGCAGGACTGTCCACTGCTGCCACTGCCAGAGAAGCAAGGAGATGTGGCCTCAGCTTCTGAGTTCTGGTGAGATCTTGTGGACTTCTCACGAGATCTTGCCAGAAGCAGCCGCTCAACCTCAGTAAACGAGACTTCGGTGGAGGGACAGCAGCTGTGAGGTGGGTGGCACCTTCCTATTTTGCCTCTGTGTGGGTTGGTGGGTGAAACAGGACAGGACAGCCCTAGTTTGCAGGCAGAAGAACAAGCAAAAGTCAGGCAGTGTGAGAAAGCCTGAAAGCGTTATTGCTCCTTGCTGTGTCACTGGATTTGAACGTTCTTGTGTTTTTTGCCTGGTGGGTTAGTCTCTTAATCATTTGATGGTCCCAAGTGCCCCCTGGTGGCTATTACATGCCATTTTATAGTTACGGTAAGACTTTTTACCGAACCAATCTACCGTATTTTTCGCTCTATAAGATGCACCAGACCACAAGACGCACCTAATTTTTGGAGGAGGAAAACAAGAAAAAAAAATATTCTGAATCTCAGAAGCCAGAACAGCAAGAGGGATCGCTGTGCAATGAAAGCAGCAATCCCTCTTGCTGTTCTGGCTTCTGGAATAGCTGCGCAGCCTGCATTTGCTCCATAAGACGCACACACATTTCCCCTTACTTTTTAGGAGGGAAAAAGTGAGTCTTAATAGAGCAAAAAATACGGTAATTTGTTGAAGATGTAGGCAGACCTTTGAATTGTTCCAATCCATCTTTGCCAGATGGAATGGAAAGGCAGATGCATTTTCAGCTTATGAGGAGAGGAAAGAGAGGCCCAATTTAATAACCGAAAGTACAGATCTTGTTTTGATCAAGAGTTAAAGCCAAAGCACTTGTGCAGTTCACAACGATCTGCCTCCATAAAACAGCATAGCTGGGTGAAAGAAACAGCTAAGCATCCTTTTTGTGGTCTGTTGCAAAAGCTTGGAGTAGAGGTAGCTTGCAGATGTTGTTTGCCTGTATCTCAGATCATCCCCAGCCATCATGGCCAGTGGTCAAGGATAATGGGACTTCCAGCATCTGGAAGGCAGCATGTTGGGGATTCGATGGTGACCAAATCCTGAACCTTAAGGGGTGAGCAGTTGCCAAGACATACTGTGCTCACTTGCTGATAAGAGTTTTGCTGGCTTGTATGTTGACTATCTGACTGTCCTCCTTCCAGACGTTTTGTTTTGCTTGCTTTTTTGTCCAGAAGAGGGCAACAAAGATGAGGAGCATGGCAGGAGACCAATTCCATGGTGGAAAGATTGAAGGAGCTGGTTGTGGTTTAATCTGGGGATAGAATGGTTAAGAGTCACAGCCATCTTCACATATTTGATGGGCTGTTGCATGGAGTCTGTCAATGGCATGAATGATTCTGTTGCTCCAGAGGCTATTACCCAAACCATCGGGTTGGTATTACAAGGACACAGGCTAAAAATTAGGTCTTTCCCAACCGTCTGAGCTGTAAAAACAGATGGCTTCCTGAAAAAGACAACTGAGAAGGATTTATGCTCTGAGTCTTAGTTTGACCTTCTGGGAAACCTCCGCTAACACTAGCTTGGAATTAGCACTGCCTGTGAGCCTCATGCTTTGCTCCCATACCTGCACATTTCCCAAGAATCTTACGAAATCATAAGCCAACAAGATCTTCTCTTTCAAATGAACAAGTTGGTGGACTCTCCTTCATTAGGGCTCTTCTCTTCCCCCCCCTTTCCCTTTTGTCATTTCATAGTACTGTTGGGTTCAGTCTAGAGAAGAGTAAGTTGAAATGTATGGCAGTATTTCAGATAGTCCTCCTGACTGTCTTTTTAAAAAGAAATTAGAAGGAGCTGCCAGTTACCTATTCATACTGCTGGTGCACATCGAGTCTGACTGATGAGTTCTCCAGTATCACAGTCAAAGGCCCTTAGATGCTTTTAAAGCAGAGTTGCCAGGGACCCGAAATGTGCTTTCTCTGGACTGCCCATTTATCCTGTTGCCATCCATGGTACCCTTTGCCATTCACTTCAGTTGAGGGATTGTTCCACAATCATGTACTTCTCCTTGTGCCTGCACACCTGTTACTGCCATTGAAGTGAATGGTGACTTATTCATATGCAGTTGTGTAACCAGAGCGTACACAGTGTCCTAAACTGGAATGTTCTCTTATTCCATAAATTATAATGATATTTTTTAGAAGAAAGACTTTGGGAGCTACGAAATGGTAATAACTGGCAGAATGCTTCCTGTTGCCAATTTCGTTGTTTTTCTTCGTAAATGAATGTTTAGATATTTACTGAAAATAACTTTGTTAAAATCTTTGGATCTGGGGGAGGTAGGTAGTTTTCACAAGAGACATGTTCGAAGTTTTTCATTCGGTTTACAAATAAACCAAGTTGCAAGGACAGTTAATTCTGTGATTCTGCTGATCTCTGAAGGAAATTGCTTAGCCAAGGTTGAAGACTGAGTTTTCAAAAACAGGTCGTGGGAGAATGCATTGTTTAAAGTTGAAAACCACAAAGGTTTTAAAAATTTTCTTTCAGAAAACTTGCACCATCACTCGGAAGCCTTATGCCATTGCTCACTGTAGACTCATGATGGAGAGTCTGTGGCCTTTTGCCTATTTTAGTCTCAAACTCCCATCAGTTCTTGCCAGCATAACCAATGGTCAGAGATTAGTGTTATAGTCTCTGCAGGGGTGGGCTCAGTTGTTCACCACCCAGAGTATATACAATACTTGGCTACCTCAGTATAAGGCAGCTTTTTATCTACATATGTGCCCTCTTGAAGGAAAAGCCCACCTTTTCCTGGTTATCTTGAAATATTGTGGCCTTTGATGTTACTGGTTTTCTTGTAAGCTGCTTTGATCTTAGGCAAAGGAAAAGCTGTGTATTAGGCTCATGCATAGTTACTTGCCTGGTTGGTTGCGACAAGTAAAAAAATCATTTCTGGGTGACCAAGCAAGAAACTTTTAGAAAAGATGGCTTGGTGTTTTCGGTTTCAATTTAAGTTAATAATGCTTTCTAACATAGTTTTGTGTGGCTACAGAGCTTTTTTCCTGACCATGAGGTTGCAGGGCAGGTTATAAAAACTTTTAAAAAAATACAATCTTGGAATGAATTAAAACAAATCAGTGAACAAAATGTGGCGGTCAACCTTGGGGATTTACAACTCAAAACTTGCAAGCCTGCTAGGGTTGTAGTCAACCTAGTAGCTCTCTATGCAAAGGGACCTGCTTCTGCACAAAAGGATTCCCCCTCCCTTCCTCCTGTGCACCCCATAAATCTCTTCTTGGGATTCAGCCAACCATCTGGGGAAGATGAGTGATGGCAGAGGAGACAACGGAGTGGTGGCAGTGGGGAGAAAGACCAATTGCACAAAAGGAAGTAGTTCCAGTCGTGCAGTTAACTTACTCTGTCCCAATGAATATTTGCTGCCCTGGGCTCCTTCAAGAAGAAGGGTGGAAAATTAGCCGAGTTAATAATAATGTACTGCACTGCTGTCCTACACATCTGCTAGGAAGTAAGCCCGTTTTTAATTCAATAGGCCTTACTCCTAAGTAAGCACATATACTAGGATTGCAGCCTTAAATGAAGTTAGGGCACAATCCATTCAAAGTAAAGGACTTGTATGTATGAAGGATATTTTGTGTCTGAACTTAAATATCTCTCACTGAAATCAACAGAAGTTAGAAGTGCTTCAATTGGGCTTCTGCTTAAATCTTTAAATGTGCAGAAATGAATATTACCGTTGACAGAGTGAAGGAAAGCTGCCGCCAATGTTACTGTGCTCTTACCTCTTTGTAAGGTAAGAAGAATTATCTTGATTCAAAAACACAAAGACTAAAATCCCCCCATTTTAAAAGAAATTCTGGTGTCTTTTCTGCTTTTCTTGGAAATGTTTCCCCAGGGAAGATAAACGTTGTTTAATAAAGATTACCTCTTAGGGTGAAAATTAATACACACGGAACAACTTCAACAAAGATGTCTTTATTTGGAATAGGAAAAGCATTCTACCTTGAGTGCAAGGGTGGGGGGAGCAGAAATTAAAGAAAGCAACTGGTATTGATGGTGATGGGGGTGATCAGGATAGAATATGGGGTGTGTGATGTCTTGGGCCTAACTGTGTTTCAGCCATTTTACACTCCTTAGTTTTTAAAGGAGAACAACAACCTGCTCTTGTTTTTACCTTGCACTTCAGAAACTCTCTCCTTCTTTCTCTTGATTTACTAACTCTGAAAGTAGACATATCGAAGCAGAAGAGGTGGTGAGAGAGAGAGAATGTAAAAGTGGGACCAACTTTACAAAAAGGTTGTAACTGCCATGTTGGTCCCAGAAATATAAAATAGGTAAGAAGCTATCCTTTATTAGGCCAACAGAGCTCTGTGTAACTCAAAAGTGTACTTATGCTTACAATCAGCCAAAGTTGGCTAACAAAAGATAGTTTTGTCTACTCAAAAAGAAGAGGAATTGGTAAAGGAGCGTTCTGCCATCAGCCAAGTCTCACTTATGCAAGGGAGTAGCAATAACCTGGTGTCTGAGAGCTGTAGTTCAGAAAGGCACCAGGTTGTTGAAGGGGGTCTTAAGCACCATGTGTTTCAGTGGGAAGGGGTGGTAGTCCCCAAACTTGCACCTCATCTCTTTTGTGGCTGGCGGTGAGATCATACTGACAAATGTTTCCTTAAGTGTGAGGTAGCTTAAAAACCAGGGACGTTTGAGAGTTGACCCTATGACTTCCTTCATTTTGTAAAGAGAGAGTAGAGAGAGAGTAGATGAGGCTTGGTAGAATTCAGAACGGTGGACAGAAGCAAAAATAGTAAGAACAACAACAAAAATCAGATCAACTTGTACTTTCCAACGAAGGTTTTTTATAATCAATTGATGTTAAAAAATACAGACTTGTTTTACAATAATAATAGCACCATTTTTAGTATTATACACAGTAATCTTGCTTGTGATACACACCCAGGGATGGATGGGGGGGGGGGGAGAATTGGCTACAACCTGTATTTTGAGGCATCAGCACCGTGGAGGGGAACGACCCTTCCTGCATGCTAGTTAGCTTCCAAGAAAGGTCTTACAGGAAGACAATAAATAAATAATACCATTATTTGTTGTTCCTTTTTTTCCTTTTTCTCCTTTGCTTGCTTTCATGGTCTGCCCAAGTGATGGTTGCCTCGGAAACTGACAGAGTCCAAAATGTAAGCGTGGGGAACGGATGGAATTTTGGGAAGGGAAGAAGGTTTGGTTCAACTCTTCAGTGCAGAAAGTCCTACAAGGTGATTTGGGGAGCACTTGGGTTCCTTGGGTTGGTTTTGTATGGTAATGGACTGGTTTTTTAAAAAAATATTAATTTTCGAAACTTTTTTTTCTTTACAAGAAGCACACCGGGCCAATGTCAACACCAAATTCTTGATCAGCTCCGCCAATGTCCATAGGTGCAATGTCAATGATGGGCAGACGCGAGGTCTTCTGAGAACGGTATTCAATGATTGTCTTCCCCCATTTACCAGTGTGTTTCTGGAATGGAAGGAAAAAAACCACAAAAGAATGCATTATTTTAAGTGCCACAAGATCTCCAGCTGGGATCAGTTGCTGGGGGTGGCTGGCTGGAACAAATCAAAGTTCTGGAAAGCAGGGCAGGAATAACCATGGTACTAAACATACTAAAACACAAGAGCTTTTACTGTGTTGCTGTTATCTGGGGAATCTTAAGATCTGCATTCTGTCCTGCTCAGGTTGCTATGCAACTTTGGAAGCTAGTACTAACAACCCACAGGGCCTAGGGCTTGCCGATCGGAAGGTCGGTAGTTCAAATCCCCGCCACGGGGTGAGCTCCCGTTGTTCGGTCCCAGCTCCTGCCCACCTAGAAGTTTGAAAGCACGTAAAGTGCAAGTAGATAAATAGGTACCGCTCTGGTGGGAAGGTAAATGGTGTTTCCGTGCGCTGCTCTGGCTCGCCAGAAGCGGCTTAGCCATGCTGGCCACATGACCCGGAAGCTGTCTGCGGTCAAATGATGGCTCCCTCCCCTCGGCCTATAGAGCGAGATGAGCGCGCAACCCCAGAGTTGGCTGTGACTGGACCTAACGGTCAGGGGTGCCTTTACCTTTACTAACAACCCACACGCTCATGGCCATTAAAAAGGGTCATGTCTGATTTCATGTGCCATGAGCAGAAGCTGAAATTGTGCATGGGGGTGCAGAATGCCAGCTTCAGCATGAGTAGACTGTGGCTGCCAGCATACACATCAACCAACTAAAGGAAGCAGAATGATGCTCTGAATCTGTTTTGAGATTCCTACGACTTTTGAGCATAATGGTGGTTTTCTTGCTACAGCCATGTCTCCTCTCTGTGTGTCTAATTTTAAAACACCCATATCCTGTCTACTTTGAGAAGTGCCACACTATGGCTGATTTCGAGTGGGACCAGGGAGAGAGAATCACTGTCTCTTTGATCACTTCTGTGAAACGAGATGAGCAAATGATGTGAAGCAAAAAAGCAACCCTGTGGGGCTGGCTCCAGGGTCTCTTAACACTGCTCTCGCCCTACAGTGCCCTCCCAAATAGTGGCAGTAGGGCCAAACAAAGGATTTTGTGGGTCCCACTCAGGCTAGGGCCGCACTTTTCAATCTAGCTGGTTTCTCACATGGAATGGAAGTATTCCTGACAGTCTTCTCTGCTGATCCTCTCATTATGGTCAGACTGGGCCTTGGCAAGTGCCCAGCCTGGCTGGCTGCTACTGTCAGCTGCCATAGTTCTGTGCCTTTAACCCAGCAACATCATATTGCTGTGGCAAACCCCTCAAACTTACCGTGCAGCCATCCTGCAAGGCGCTATATGTGAACCTGCTATTGCCCTCGGCTCTGATCTCCACGTCGTTGGATCCCTGTATCAGCAGAGCTTTCTTAAGGTTCCCGGAAGCCTCGTCCATGTAGGCAATGCTGTTCTTGCAGTGGTAGGTGATATTTTGAGAGCCTTCAGTAGACAAGAGGCGCAGGAAGGTCATCTGGATGTTGGCCGTGTTAGGAGCCAGGTTCTCATCTCCATAGCTAAACTGGAAAGGGACCAAGAAGACAGAGGTTGAGAGACACCTTTCTTAGAAAGACCACAGAAAGCAAAAACTGGTACATCTGTAGATTGTGAGTTTCCCTTGGCCATGCCAATACCTCCCTCCTGTCTCACAGTGACCCTACTTTGACTACCGTCCTGTCTGCACTCACCAGCTGAGTTTGCTATCAGGGTGATGCCTCTGAACATCAGCCGTCATGATTGGTTTATCATTCCCAAATTTGTCTAAATCTTTTAAAAAGCAATCTAAGCTAGTGGTAATCATCAAATCTCATTGTTGTTAACTCTAACGTCTCCCTGTTTCCTTTCTGCTGCCTGGTCACAACACTCAAGTGTTGCTTGATTTCTTCTCATTTCTCCCAAAGTTGGAGAATAAGCTCCACACAGACATTTCAAAGACAAGAATAGTGAGATGCAAGTATAAAAACAGAGGGTCAGCGTAACGATTAATGGGCAAACAGAACATTAAGTGGCAAGGTGAACATTCCATAAGTGCAAGGAGAATATTCTCCCTGTTCTGGGTTTCTCTCCCCACTGCAACCTTCCAGAGCAGATTCAGAGAATGACATAGTACGTGTGTGTGTGTGTGTGTGTGTGTGTGTGTGTGTGTGTAAGTAATCCTGTTATGCTAGCGCCAAGCCTTGCACTAATGCAACTGTTTACTTGCATGGGTTCACATTGGATTTGCACATTAGTTTGGATGAAATATCAAAAGTTTATTCTAGCTTGACCCACTTACGTGGAAACCTCCATTGATTGTCTCTCCAAACCAGATGTGCTTCTTGTCTTTGCTCTTGCTTGTCCACCAGTTCTTCTTGGGAATGCTGCTAGGCTTGGGGTAAACACAGCTCTCTCCTGTCTCCATATTGCAGAAAACCTTTATGGCATCCAAAGTGCAACCTTGGTTGGGGTCAATCCAATAGTCGCCTGCAAAATTAAGAAAGAAGCAGTGTTTTTCCTTTCTTTCTTTCTCTCACTACACTGCTGTTCTGTGTTGCTGCAGACTTCCTGCAGTGACCCCCACCCCACAATCCCTTAGGTAGCATGTGCACACCAGAAGCTTAAGCAATTATAATATCTACAGGAGAATGGAATTTATTAGTGTCAGATTGCAAATGGAAAGTTAACTATGTGTTAAAATATAATCGCAAAATGAGGCTAAACAAGTCACACAGTAATCCTGCTCTGAAAATTATGAGGATTGGAAGTGCGATTCTTGGAGCTTTAAAGCCTCTGCAAACGCTAGGTTGTTAAAACATTATTCAGGCAATTTTCATTCTGAAACACTGATCAACAAACATGATCTAAAAGCTTTGTTTACTTTATTAGGATACAATAACATGAATATCACACACACACACACACACACACACCAATTTAGTTACTATGGTCCGATGTGTTTAATTAAACACGTAAAATATTTTGATGGGAGCTTAAACTCTTGTTAATGACTTTGGGTCAGAAAAAAGGTTGTGAATTTGATGCCAAGGGAAGGGGTGGATGGGTGTCTCTGTGGCTTCCACAGGGAGAGGAAATGTATCCACAGTCAGCTGTGTAGATTGTACAGGCCACTTTCATGCCTTCTGCTGTGGGGATGAGACTACGTTTCCCATGCGTTTTGGTGGCAGGAATCAGAAGTGCTGAAACAGTAGCCTCAGTCCCTGTAGATGCTCTGGGTTAAGGTTACCAGGCGTCCCCGTTTCCTGGGGACAGTCCCCGGATTTACAAATCAGTCCCCTGACAAAATCCATCCATTTAGTAGGAAGTTGAAAAGTGTCCCTGGATTCATTAAAAAAAATCTGGCAACCTTACTCTGGGTGGTGAGACGCAGAGACCTCTCTGGGATTGTTATGCTGCGGAATAGGAAGCGAGGCTCCTGAGCCCACAACCCAGGCAGTGGCAAGCCCCAATACACTCACCACTCTTCCATTCGGGGTGGCAGAGTTTTAAGTCACGGCAGGTACGAGCTGGGTTCTTCCTACTGCCCTCGGGGCTCCGGATGCTTTCGATCTGGTTGTTGAGCGACTTCAGGGTGGCATCGACCTCGGCATCATGCTGCCTCAGGTTGCTAGAAGCCTGGTCGGATCGCATGTAGCGCATGGGGTCGGGGCCTTTCTCCGTCTGACCCAGGCCGGCAAAGGCAGACATGTCAATGCCAGGTCCGGGTGGGCCAGGAGGACCAGGGGGTCCGGGGTTTCCAGGAGGACCCTACAGGGTTAAAGGAAAGGAGACAGCCCTGAAATGCTTGCTGTTGGAGGAAAGCAACCCCCTGCTGTATGGTAGGTGCATTTATGGAGGTAGCTCATCATCTGGGCCCTCATGTTCCATTTTCTTTCACTGACATGGGACTAAGTTAAGCTGATAGGACCTACAGTTTAAGTTCCAGATGGTCCCACTCTTGGGCAAAAGGGGCTGAATCAGAAGTCTTTTTCATGCTTTCCAGCTCCGTAGTACATCTGCTGCTGGAAGATGACTTAACAGAAGCTATCATACTTGCTGAGACATCAGCAGAGACATCACCTTGCCGACAAAGGTCCGGATAGTTAAAGCTATGGTTTTCCCATTAGTGATGTATGGAAGTGAGAGCTGGACCATAAAGAAGGCTGATCGCCGAAGAATGGATGCTTTTGAATTATGGTCTGGAGGAGACTCTTGAGAGTCCCATGGACTGCAAGAAGATCAAACCTATCCATTCTTAAGGAAATCAGCCCTGAGTGCTCACTGGAAGGACAGATCCTGAAGCTGAGGCTCCAATACTTTGGCCACCTCATGAGAAGAGAAGACTCCCTGGAAAAGTCCCTGATGTTGGGAAAGTTTGAAGGCACAAGGAGAAGGGGATGACAGAGGACAAAATGGTGGGACAGTGTTCTCGAAGCTACCAGCATGAGTTTGACCAAACTGCGGGAGGCAGTGGAAGACAGGAGTGCCTGGCGTGCTCTGGTCCATGGGGTCACGAAGCTGGACACGACTAAACAACATCATTGTCATCATCATACTTGCTGCTGTTTTGGAGATTGATTATATGGTTTAGATCAGTGTTTCTCAAACTTGGGTCTCCAGCGGTTTTTGGACTACAGCTCACATCATCCATAACTAGCAGGACCAGTGGTCAGGGATGATGGGAAGTGTAGTCCAAAAATAGCCGGAGACCCAAGTTTGGGAAACACTAGTTTAGATGTTATTTTATGGTGCTCTTCCGTACACTGCTCTGTTGTTTTTACAGGAGAGTGGTATATATTTGATAATTCTCATTGATTTCAAATATTTAATTAGCCGTGCTGGGCTGTACATTAGATCCTGCTCATAGAACCCAATGCAATTCCCACAGGGAGACAAAGCACAGCTCTTCCGTAGCACAGAGGGCTGTAGTCCACCCTCAGAAAGAGAAAAGTTTGAGCCACTGATTAATACCTAGGCAAGCTCCACAGAGGCAGTCAAACCAGCTGGGTAAAGGGCACAAGGGCGGGGGACTGCCTAGACAGAGGGTGCCCAGAATTTTGCAACAGGGAATTTCATTGGCTCTAGCAGTTTCTGAGCTCTGGGCACAGTCCTGCGCCTAAGATTTCAGATTAAAACTGCGGAGTGGAAGGAAAGGAGGACCTTTTTCTGCCTCCCCACTTCCAGCTACTCTCTGAAGACTGGAGAAGAGACCCTCTTAAGAATATTAGGAAGGTGGGCAGGGGAAGGACTAGACCATGTGAAAAATGAACATAATATTTTAGCTGCAGTTCATTCATTTTCAGCTTTGAATTATTGTTATAAAAAATCAAGCCGAGACATTCCATCGTTGCGCCCATAACCTTAAGGTGACATTTAGCTCCTAGCTTTCATATCTTAGTTTCTAACACGGGGGGTGCAGCTTCTTGTACTTCATTTATGCCATTTCCTCAGTTACTTACAGCTTGGCCAGTTTCCCCACTACGACCACGGGGACCGGGAGGGCCAATGGGGCCAGGCATTCCGTTAGAGCCATCTTTGCCAGAGGGGCCAACTGGACCTGGGGGACCCTAGGAGAGAGACAATGTGCATGAGTTAACACCAGGCTGCCCATGTGCACTGGGATGGGCTTCTTAAAAGAACCACATAGTAAAATCTGCAAGTGGTAGTATTGCAGTGCAGTAGAATTGTGTCTGACTCTGTCCCCCAGATCCCACACTGCGTATGACATTTACCATATAATCGACCAAGAACCTTCTTCAGTTATCAGCCATGTATGCACTCTGACAACATTTCAAAACCCACCAGGCCAAAACAAATGTCCATATCACAACACAAAAAAGCAGAGTTCCCCAGATTTCTGATCACTAAAATCTCTTTGTAATACAAAAATACTGAAGATCAGTCCTCTCCCTCTTAAAGTTCTCTCCTCCAAATAAATTAATTTCTCCCCAAATCAGCTGGCATCCAGAAATTGGGGCCTGGATATAACAACCCCACATTCTACCAGTTGAAAAAACTGAGCAAGACACTTAGTGAATAAGGTTAGTGTACACAGCAGAGTCTAGCATCCAGCCACAACACTCCCTGGTCTTTCGCCAAGGAAAGGAGCTCTTCTTATCAGAGAGATTGGACTTACCCTGGGACCAGAAGGACCAGCCGGACCTGATGCACCTTGATCGCCAGAAGGACCCTATGGAAAAAGGTGAGGGGATGGGGGAAAGCAAAGCCATAGTTACATACCAGCCATGTCACAGCCTCTCTGCAGAAGGACCTAAAGAGTTTAGGAGTGGTAGAGAATGGCTTCAAGGATGTTCCATGCCAGAATTATTTTCTACCTCCTTAAGATTTTACTTTGCTGCTTTAATTGCTAGACCTGTACTTTGCCGATGATGTTTTATCTTCAACTGTATGATGCATTTAACCAACTAGTAAAGGTAAAGGGACCCCTGACCATTAGGTCCAGTCGTGGCCGACTCTGGGGTTGCGGCGCTCATCTCGCTTTATTGGCCGAGGGAGCCGGCGTACAGCTTCCGGGTCATGTGGCCAGCATAACTAAGTTGCTACTGGCAAACCAGAGCAGCTCACGGAAACGCCCTTTACCTTCCCGCCGGAGCGGTACCTATTTATCTACTTGCACTTGGATGTGCTTTTGAACTGCTAGGTTAGCAGGAGCAGGGACCAAGCAACGGGAGCTCACCCCGTCGTGGGGATTCGAACCGCTGACCTTCTGATCAGCAAGTCCTAGGCTCTGTGGTTTAACCCACAGAGCCAACCAACTACCCAGGGATAAATACTATAAAGGGAAGTCAATAAATAAATACTAATTAGACCATAGCTGTCAATGTTTCCCTTTTTTTAAGGGAAATTCCCTTATTCCGAATAGGATTCCTCGCAAGAAAAGGGAAAAGTTGACAGCTATGAATTAGACAGGCATCCCTGCAAGGAGAAGTTGATTCACATCCCTGCTGCAGCAGATAGGCTCAAACCCAATACTCCCCTGAGCCCATGACAAGCCTAGAACAGAACACCACGGACCGAATTGTACTCTAAAGATACGGAAACCAAAACTTACGGGAGGCCCAGGAAGACCCTGCAGGCCAGTGAATCCCCTGTGACCCTTCAGACCTCTCTCTCCTGCCTCGCCAGCTTCACCCTTGTCGCCACGAGGACCTTGTGGACCCTAGGAGGAGAGAACACAAGCGGCATTCAGGGCAAGAGAGTCATGCGCAAAGTTTGGCAACATAGTACGGGGTGGCGATGCTGCCTGCAGATCTGAACACAACTTCCCTCCTGGCAGCCCTACACTTAGCCAACATCTCTCAAGCCTGTTGGTTGCTATGTTCTGATGTCACAAAGGGCCTCTGTTTCTCCTGCAAGTGACTTGACTTCACGGTCCTATGCTGGCAAGGCCCTCTATGACATCAGAGGGCCTGAGGGGGACACAGTCCCTGTGACTGCCTATAACTCCTTTGCCTGGTGTCTTGTGCAAGCCTCGAGGCAGCAGCTGACCAGTTAGCGGAAACCAGTTAATTTCTGGTTCTGAATCCATGAGCATCTTTGAGCTGAAGCAGAGTGCAGTTACGCCATGGGATTAAGAATTATGCTTGTGCAGATGAACTGGTTGATCTTAGAACCTTTATGCGGAAACAGACATATAACACTCGGCACTTCGAAGGGGTGTGCGCGTCGGGAAGTGGCACTGACTAATACAGAGAAAGATGTTCTCTGTTGCTCTCTGGTGGAGGCAGTAAATAAAGCAGAAGTCCCCAGGGCTTTTACCTGTTCCTTAGGGCTGCGATTGCTAGGATCACTATGCTTCCTTTATAGAAAGCAGAGGAAATCTTCACCGTACTGTAGCTAGGATCCTCTTTTCAGGGAAGGTGGGCAAAGTACTCCTGTGACTACTACAGGTAAGAGGCAACTGCTCCTGAATGACCACACACAGAGTACTTATTGCTGTTTGCCGCTGTGTCCGATGAATACAACATTTTCGTTCAAATGGCAGGTGGTCATTTTCTAAGATTGAGAACTTCAAGCACTCATTCATTGTGTCAACAGCACAAATTGGAAGGAAGCTTTCCTCTTTTGGATGTACACAGCAGTGACTCGGGGGATGCTCAGTAAATGCAACAGCCTCTATTGGGAGCCCAGGAAGAATGAAAGTGGGTAAAGGAGAAATAAATACTCACGGGCATGCCGCGTGCTCCTGCAGGACCAGCAGGACCCATTGGACCTTGAGCACCCTGGAGAAAGATGAAAACAAAAATTATAAGCTGACTGGGCACCTTCTCCATGCTGAGATGAGACCAGAGGCCACAGGTCTCCATGTTGACCAACAGGATTTGAATCTAGTACGGTACAGTCGTGCTCAGCGCTCTCTTTCAAGGCCTGACCCAAACCACACAGCAGCTGAGGTATGGATATTTGTAGCAGAAAGTCCCACTAGACGGGAAAGGGTTAAGAAGTGCCTTCCTCATTCTTCTACTTATGCACTGTAAACGACATTCAAAGGGTGAAGGACTAAGTGTGACTGAGCACAACATGCTGTTTGGCCCAAGCTAAGTAGCTGGATAGCTCAGTTGGTTAGAGTACGGTGTCGGTAATGCTAAGGTTGCAGGTTCAATCCCCATACGGGATAGCTGTATATTCCTGCATTTCAGGGGATTGGACTAGATGATCCCGGAGATGATCTATGATTCTAAGTTTGGCCCAAACTGGGAAATCCTGTAGATTCTAAATATTCTGGAAGGATAAAAAGGTAAAGGACCCCTGATAGTTAAGTCCAGTCGCGAACGACTCTGGGATTGCGGCGCTCATCTCACTTTACTGGCCGAGGGAGCCGACGTTTGTCCGCAGACAGTTTTTCCGGGTCATGTGGCCAGCATGACTAAGCAGCTTCTGGCGAAACCAGAGCAGCGCACGGAAACGTCTGGAAGGATAGGATTCAGCAAAGCCATAGGAAAGGGAAAACCATCTAGCAAGTCAGGGCAATTCAATCAACCTCTTATAGCATTCCATTAAGAAGTCCCCTCTAGCCTAGCATTCAGTTCCAACCTTACGTTTCAGGAAGTTCACAAGCTATCATGGCTAATAGCAACCGGTGCACCAGTTCCCAACCTTGGGTCCTTAGATGATGTTGGGCTACATATCTCATCATCCCTGAACACTGGCCATTCTGGCTGGGGATTATGGACATTGTAGTCCAACAACATCTGGGGACCCACCTAGTGCACGGTGTGTTTTTCTTTTTGGCCAATTATTTTTTATTGATTTTCCAAATTACCACCCACAAATAATTACAAATTAATACGAAATCAACACAATTGTAATTAAATGGCTTCCCACTCGCCATCACCTAGGGCATGGTTACTGGATACTCACCGCTTCACCTCTATCTCCTTGTTTACCAGTTGGACCAACAGGACCAGGAGAACCAGGTGGGCCAGGAGCTCCAGGACCACCAACAGCACCAGTTTCACCACGATCACCCTGTCGGGGGACAAAGTAGAAGCATTAAATACCAAATATGTATATGAGATGTGGTGAGGGACAGCAACCCCACTGATGGGACATTTCCTCCCCCTCCCTTCTCTTTTCCCCCCTGGCTGGTTCCATGCTCTTAGAAGATATGGCAGGTGCTGGGGCTGAAGGAGCAATCTGAGAAGGATCTTGGAAGACTTTGGTGAAGAGGTGTGGGAAAACCTTTGGTTGAACAGCAAGGAACAGACAAGGCACTGGCATAGGACATGGGGGTAGAGGGAGAGAGCAGCCTTTCTTCCAGCCTCCCAAAATGCATATTATGTGGCTGGAATAAATTGTGTAAGTAAGGGTAATGTTAATGGCTTATTCCACAAAATGTTGCTGCGTTACTCAGATTTCAGGGAAAGAGGTGGAAGAGATGCCTGAGAAAATTGTGGGACTAAGAACAAGGAAGGTAAGGGCTAAGAACGTGGACAGAAAGATTAAGCAGGTGAGCTGCTCCCACCTGGATTATGCCCTGCGATTATACCCACATGGCATTAGATTTTTGACTCGAGCGACACACGTTCCTTGAGCAAATCATATTTAAATACAGCAGTGGTTAATGCTCCTTTGAAATGGGACACTCACCTTCACGCCAGGGGAACCATCTCTGCCTGGGGGACCGTCTGAGCCAGGATTGCCCTGAGAATAAGAATGATAGGTGTTTATCCTTAGGAGCCAAGGAAGTGGCGCTGTGTGTCTTTTCTGAGAAGGCATAGCCAACCACCCCAGTGAGTTGCATTTCCTAAAATCATTCCCGATTCACAACCTTGGCTTGACAAGCAGCCTTTGCCAATATACACTCATCGCAGTCATGTATGACCCTCCTCCAAGGTAATCTGGAGACCGTTCCTTCTTGGAACCTACTTTTGCAGGAAACTGACACCTTGCTCCCAGCAAACTTGGGCATCAGGTTTAGCAGACCCTAGTCCAAGCATTTGAAAGAGCTCCTCCGCAGCTCCTCTTGCAAAACCAACCCTCAAGCCAAGCCCAGGCACCACTGGCTGGCAAAGGAGGAGGAGACAGTAACCCAGAACTGGAAGAACTGCTTTCTTGAATTGCTGAGGAACCACCTTTCAGCACTCCCCAAATTCACCTCTTTTAAATACTGCTTATAAAGTTGCAGTTACAATTAATTGCCCGTCACCTCTACCCAGTGGAATCCCACTTGCAGAAAAGCCCAGCCCACTATAGGCTGGAAGCAATCAGTTCCTTGAACGGCTGGTAACTTTTTTGGCAGATGTCAGCATTTTAGAAACACTGGGTTTGTTTTCAGGAAGCGGTGGGGTGTTAAGTGGAGGAAAATTACAACATGGATCGTAGCTTTAGATTCCTGATCAGCAACAAAGTTTTTGGAAGGCTACTTGGAGAAGAGAGTGGGGGTAATCTAAAGCTTATTTAATAGCACCCTCCCTGACCCCCCCCCCATGGGCTGCTGCTAAATATAGCCATCCCTTAAAAGCAAAAGGGGTCCACATGTAAGAAAAATGTAGATTGTATCCCTTACAAGGCAGTCGATGACTTCTAACTACATTAATGGCTATGATTTTAATCAAAAGGAAGTAATTCCCTCTAAAGGCTAAGAAGGAATTATGTTTAGGATCAGGGTTTAAGAAGAATGCATATGCTCTTTAGAATATTCCTGGAAATGCATCGCTAAATTGAGGCTGCTGCAGCATAAATCAAAACCAACAATCACTGTAATGGGAAGTGCTACAAATACCGTATTGGAAATGCTATCACATCAACCTTCTCTAACCCAGTGCTTCCTTGCTAGACTACAATTCCCATCACCCCTGGCCATTCACTATGCCAGCTGATGGGAGTTGGAGTCCAACATCTGCAGAGCAACAGGTTGGGAGAAGGCTGATTTAAAATATCATCAGGGTGTTTCATTTTTAAAAGTTTGTTCCACTCTGGGGCATTGAAAGAAAGTTTTCATCCCCCCACCCCGCCCCTCATCCTCTGGCCCTTGACATGTTTTGCTGTAGGAATGCAGTTTTAAAATAGGATATGTTACTCTTTTCCCCAGGCCACACATAGAACAAGTTGAGTACGCTTACCTCACGTCCAGGTTCGCCAGAGGGACCAGTCAGGCCCGGTGGACCAACTGGGCCAGGCGGACCTCTGTCTCCAGGGCCCCCGGGAGCTCCTTGTTTACCAGGCTCACCCTGAAAAGAGGAGGGTGGGAAGAAAATATCAGCTCAGGTAAAGAACAGGTACTTTGCTCAGTATTTTGGCAGTATTTTGACTGTCACCTAAAGGTAAAGGAACCCCTGACCATTGGGTCCAGTCGTGGCCGACTCTGGGGTTGCGGCGCTCATCTTGCTTTATTGGCTGGGGGAGCCGGCGTACAGCTTCCGGGTCATGTGGCCAGCATGACTAAGCCGCTTCTGGCGAACCAGAGCAGCGCATGGAAACGCCGTTTACCTTCCCGCCGAAGCGGTACCTATTTATCTACTTGCACTTGGACATGCTTTCGAACTGCTAGGTTGGCAGGAGCTGGGACTGAGCAACTGGAGCATAGTATATCAGAGAGTTTGCTGTACACGACTATGGGCTTATCCTCTTGTCCCACTGCTTTCATCCAGGGAAAGCTACTCTTTAGCGCTCAATAGAAGCAAATGGCAACCTGGATTTTCCACAGATTGCTGTTTGTTCCAGAAGAGCCGAAAGAGTGGGTTTTCCCTGGGAAAGGAGTGGGGCGAGGGGAAGCCACTCAACCCAGGCCTACAAAATGTGTGTCAAGTGCAAAGCAGATGGTCCACGTAGCAGAGTACTGCCAGCTAGCAGCTCTCCATGACCTCAGGGCTTTTCCTACGGAGGAAATCTTAACTCCTTTAACTGGAGATGGTAGAGACTGGATATTGGGAATCAGGTCTCACTCTCTGCGGGTCTAGATCTCCCCCCCCCCCCCCGGTTTGGTGCCCAAACATCAATTTCCCCCAAACCCTTTCCATTTTCATACTTGGTAAGCTAAAGAGACTTATTTGTGATGCCAACTGCTCATTTATGAATCTGTAAGACAAATTCTCCTAACACATTCGGCGTTTCAGAATACGACAAAAAAAAATTTCCCTGATCCACAAAAGCCCAAGTACTCAGAATGCAATAAATTGCACCCCTGACAGGTTTTGTAGTTCTATCACCGATGGATGGTGTTGAGGCCACAGGCTTAGTATATACTTGAGAAACAGACACACATCTCCTCGTGCTTCAAGCCCAAAAGTACTGCCTGCCCCTCCACATTTTTGCTAACTTAAGCTCCTCAGCAAACCTAGACAGCATCTTAAAAAGCAGAGACATCACCTTGCCAACAAAGGTCCGTATAGTTAAAGCTATGGTTTTCCCAGTAGTGACGTATGGAAGTGAGAGCTGGACCATAAAGAAGGCTGATCGCCAAAGAATGGATGCCTTTGAATTATGGTGCTGGAGGAGACTCTTGAGAGTCCCATGGACTGCAAGAAGATCAAACCTATCAATTCTTATGGAAATCAGCCCTGAGTGCTCACTGGAAGGACAGATCCTGAAGCTGAGGCTCCAATACTTTGGCCACCTCATGAGAAGAGAAGACTCCCTGGAAAAGACCCTGATGCTGGGAAAGATTGGGGGCACAAGGAGAAGGGGACGACAGAGGACGAGATGGTTGGACAGTGTTCTTGAAGCTACCGGCATGAGTTTGACCAAACTGCGGGAGGCAGTGGAAGACAGAAGTGCCTGGCGTGCTCTGGTCCAGGGGGTCACGAAGAGTCGGACACGACTAAACGACTAAACAACAACAACAACAAGCTCCTCAGATCACTTACAGAAGGACCCGGCAGACCAGGGAAGCCTCTCTCACCGCGCTGACCAGGGAGACCAACGATCCCTCTCTGACCTGCCAAGCCTTGAGGTCCAGGTGGGCCGTCAGCACCCTGGAGGGGAAAGATAAGGGCAGAGATGGGTGTTAATTTGCAAATGACAAAGCAGCAAGCCAGATCCATTGTACATGCAAAGAAGGCAGGATGAATACGTACAGGAGGACCATCTTCTCCAGATTCTCCCTTCTCGCCTGGGGGACCAGCAGGACCTTGCAAACCAGGATCGCCAGCACGCCCAGTGGGGCCTGCGTCGCCACGAGCACCCTTGGGACCATCTTTACCAGGGGCACCGGGAGGTCCTGCGGAACCGGGATTGCCCTATGGGGAAAAGGGAGAGCCAGTAAGATCCCCAGAGACTGATTCTCTGCATTGAAAGTTATACTGTTGAGAGAAAACATGAATCCACCTTATCTGCAAGAGAATGGCAAGTTGTTAGGCTTCAGGACACAATAAGATTCTTTTGGGTGCAACGTAAATTGAGATAAATGCTTCCTGTCAGCCTCCAGATTTACGTATACCTCCCAAAAGTTAAAAATCTCCCCAGAGGTTTACATTTTTGAAGATGTTCCATGAGACACTGCTTTTTCTTGCATTCACGATGACTAAGGTTACCACCCATCCCTCAAAAAACGAGACTGTCCCATTTTGGGGCACAAAGTACCCTGTCCCGTTTGGCCCCCAATTTGTCCCGTTTTCAAAGTCATAAAAAGAAAAATAGGCATTTGTGTGCTCACCCAAACATGCTTATCTTGCATGCAACCAATATCAAAATGGCTTTGAAGTCATTTCATTCTGAACCAGGTAAAGTAATTTTTAGCCCCCCAATTCCCCCCGACTTGTCCTTTATTTGATCTGACCAAAGGTGGCAACCCTAATTACAATGTAGCCTGAATCCATGAGCAGGTTGGTCATCAATTTAATCAGAGAATGTCCTGATGATCCCACCTGAAAGCATCTAAACCAGACACCTGGAGTCAAAAACAAACTCCAACTGCAGGAGATCAAATATCACATCAGTCATTTAAGACCAATTGAGTTGTCCTCGCCCCCTTACAGACTCATATTAAAGGAAGTGAAAGGAGAACTTAAATGCATTTTGTAAGCTCCTAGGGTTGAAAGTATTCAAGGTTAGAGCCCCACTGGTTGTTGTGCAAGTAGAAGTCAAGTGATTTAGAACTTGGCAGGTCCCAGATTGTGGGGAAAGGGGGCAGAGGAAAAAAGGCCTCTAACCAATTAATAATGGTCAGGTTCAAGGGACTACTTCCATAATTCCAGATCAACAGCATCAGAGTTTGTAGGTGACTAAACCAGACTTGTTAAGAAGTCCACTCAAGTTAAGGTCAGATCTTTGTTGTTTTTAACTAGGTAAAATAATAGACCATGGAAGAAGGAACTTTCATGTGACTTAAGTTTTAGTGCTTTTATCAAGGCAACTCAACAGAAGTGTTTGATGTTTCTACCCACCGGAGTCTTAATTTTGAGTAGGCTTGCACTGTAAAAGTAAGCCTAACTGTTCAATAGGGCTTGCTTCCACGTAAGTGGGTGACTGCAGCCTCAGTTTCTGCCACTTCTATATCCCTCTCCTGTGGGATTTTATATCAAGTTATCCCTTATTAGCATCCATGTATTTATGATTTCCTCTCTTTTATTCCTAAAACAATTGATATAAACACATAAAACACATTCTTGGTTGCCTATAATACAAATTTAAAATAAAATAAATGCCTATGAACGACCAACAACTTACGTTAGGGCCTGGCGGTCCAACTCTTCCTGCTGCACCAGGGAATCCAGTAGCACCCTGGGAAGAAATAAAAAGGATTATGAATAGAGCACCCAGGAACAGTTGAGGCACCAGCGGGTGGTTGGGGAAACTGCAGGACCACCCCCTTTATTTTCAGCCTGTTTCACTGAAGGCTCAGCTATACAGCTGCAAATAAAATGTTTCAAGTGTGTTTTAAGTGCAATATACAATGTGACACCAGATGGCGATGGTGAGCTTTATGGAAAATTCAATGTATTTTCAAAAACGCTTTTTAAAAAAGCATATTTTTTTCAGAACATTTTTTTATATGTGTGTAGATTCCACCTAAAAAAAGGTTTCAATTTGGTGAAGTTTGGAAAGCATAAAAGAAACCCTCTTTGGCTTTGAGAATTACCTGTTGAGGTCAAAAAAGAGGCCAGACTGAATGAGGGAGTCGTTCTATTTTTCCCCCTGCTGCGTGTCAGTGCTGATACGTTTCAGGCATGGGGGTAAGGACCCTCCACTAAAACATGGTCGGTACTGATTCCACCATCTGACCATGCTCTCAAAGCCCAGCTCACCACACAACCATCTCTTGGGGCGATGTCTTGTTCTAGCTCGTGGTTGCCCATGGCACCCATAACATCCAAGCTTGTTTAAAGCATCAAATGAGATAGCTGGCCCACAGATGGCCAGGAGACTAGGCTGCAGATACCTCGCCTCTAATAAAGCAGTGCAAATCTCGATGGTTCCCTGGAAGACCCGTTTATGAAAGAGCCCTTCCTCTTTAGCTTCTCCACTTCTTGGCCATCATGAAAGAATAATCAAGTTTGAAAAACCTTTCTGAAGACAGGAGCTAGCTTGGCCTAGACTGTGCTCCTCCTGTCTTTTATATATTATTATTTTTAACAACAACAACTTATTATTTATACCCCGTCCATCTGGCTGGGCCTCCCCAGCCACTCTGGGCGGCTTCCAACAGAATATTAAAAACAATACAGTATCAAACATTAAAAACTTCCCTAAACAGGGCTGCCTTCAGATGTCTTTTAAAAGTAAGATTGTTGTTTACAACAATCAGGTTGAAGTTGCTTCAGGTTGAGCGCTTTCGGGTTGCGCTCCGCGGTGACCCAGAAGTAACAGAATGCATTACTTCCGGGTTTCGCCGCTTGCTCATGTGCAGACGGTCAAAATGACGTCACGTGCATGCGCGGAAGCAGTGAATTGCGACCCGCGCATGCGCGGACGTGGGGACGCAGGTTGCGTTCACTTCAGGATGTGAACAGGCCTCCGGAACAGATCCCGTTCGTATCCAGAGGGACCACTGTATTTCCTTGACATCTGATGGGAGGGCGTTCCACAGCGCTGGTGCCACTGAACAACAGAATAAGGTACTGTCTTACAGTGACAGTCTCCCCCAACCTGTAGCCTTCCAAGTGTTGTTGGACTACAAGTTTTATCATCCCTGACCACTGGGCATGCTGGTTGGGGCTGATGGGAGTTGTAGTCCAACAGCATACAGAGGGCACTAGGTTGAAAAAGGCCAATCTTATACTAACTGGCAGTGGCTTCCCACGTCTCCCACCCAAGAGACTTAAGCAGAAACAGCAGAGGCTGAACCTGTGACCTTTTGTAGACGAAGTATTTTTAATCTTTGTTGGAAGCCCTAAACAGCCTCAGTCCTGTATACCTGAAGGAGCGTCTCCACCCCCATCGTTCAGTCCGGACACTGAAATCCAGCGCTGAGGGCCTTTTGACAGTTCCCTCATTGTGAGAAGTGAGGTTACAGGGAACCAGACAGAGGGCCTTCTCGGTAGTGGCGCCCACCCTGTGGAACACTCTCCCTTCAGATGTGAAGGAAATAAGCAGCTATCCTATCTTTAAAAGACATCTGAACGCAGTTTTTAATATTTAATGCTGTACTGTTTTTAACATTTGATTGGGAGCCGCCCAGAGTGGCTGGGGAAACCCAGCCAGATGGGTGGGGTACAAATAATAAATTATTATTATTATTATTATTATTATTACTACTACTACTACTACTACTACTATGTGAGACACAACAGCCCAGGGCTGGCCCACCCATGAGGGATGAACCAGCCGCCAAGGCGGTACTCCCATGGGCTTCCTGACTGCCCTGCTGCCTCCCACATCGGTGCCAATTTCCAGCAATATCTTTCCGGAACCTGTCATTGTTGCTGCCATTTTGCACCCCCTCCACCCCAGGTGAGGACCATGTGGTGGACTGGCACTTCCTGTTTTGCCTCAAGCAGCAAAACAGCCCGGTAAATTGCCCACAACAGAGTGTGGAACCTTTTTTGCCTCGGGTCCACATTCCCAATTTTAAACCGGCCACTTTTCTCACACAGAAACACACCTCAACATTCCCTTCTGTGCACATACTTTTAAAAACACATCTCCCCTCATTGAGTTGATGAGGCTCGTGAAGAGAAAGTAGCTATGGCATGTGCTTACATGGGGAGGTTTTACAGTTACCAGAGAAACTGAGGGAGGGTGGCAGGCTAAGGTTCATTGCCAGTAGTCTTTGGATTGAAGCTACCATATTTACATGAATCTAGAGCTGGACCATCAAGAAGGCTGATTGCCAAAGAATTGATGATTTTGAATTATGGTGCTGGAGGGGACTCTTGAGAGTCCCATGGACTGCAAGAAGATCAAACCTGTCCATTCTTAAGGAAATCAGCCCTGAGTGCTCACTGGAAGGACAGATCCTGAAGCTGAGGCTCCAATACTTTGGCCACCTCATGAGAAGAGAAAACTCCCTGGAAAAGACCCTGATGTTGGGAAAGATGGAGGGCACAAGGAGAAGGGGACGACAGAGGACAAGATGGTTGGACAGTGTTCTTGAAGCTACCAACATGAGTCTGACCAAACTGCGGGAGACAGTGGAAGACAGGAGTGCCTGGTGTGCTCTGGTCCATGGGGTCACGAAGAGTCGGACATGACTAAACGACCAAACAACAACAACAATGTGCACCTCAGTTTTCAAAACCTTGAAACCCAGGAACTGTTTGCTATGTCAGCGGCGTTTTACAAGCTTGCGATAGAATCTAATGCGCCATCAAATCTAATGCGCACCCTAATTTTCACGATGTAATTTGGCCCAAAAAAGTGCGCATTACATTTGAGTAAATATGGTATTTATCCGAGTGGTGTAATCACCGACTTCTGCTCTCCAAGGTACTGAACAGGGTGATCTACAGAAGAAGCTTCAAGTCAAGTATGATTATTTTAAAAACTATCACAGCACAGTTATCAGAGGTGCCAGTAAGGGAAGGAATGAAGCAAATTGTCCATAAAATACTTACCGGAGGTCCCTGTGCACCACGTGCTCCCTTTGGACCAGTCACACCAGTTGGGCCCTACAGAGACACAAAACAAAATCTGAATTAGGAACAGTTAACCTTCTCACTGAGCTTCTGCCAGAGATCTCTGTAGCACAGATCTGAAAGAAGCAACCAGCCTCCTTTCTGACAGACCTCTGCCTCCTCTTTTGATGTTTACTCTCTGCCACTCTCTTGCACGATGCGAACTCATGTGTGCCACACAGAGCAAAATCTCTGCTTTACAGGGTTGGGTGTTTTTTGACTTTCTAAGAGTACATGAAAATAGGAGCGACGCCCCTGGCACATGAAAACATGCTACAGAAGCCATTCCTACCAGTTCTCGTGCAGTGCAACAAGCCCTGGTTGTTTGTACCCCAGAAACTAGTATTCAGAAGTACACGTCCCCTGAACTTGGAGGTACCACAGCCAGTAGCCATCTGGCAGACTTGTCCTCCATGAATGTGTTTAATTCCAGTTGACTAAGTTGGGGGGGAGGTTAACATAGTAGACAGATAATATAAGGATGTATACAATTTTACAATATGCAGAAGTTAACATGGGTTGAAAAATCAGAGAGAGGAGCTGAGGGAAGTCTTAGGGGGGAGGGAGGGAGGGTTTGTTGGGGAGGGGGGAGGGAAAAATGGAGGCAAAATAATGAAGATGATTTGTTATATTGAAATTGCTAATAATTAAAAATATATATATTAGGGGAGGGACAAAGCCCCATATGAATGATGTTCTATCCAGCCTATGACTCTGCTCCAATACTTCCCTCATATGACCCTTAAGCCCCAATCTTCTTTCAACGAGGAGACAGGTCTTCTCCAGCATCTTAAAAAAAGCCCCCACCTGGCTCTTGCTAGTCACTGGCTACCATCCCAGGATAGGAATCCTAGAACTGTAGAGTTGGAAGGGACCCCAGTGGTCATCTAGTCCCACCCCCTGCAATGAAGGATTTACCAACCTGTGGGCCAGGAGCACCAGATGATCCTTGTGGGCCTGGGGCCCCAGCATCTCCCTTCTGGCCAGTTTCCCCTTGCTCGCCTTTAGCACCAGGTTGTCCATCAGCACCCTGTATTGGGGAGGAAGGCAAAAGCATTCATGGTGAGAGAGAAAGAGAGAGAGAGAGAGAGAGAGAGAGAGAGAGAGAGAGAGGGGCAGGCTATGGGAGGAAAGAGGTTTAAGCTTCTGAGAATTACTCACAGGAGGACCAGCAAATCCAGCAGGGCCGGGAGCACCAGGTTCACCACGGTCACCCTGAAACAGAAACAGTCGTCAGCTGAGGAAAGAGCTGGAGATAAAGAAAACACCATCCACCCAGTCATCTGGATGCCCTATGCCAGGTATGGCCAACACCTGCATTCTCAAGGTCAGTTTTACTCTCCAGGAACTAGTCTAGTCTAGGGCTGGAACTCCCCAGGCCTCACACACATAGTGATCTGTAATTAAGTCAGCATCACCCACTGGTAGAGGATTCCTTCCACCCAATGGGATGAGGTCATTAACTGGGAGCCTTAGGAACAAACATGCTCCCCAAGGCACCCAAGAGAGACGGGGAGAGAGAATGACTGCTAGTGGCACTTTGAATATGAAGTAGTCATGGGGGATTCACTGCTGATTTTCCTTATAAGCAGAACTGTGAACAGTGTCCCCCCGCCCAATTCTACACCTTGATTAAGGTTTGCTAAGGTCACCAAAGAAATGGCTGGCCTGTAGGAAGGGCTGGATTTAGGTTTGATGAGGCCCTAAGCTACTGAAGGTAATGGGGCCCTTTAAATATCCAGCTGTCCTTTGTCAACAACAAATTGCTGCTGTTTTTTGTGTTGAATATATGCTATATGGTAATTTATGGACCTAATAGGTATCTAAAGCCATTTGCCACTGTAGCTGTATGTAGGTTTTATTTGTTTTTTATCTTATATTTGGAAATGTACATCCAGTTTTTCCCCCTTTAAATTTTTTTGGGGCCCCCAAGAGAGTGGGGCCCTAAGCTATAGCTTGTTTAGCTTATACAGAAATCTGGCACTGCCTGTAGGCCACCAACTCACATTCTCTGCCCAATGAGTCCCACAACCTTACATTGTTGGCGCATGAAGTTGGGGTCTGTCTTTTCTACACTTAGCATAGCGAGGCTCACATCCTCAAGTAATGAGAACTGTTTATGCCAAAGATGTAAGGTCAAAGATTCGTGAAATGTTAAGCGGTACTAATTCACAATTGCTCTATTTAAAGAAAATGTGACTCCAGCTAAGGCCTGCTTTGCTAAATGCCGGTCAAAGCAACAAAGGTCCCTCTCTTGAGATGATATTCACACACCACAGCAGCACACAGAATGGAAACAGCAAGAAATGTGCTTGTTTGCCCCTCTGTGCTACTGACAGGAGCTGAAGGAGACCCCTGTTAGGGTTTCAAAGATTTTATAGGCCAAGTTGAATCTTTCCCCATTCAGATAAAGGTAAAGGGACCCCTGACCATTAGGTCCAGTCGTGGCCGACTCTGGGGTTGCGGCACTCATCTCACTTTATTGGCCGAGGGAGCCGGCGTACTACTAAGCCGCTTCTGGCGAACCATAGCAGCGCACTGAAATGCCGTTTACCTTCCCGCCGGAGCGGTACCTATTTATCTACTTGCACTTTAACGTGCTTTCGAACTGCTAGGTTGGCGGGAGCAGGGACCGAGCAACGGGAGCTCACCCCGTCGCGGGGATTTGAACCACCGACCTTCTGATCGGCAAGTCCTAGGCTCTGTGGTTTAACCCAGTGTGCCACCCGCGTCCCCCCATTCAGATACCCTTCTACAAAAGAATTCATAGTAATATCAAACTTACGGGGCCACCACGAGCACCTGCAGCACCAGCTGGGCCAGGGGGGCCAGATTCACCCTGGTGGAATTAAAAAAAGAGAAAAAGATCAAGGATTTTGTATGATCCACATTTTCCTCAAACCAAACTGGTGCAATTATCTTTTGTTTTTTAAAACTTTTTCTTATTTTGAAATACAATTCTTAGATTTTTTTTAAAGGATAAAAATGTGTATTTTAAGATTAAAATGCATAAAAAATGTACATTTTTTGGATCAAGTATGTAGGAAAATGCATATTTTGTGAATATCTGCTTTAAAATGTAGTTTTCTTCATGTTTGCAGATCAGTGGGGATATTCCACAAAACAGAATTAGGAATAGACGTGAATGAAACGCCATGGACCAGAAATAGACTGATCCATCATGAAAAGCAGTAAAATATGCTAGAAGCAACAACAGACAGGAAGTCACCATTAAACCATTTTTAGTCTGTAGTGAAATACGCCCAAATTTGACACAAAATGTGGAACAGGCTGTTACCGAGACAAATATACCCACAAGACTTAGAAACCACCTCTGCCTGCTGCGTAGCCTAACCAAGGACAACTCATTTGCAGAAGACTTTCTTACCTTCTCTCCATTGGCGCCAGCAGGGCCAGGAGGACCAATGGGACCAGTCAAGCCCTGGCAAAAGGGAAAAAAAGAATTAGGTGTACTGGTGAAAAGCATCCCATTTGTATCAAAGGCATCCCTGCTTTACTGGCAGTTTCAGAACTGAGACATTAGCACTAAAAATGGGGCACAAACGTTACCCCCCACTCTTTCTGAAGCTCATAGAAGATGGGACTGGATTCACTTTCGGAAGAGTAGCCGGGAACACCTAACACTTATTCATCAGTACTTGTTTTCTTACCTTGACAGCTTGAGAATATTCTTTAGGCCTTTGACCTAAACTCTCTTTTGGCCTTGCCAAGTTTTCAGAGGCTCAGCTCTAACCAAAAGCCCACTTTTGCCTTGATCACAGTTCTCCAATGGTCAAGTCATTTCCCTCTCTTCTATAGAGGAGGTAAAGGTAAAGGGACCCCTAACCATTAGGTCCAGTCGTGGCCGACTTTGGAGTTGTGGCGCTCATCTCGCTTTATTGGCCGAGGGAGCTGGTGCACAGCATGACTAAGCCACTTCTGGCGAACCAGAGCAGCACACGGAAACGCTGTTTACCTTCCCGCCAGAGCGGTACCTATTTATCTACTTGCACTTTGACGTGCTTTCGAACTGCTAGACTGGCAGGAGCAAGGACCGAGCAACAGGAGCTCACCGCGTCACGGGGATTCGAACTGCTGACCTTCTGATCGGCAAGTCCTAGGCTCTGTGGTTTAACTCACAGCGCCACCCGCGTCCCACAGCGCCACCCCAGTAGATGTGTTTTTTCCCACCATCAACCTCTTAGTTGGCTAAACCGGTTGCTTGATGTCTTAAGAAAGGAAAAAGCCAAGTTGGCCACTTACTCTGCCACCATCTTTGCCAGGAGCACCTTCTGGTCCCTTCTCACCAATATCACCCTGTTGGAGGACAGCAGAAGGATAGACAGTAAGTAGGTGGCAATTCTGAGAACCCTCTTTGTTTATGATAATTGCCCCAGAGTGAAAAGATTAAAAAAGTGATTTTCTTTTTTTAAAAAAATAATATTTATTAAAGGTTTAAAGATTACAGAAAGAGAAAAAAAAGTAAACAATGCAAATCAATACTATACATAAAAAAACAAAAAACAAAAGACACAATACATCAAAGCAAAAGCAAAAGCAAAAACAATTAAAATCACATTCCAATATTTCCATATTTTTGTCTTTCATTAACTTGTTTCATCGACCTCCTCACACCTCCCTTTTTTGTGTTCTAGTTATTAATTGTTTCAGCAAATCCTTTCCATCTTTCACTATTTTCTATCATATAATTATCATAATTTATTTTAACCTTATCTTACCATTAATACCCTAAAACTTATTTGTACTTAACTCCTTATAACATTTCTACTAAAGCCGTGTAATTTCATTCCAACATTTTTCTAACACTCATTAATTTTACAATGTTTCTATAAATAAATTTTTAAAACTTTTTCCCAATCTTCTTCCACCGTCTCTTCTCCCTGGTCTCAGATTCTGCCAGTCCTTTCTATCAATCTAAAAAAGCGATTTTCAATTCCACCCGGCTAATTGGCAGGTGGCACCCAATCCCTGACAAAACAGCCCTTCAAGTATTCCATGAAGAGGAGGAGAAGGAGAAGGTGACGACTTACCCTGTCTCCCTTTGGTCCAGAAATACCTGCAGCTCCTCTCTCACCAGGCATTCCCTGAAGACCTGGGGGGCCTTGTGCTCCAACGGCACCAGCAGGACCAGTTGCGCCCTGGAAAAGAAAAATAAGGCTCACCATTAAAGCTTGGCAATATTTCCAAGTATCTTCCAAACTCGGTTTGAAATCCATATCGTGGTATCCGTTTCGTAATTTTTGACCTGGCAATATATGGCAAGTCATGATGTGTGTGTGTTGTGCAAAAAATCACAATGCGGGGAAAACCGTGAAGCCAGCCAATGCCTCTACATAGCAACATCCTTATACTGATATATCACATGTCTGAAATATCGCAATGTTTAGCTGGCGATATATCATAGTGTTGAAAACCAGGTATTGCCCAGCCCTAGTCACAATCACTATGCAACTGCTTGGGCATTCATCACAATAGACTTGCAGGATTACAGAGAGAGGCACTACAGTGGTGCCCCGCAAGATGAATGCCTCGCAAGACGGAAAACCTGCTAGACGAAAGGGTTTTCCGTTTTTGAGTTGCTTCGCAGGACGAATTTCCCTATGGACTTGCTTCGCAAGACGAAAATGTCTTGCGAGTCTTGAGATTTTTTTTCCGCTTCCCCCCCCCTTTTCTAAGCCGCTAAGCCGCTAATAGCCTTTTAGCAGCTAAGCCGCTAAGCCTTTAATAGCCGATAAGCCGCTAATAGCGCTAATCCGCTAAGCCGCTAATAGGGTTGCTTCGCAAGACGAAAAAACCGCTAGACGAAGAGACTCGCGGAACGGATTAATTTCGTCTTGCGAGGCACCACTGTATCATGTATTATTTCACCAACATGCGATTGATGAGCTGAACGCACACCTCCCTTCTATGGGAGAAGATGTCCCCCACATTACGAGATTGTCATGTACAGTGGTGCCTCGCAAGACAAAATTAATCCGTTCCGCAAGTCTCTTCGTCTAGCGGTTTTTTCGTCTTGCGAAGCACGGCTATTAGCGGCTTAGCGGCTATTAACGGCTTAGCGGCTTTAAGAAAAAGGAAACAAACTCGCAAGAACTCGCAAGACGTTTCTTCTTGCGAAGCAAGCCCATAGGGAAATTCGTCTTGCGGAACGACTCAAAAAACGGAAAACTCTTTCGTCTTGCGCGTTTTTCGTCTTGCGAGGCATTCGTCTTGCGGGGCACCACTGTACCGTACTCAACAAACTTGATAGAAGGAATTCAGGATGTCAGACAAACACAAGAGGTAGTGGAAAGCCAGGAAAGCATGACAAGCGCTCTCTCAACCTTCTCTATAGAGCCACCCTTTCACAATTAATAATAATTTATTATTTATACCCCGCCCATCTAGCTGGGTTTCCCCAGCCACTCTGGGCAGCTTCCAGCAGAACACTAAAACACAATAACCTATTAAACATTAAAAGCTTCCCTAAACAGGGCTGCCTTCAGATGTCTTCTAAAAGTTTGGTAGTTATTTTTCTCTTTGACATCTGGTGGGAAGGCATTCCACAGGGCGGGTGCCACTACCGAGAAGGCCCTCTGCCTGGTTCCCTGTAACCTCACTCCTCGCAATGAGGGAACCACCAGAAGGCCCTCGGCGCTGGACCTCAGTGTCCGGGCAGAACGATGGAGGTGGAGACGCTCCTTCAGGTATACTGGGCCGAGGCTGTTTAGGGCTTTAAATGTCAGCACCAACACTTTGATTTGTGCTTGGAAACGTACTGGGAGCCAGTGTAGGTCTTTCCTTTACAGTGGTACCTCGGGTTACATACGCTTCAGGTTACAGACTCCGCTAACCCAGAAATAGTACTTCGGATGAGAACAGAAATCGTGCTCCGGTGGCGCAGCGGCAGCAGGAGGCCCCATTAGCTAAAGTGGTGCTTCAGCTTAAGAACAGTTTCAGGTTAAGAACGGATTAAGTTCTTAACCCGAGGTACCACTGTAAGCAGTGTAGGTCTTTCAATTAATCTAGTCCCTGCTGAACTCCGCTGCCCAAAGTCTCTTCAAAAAAGCAGCGCCCTGACAAGGAAGCTTGCCAATATCTTCCCCGCCAACGGTCCCTCAGCTGATTTCCCTATTATCCTCTTTCTCTGAAAGAAACTGAGTTCATAATGTACCTGGCGGTCCAGATGCTATGAGGCTCTTTCTGTATGGCAGCCACCGGGGCTGGGAGGTGGGAGAAAGGTGTACAGGCTGCACTGCAGAACAGGAAGTAATGCTAAGTCGCCACCTACCTTGGGTCCATCGGTCCCAGGAGTGCCGGGAAGACCACGAGGACCCTGCAAGCCTTGGGCACCTGGAGATCCACGCTCACCTGGGAAGCCGCGCTCGCCCTAGAGAGGAAAGAGATCATTTTAGTGCTCAGGATGAGTAGAAGACTCTGTTCTAGAGTGGCATGATTATGGTAAGGTGTTGATGGGAATGGTTGAGGATTTTGTACTTTCCTCATTTTAAAGCAAACACCCTGTACTTAATATGGAGCCTGGAATCCTTCATTTATCACAGTCCTCTGAATTTTGAGTTTTCAGCTCAAAAACACACCAAAATACAAATAAAATTGAGTATTTTTGATAGGGTACAGAAGTGTGTATTTTAGGATAAAATGAAAATTATATTAAAAACCAATGCATGCTTCTCACTTTTTTTAAAAAAAATATGCGACAACTGATACAAAAATAAAATGACTTACGATTTATTTTAGTATTATTTAACTAAATTTATATACCACTGACTCAAACGAAAGACCTCTAAATGGTTGACAAAAGACAATCCAAAATGGCAATAAAAGCAAACATTGAAACAAGTTACATTAATAAATTAAAACATAAAAAAATCAATAATTTAAAAACAATTTTGCTTACTAAAATAACACACCAAAATTACATGCCTGGGTAGGCTTACTGGAACCATAATGTTTTTAGCAGGCACCAAAAAGAATAGAGCGAAGACACCTGCTTACTAATTTCAAAGGGCATGGCTGCTGCCACACTAAAGATTTTATTTCTTGCAAGTGAGGAATGGATAATATGGGGCAGTGGTAAAAGTGCCAGTTCTGCAGATCTGTGTGGTCAAGTGGGTATCTATGAATTAACCACAATGTGAAAGTGACAGTGGATTTAGACTGATTCACCCACCCCTAGGCCCTGGATTTTAAATTTACGCTACTCACTCTGGGACCAACAAGACCGGGGGCGCCAGCCTCTCCAGGAACACCCTGAAAGAAAGATATACATATATATTTAGAAGCAGGGAAAGAGGGAAGGAGAGAGGTTAGCTAATCTACAGTCCCCTGAACAACCATTAAGATTCCCCCTTGGATCCAATACTTCTCAACCGTTATACTTAAATATACTGTGTTGCTAAGCTCATATTTGCAGAGAATAATCTAAAAATACCTATGAACAAGGGCAAAGGGGGGGGGGGTAGAAAGAGACTCTCAATGTTCAAGTGGGCCCTCTGTTGCAGATCTCATGCAGTTTTCCCTCTGTTATGTCCAGCACATTGATTCCACACATCCAGTGAACATTACTGCCAACAATTAAATGAGCCCAAGCATGCATTTGCTTCAAAACAACATTTGTTTATCTAGCTTGCTGCACTGAATACATATTGACCCTCCCTGCCCAGTTCAGCTGCCAAGAATTACTATCTGGAACAAGCAGGGCTTCACAGAATAAAACACCTGTGGCTGATTTATTCCTCATATACACAGAAACTATTGACTAGAAGGAAGTCCCTTTGCAGCAGGACACCCTTAAGCTTAGAAAGTCAACACTCTGCAGACTTGAGTTCTCATTCTGTCCAGATTATTCCAAGGGTGATCCTCAATGCCCATCTCTCTCTTTCTCATTACTTACCTGGTCACCTGGCTTTCCACCTTCACCCGGAGGACCTGGGGGACCTGGAAGTCCCTGAAAACAAGAAATATAGTGTTAGCATGACACTCTCGGGGAAGTGCCGGTCCAGAAACACCAATAGTGTCCAGGGCAGGAAGGGAAGTCTTGTGAGCCAAATTGATTGCCGTTAGATTTTATCAGACAGGAAGTAAAATAACTTGGTTTAACTGTATACAACTGGAGCAATAGGCAAAAAAGTAGTTAAGGGAAAAGAGGAACTGCAAAGAATATACAAAATTTGAAAAAAAAAATGATTATAAAAAGGGGAGATAAAGAAGAAAATACAGTTATAAAAGGGGAAACCAGTGAAATTTATAAAATATTAGTAGAAATGGAGGAAAAAGAAGCTCAATTAAAAGAAGTGTGGGAAAAGGAGACAACAGGGCAGATAGATAGTCAAAGCTGGAGGGAAATATGGGAGAAACGTACGTTGCAAATGCTGTCTATAAGAATAAAAGAAAATTATTATAAATTAGTTTGAAGATGGCATTTAACACCAGTCAGATTAAATCAAATAAATAAAGGATATTCGGTGTTATGTTGGAAGGGATGCTAGGTAACAGGGAATTATGTTCACATGTGGTGGGGGTGTAAATATGGACATGTTTTTGGCAAAGGGTGTTTAAGGAGATAACAGATTCCACAGTTCAGATAATGGAGAAACTGGAAATAAAATACTGGAATGAATACCCCAACCCCTAGACATTTACAACAAAATTATGCCTGCCCACCCAAGCACCTCTGATTAAGACAAGACGAACCTTCTCCAAGCTGGTGCCCTCCAGATGTTGATGGATCCCCAGCTGGCATGACCAATGGTCAGCGATGATGGGAGCTACAGCCCAACAACATCTGGGGGACAGCAGCTTAGGGAAGGCCGACATATCTCAAGCAGCCCTATGCTATCCCTGCAAATCTCAAATGAGGCACACCTTTTTGAGGAGCTCCTAAAGTGAGGCACCTTGGGAGGTGTGAGGAACTCAATGCAGCTTGAGACCCAAGTAGTTGGGACAGAGAGCTGGACCATAAAGAAGGCTGATCACCGAAGAATCGATGCTTTTGAATTATGGTGCTGGAGGAGACTCTTGAGAGTCCCATGGACTGCAAGAAGATCAAACCTATCCATTCTGAAGGAAATCAGCCCTGAGTGCTCACTGGAAGGACAGATCCTGAAGCTGAGGCTCCAATACTTTGGCCACCTCATGAGAAGAGAAGACTCCCTGGAAAAGACCCTGAAGTTGGGAAAGATGGAGGGCACAAGGAGAAGGGGATGACGGAGGACGAGATGGCTGGACAGTGTTCTCGAAGCTACCAGCATGAGTTTGACCAAATTGCGGGAGGCAGTGGAAGACAGAAGTGCCTGGCATGCTCTGGTCCATGGGGTCACGAAGAGTTGGACACGACTAAACGACTAAACAACAACAACAACTCACCCACCCCCTTCAGGTTCATGGATCACTCTGCCAGAAAACCTTCATCTGGGCGTCTTGCTTAGCAGGTACTCACCACTAAGGCATGCAAGACTAGAGAACATGGATTCATTCTTCATGGACAGTTAAGAGTTTATGACAACCCTGTGCTTCCATGTCATATCCTTCCAACGGAGCTAGACAGTCATCTGGGATGGGGGGCGGGCAGTCCTTTCCCTAACTTCTCTCCACATTTTCAGTTCGTGTTACTTGTGCAAACAGTTACACTCCCCAGCACAGGCAGAATTAACAATGGTGAGCACTGCCCTTAAAGAGGCACAAGAGAATCGCTCTACTTACTTGGAATCCAGAAGGTCCCGGGGCACCCTGTTCGCCTCTCTCTCCTGCTGGCCCCTAAGAAGAAGAGGGGAAAACACTAGGTTAAGGGCAGGCCTAACAGTGGGATGTGCTGCCTGGGGCAAAGAGTATAGCTCTCACCTGAAAAATCTAACATCACCTAGTCAAACGTGTACAAGATTTCTTAAGTCTACACTTTCCTCTGTTAGCAAATAAGCTGCAGCTATAAAAAGGACCCCCTTCCATTTACCTGCTAAACCTTGAAAAGATGCACATTCCAGCACGTTCACAAGTTTCTATGCTGGCCCCAACATAGAGTACAAACTCAGAGCTGATTCATGCATTAAACTTTTAGGTCCTTTTTTGATTTAATGTATAAATGAGGGGTTTTGTTTTTTTTAAAAAACTAGTCAGAGAGCTAGAACTGCCTACAGCTCTGTCAAGTGCACTCTCCATTTTCATTCAGTTTTCAAGGATGCATTGGGGTGGTTTTTTGGGCCATGTAATGTGTTATATGGTTCTCAATGGGAGCAACTTTTCTATGGGAGAGGGAATTAGGAAAAGGGCTCGCTAATACAGATTGATAGGTAGACTAGGAGGTTACAGCACTGTTACTTGTATTTAAAATGCAAAGTGAAGCAATAGTTAAAGGGGAAAGGCTAGTAAGATAGCACCTCGGTTCTAAATATATTTGAAATTAAGTGTTGCAGATGTCACTTCAGAGTGGGGGAAGTGTGGGCATCTCATGAAGAAATGCACACAGGTCAGTTTAGCCATTATAGGTAAAAGGTAAAGGGACCGCTGACCATTAGGTCCAGTCATGGCCGACTCTGGGGTTGCGGTGCTCATCTTGCTTTATTGGCCAAGGGAGCCGGCGTACAGCTTCCGGGTCATGTGGCCAGCATGACTAAGCCGCTTCTGGAGAACCAGAGCAGCGCACGGAAACGCCGTTTACCTTCCCACCAGAGTGGTACCTATTTATCTACTTGCACTTTGACGTGCTTTCGAACTGCTAGGTTGGCAGGATAAGTACACACCAATTATCTCCACACAGGAAAGATGCAATGCTAAAACTGCTCTGAACTTTAAAGAAATTCCAAAAGAAATCACAATTATTAGAATGATTTTGCAGCTCAGTTAGTATGTGACACTAAGCCAAACCATGACTTAGTACAAGTGTGTGAATGTACCAGAACCCAGAGAGGAGACTGGAGCTGCTTCAATGTTGCCTGAAAATAGGCTCATGGCTTTTTCTTGCTGCAGACAAACCACGAGCTGCAATCCAGGTTTGCATCCACTTGTAACAGCACGAGGCTCTCTGCTGTCTCTACTCACTTCTAGTGGCTGGTCATACTTCCTGGAATGCTTACAGGAGGACATTACATCCACCCATGGCTAGCAGAAGGCTACTATGAGTGTGTGCAAGGCATTAAAAAAAGTATAGTGGAAGAAAAAGAAGCATGATCTTATAAAGCAGGCATGTCCAACAGGTAGATTGTGATCTACCGGTAGATCACTGGACGTCTGTAGTAGATCACCGGTAGATCAGTAGCTCCCCCCAAAGAACTTTGGCTCGGCTCCCCTAAAAAAAGCTCAACATCTTTGCCCTGCACCCCTAAAATGACCTGAACCACCAAAAACAGGGCTTTCCTTCCTAAAAATGCTCAACAACTTTGGCCGAAACCCCCCAAAAGGGGGTAGATCACTGCCAGTTTTTAACTCTGAGTAGATCACTGTCTCTTGGAAGTTGGGCCACCCCTGTTACAAAGCAAGAGGAAGAACCAAGACCCCAGAAAATGTCACCAAAATTCTCCAGACACCTGAATCTTTGGGGCATATTCAGTTCCTCCCTTACGCCTAAGAAAATGCAGGATTTCGATTCGGCCAACCTCCTGCCTGCCAGGAGAAAAACACTCATACTCACAGCAGGCCCTGGAGGTCCACCTGCTCCCGTCTCGCCATCTTTGCCAGGAAGACCCTGATGAGAAAAAGTGATACATTTGAGACAGGATCGGAAAGTCTTGATGAACAATGCAATTTCCCCTCCCACAGACCAAAAATTGCCCCCAAGTACAGGGAGCTGGCAGAAGGAAAGGGCTTTCTTTTTGTATTAGTTTCTTACTAAGCTAGGTTTAAAGGGTATCTGCCCGAAGTGCTCATTATGAAGGAAATTATTGCTGGGTGGCACAATTCTAGGGTGCAATCCTTCCTCCTCCCCTGAGGACAGCAGGTGTCTCTGGTGTGGACTCCCTGTGCTACCGATCACAGAAAAGCTGCAGGAATGCACAGGGTACGTCAAAACTGCATGTGAAGGTGCAGTTTTTTTCAAGAGGGATGGGAGCCTCCAGGAAGACTCATGGCTAAATTCTGAGGTCTCTAAAATGCATGCACAGAGTTATTATTAAGTAAATTTTCCTCTGCCATTCTGCATCATAGCTCTGCATTCTTTTCCTAACATTTCTGAAAGTCTGATTGCTTTATAGGTGTAATAGTTCCCATCGAAATTAGACTAGAAGCTATGTCAGGTTTGTCAGAGGTGAGCTCTCTGCAAAAGCAGCATTGAAGTTAGGAGACTCAGAGCTTAAACCCTTTTATTTCAATCATTCTGTGGCAATGCAGCAAATTAAGTCACAGTCATTCAACAGGCTTTATGCAACAGAGAGGGACCTTAACTGGGACTAAGGTGTCACACGGTACTTTATGAAGCATCTGCCTTCAGTGGCTTCTTCACGCAGTTGGTTGTGAGCACTCCGCATTCCAAAGCACCACCCCCATATCATCTGGACTGTACCCCAATAGCTGGGTGGAGGGAACCAAATCATGGCATCCTGTTCAGGCCAGGCAGAGAGAGGCTGGGTTTCTTTCCACTGCAGGACAGGGTGGGGAGAAGATGGCTTCATAATGGCAGTGGGAGGAAGAAACGATAATCAACCCCACTTACTCTTAGGCCAGGAGCACCAGGAAGTCCTTTCTCACCAGCTTTACCAGGTTCACCCTAGATGGAAAGAAAAAACAGAAGTCGTCACTGGTGTGCTTTTGGAAGAAAGCTGAGCCCTCCAATCTCCTGTCCAGCTCTCTCCTTCTCTGTTGTTATAACCAAGGTATAAAGGTAAAGGTAAAGGGATCCCTGACCATTAGGTCCAGTCGTGGCCGACTCTGGGGTTGCGGTGCTCATCTAGCTTTATTGGCCGAGGGAGCTGGCATACAGCTTCCAGGTCATGTGGCCAGCATGACTAAGCTGCTTCTGGCGAACCAGAGCAGCACACGGAAACGCCGTTTACCTTCCCGCCGGAGCGGTACCACTTGATCTACTTGCACTTTGACGTGCTTTCGAACTGCTAGGTTGGCAGGAGCAGGGACCTAGCAATGGGAGCTCACCCCGTCGCGGGGATTCGAGCCGCCAACCTTCTGATCGGCAAGTCCTAGGCTCAGTGGTTTAACCCACAGCGCCAACCGCGTCCCTTATAACCAAGGTATGGGCAGTGCTTTTTTCTGGGAGGGGGGACACATGGGGGAACGCATACCCCTAAACATTTTGTGAATTTAAGTTTGGCCTCATTGAGGGGCAGTATTTCAATATGAGTAGGAAAATGAGAGTACCCCTAAACATTTTTTTAAAGAGAAAAAGCACTGGGTATAGGTATATGATTTTTTGGGACCAGCAGAGCAAGCACATTACCCAGCCTGGAAAATAACTAAGTGGCTTTCCTGCTGTGCTAGTTACAAAGTGGAACTATTCCATGTTACAACCTTGTACCATTTCCCCTCAAACATCTTCCCTAGTGACAATGCATGGGTCATAGTGTCAATGATTGCTGAGTGCAGATTTACTTACATTTGCACCTTTCGGGCCTGGGAAACCCATGACGCCAGGCTGGCCACGGGCACCTTGTGGACCAGGTGGGCCAGGTCGCCCATCTTCACCTGGGGCACCCTATTGAGAGATAGAGAAACAGGCATGCTTTGTTAATGATGCTGGGAAGACAAGTAACATATCCCATATAGAGTGGACCCAACTTTATGGAAGTGCCACTTTCACCCAGACATCCTGGATGTCTTTCAGAACCTCATAAAGGAAAGGCATCAGCCCATAATAAAAATCCACAATCTATTGTAGGGCAATGCCTTTATTATGCCAAGCAAAATGTCACAAATTAGTGAGCAAGTTTTTCTGTTTGTTCCCATGTGGAAAACCAGCATACTGGTGTATATTAGAACTTTTTGTGCCCTTAGATAATTCCAGTTCCCAAGTGTGATTTTGATTTTAAAAAGCTCACCACTGCAGCATTAACATCCACTCGCCATTCAGTAATGCTGCTCATATAAACAAACACAGACTTCCAGTGTTACTGTACCCATACAATATCCAAGGTTCCATTGAGCATCCCTAAGACTCCACCATCCACTTCTCTTGCAAACTCCATATTTGCTTTTGAAACGAACCCCAGAAATACTGCAAGTCAGCACCCACCTACTTCCTGAATCCCATCTCTTCGAATTGTCTATCGACCACTGTTCCCCTCATCTACATATTACCCACTCGAAGTCTTTTACCTGGCATTGCTCAGGAATTCTAAGAAACGAAACAAAAACTATGTGGCTTTGAAAAGTTTTGAAAAGTTCCGTCCATCATCTTGATTCAAAATGGTGTCCAACTGTATCCAAACATCAAGAAAAGCCTGCTGCTACATCTCAAGAACCATCAAGCAAAATTTGGTTACAAGATCTTTAGAGGTGGCCAAATGCATAGCCAAGATGCCAACAATTTTCCGAAATATATAGTAGATCCATCACTCCTTTCTCAAAGCTCTCGGCACCCCTATTATTTTGGATGACACAAGAAGACAATGATGGAATATACTTACAGATGGGCCAACTTTGCCTTGGGGACCAGCATCACCAGGGCGACCAGTGAGACCCTAGATGCAAGAAGAAAAAGCCAGACCATTAAGACCTTTTCCCAATATCTTTCCTTGAACGGTCAACAATACAATTTACACACATATCTCCAAAATGGTTCATCTAATTTATTTTTTGATGTTGGTTCAACAGTCAGTTCTGCTATTGGTTCAATAGAAGCCGTCAGCCAAATAAGTTTTAGATCCTAATGGTGGTAGACAACTAAGTTTTACTCAGAGTAAACCCACTCAAATTAATGAATATGACTAAACTAAGTCCATTAATTTCAATGGGTAAAAGTTGAACATGAACTTATTTACTTTCTTTGAGACAGCTATAACACCTTTGCTGTGATCAAAGGCTCAACCCAGGCCAGAGAAACTAAAGAGGCTTAGGTCATGATAAAGTCTCCTCAAAGGATATCCCTAATCTAAATTTAATAAATCTGAAACATACCACTTTTAAACTGAATTTGAAGCACCCGGAATGGGCTCAGAGAATAAAATGGTCAATGATGTAGTACCACCATAGAAGCTAACAAGTACTACAAGTTGTTTGGATGAGAAACTACCAAGAAGTATTATATTAGCCACTCTGAGCTCCTCAAAGAGAGAGAAGAGCAAAAGTATGATAAAGTTTTGAAGGAGATAATCACTGCACACCATGCTAAGGTATAAGGAACTGAGCCTTGGGAAACCAAGGAAATTCAAGGCTTCCTAGCAGTGACACTGCAAGCTAGCTGCCCACTGCTTTTCCCACCCTTTAACTGGATTTACAGCTTACTCCATGAGATGGAGAAAATGCCATTAGTAGCAAGTCTGTGTGCGGAGAAGCTCCACTGGTAGAACATCTCCCAGGCTCAGATACTCTAAACTTGTACTCTGCCCTGGGTCACAGGAGGTAACAGAACTGCCCGTTCTTATTGTTCTCAGTGATGGGGCTCTTTACTTTTGCAGATAAGAGGAACTTTCAACACATTATCCTAAAAGATTGTTCTTTCCTTCTAAGACTGTTAGGTGCTCTCCAACCCTTCCAGTCTTATGGAATAAAGATAGACATGCCAAATACAGTGCCAAATACAGGAGCCCCGTTCGCATCCTGAGTAGAACGTAACACGCAACTGCGCGTGCGCAGGTCGCCAATTCCGTGCAAGTGCGTGACGCCATTTTGAGCGTCTGCGCATGTGTGAGCGGCAAAACCTGGAAGTAACGCGCTCCGTTACTTCCGGGTCACCATGGAGTGTAACTTGAAAACGCTCAACTTGAAGCATATTTAACCTGAGGTATGATTGAACAGTGGTACCTCTGGTTAGGTACTTAATTCGTTCCGGAAGCCTGCTCTTAACCTGAAACTGTTCTTAACCTGAAGCATCACTTTAGCTAATGGGGCCTCCCGCTGCTGCGCCACCGCTGCACAATTTCTGTTCTCATCCTGAAGCAAAGTTAACCCGAGGTACTATTTCTGGGTTAGCGAAGTCTGTAACCTGAAGCATCTGTAACCTGAAGCGTATGTAACCCGAGGTAAAGGACCCCTGACCATTAGGTCCAGTCACGGATAACTCTGGGGTTGCAGTGCTCATCCCACTTTATTGGCCGAGGGAGCCGGTGTACAGCTTCCGGGTCATGTGGCCAGCATGACTAAGCCGCTTCTGGCGAACCAGAGCAGCACACAGAAATGCCGTTTACCTTCCCGTCGGAGCGGTACCACTTGATCTACTTGCACTTTGACGTGCTTTCAAACTGCTAGGTTGGCAGGAGCAGGGACCGAGCAACGGGAGCTCACCCTATCGCGGGGATTCGAACCGCCAACCTTCTGATCGGCAAGTCCTAGGCTCTGTGGTTTAACCCACAGCGCCACCCGCATCCCTGTACAAATGTGCTTTAAATTGTTACTGCCATCTGCTGTTGAGAATGGACAGCTGCATGCAGAAAGAGTTTAATGTGGGCATCCTAAGAATAAGAGATAGTAGAGGCAGAGTACCAATGTGGTACCTTCCCATACTCTCTGATGCTAGTTGGGGCTGATGGGAGTTGGGAGTACAAAACGCATCAAGCGCTTTCCCCCTCCCCAAAGTCTAGCAGAGTTTACTCATGGTCCAGTACAGTTGCGGTCCAATGTTTCTGCCAGGCTTCCAAGTCTGTAAATGGCATGTGGCAAGCAGAAATTGAGCTGGTGAGGTTCCTCTCAGCATGCAGGTGCTGTGATGAGGAAATATTCACCTGGAGAATATCTACCAAATGTATGTTAAAGGTATAGGAACCCTGACAGAAGCGAGTTGGAAAACCTACTTGCAGTCTGTCATTATTATTCCCATTTTACAGAATGTGAATTAAGCTGAGAAGCAGTGGCATCTCTTTCCTGTTACTATTACAGTGGTACCTCGGGTTAAGTACTTAATTCGTTCTGGAGGTCTGTACTTAACCTGAAACTGTTCTTAACCCGAAGCACCACTTTAGCTAATGGGGCTTCCCGCTGCCGCCGCGCTGCCGGAGCACGATTTCTGTTCTCATCCTGAAGCAAAGTTCTTAACCTGAAGCACTATTTCTGGGTTAGCAGAGTCTGTAACCTGAAGCGTATGTAACCTGAAGCGTATGTAACCCGAGAGACCACTGTACTGTGATGAAGGCTGAAGAGCCTGCGTGAAATGAAGGAAATCTCAAGAGACTTTAGAATAAAGTAAAGCTTTTTCAAAAGGACTCCGCCCTCCTTTAGACATCAAAAACTGTCCCGTAATTGCAGGAAAGACAGCTACCCAACCAGTGTTAACGGTGGAGTGATTTGTGACACTTAAACATGTTGTCATTATTTGTTCAGTTTATATATTGCCCTTCATCAAAAGTTCCCAGGGCAGTGTACAACGTTAAAAACACACTACAGAACACCCATGATAAAAACATAATAAAAAGGATACTGGAAGACAGCCTAAAATATAATATAACAGTCCTCTCCCCCACACTTTCACAGGCCATAGGTTATTTAATAGTCATAGGCCTGGAATGTTTTTGCCTGGTGCCTAAAGATATGTATTGATGGCGCCAGGCAAGCCTCTCTGGGGAGAGCATTCCACAACTGGGGAGCCACCACAAAAAAGGCCCGTTCTCATGTTGCCACTATCTGAGATAGGGAACACAGAGAAGGGCCTCAGATGACAAGTGTGCAGCCTTGAGGCTGTCTCACACTGTTTATATAGACTTCTGATCTCTGTTAACAGGAAGGGGAGGCCTTATACTGAGAATGAACATTCTAGTCAAAGCGGGATTTTTACAAAGCGATTGAAGCAAGAACCACTTTAACCCTCGTGTGTGCAATGTCTTACCCTAGCGCCAGGCAAGCCAGGTTCTCCAGGACGGCCGGGATCTCCAGTGGCTCCTTTGGGACCTCCAAGGCCAGGAGGTCCACGTTCACCGGGAGCACCCTGCCCAGGAAAAAGTAAGCAAGAAATGCATTAACTCAGAGAAATCAGGAGGGCTAGACCCTGTGATGCTTGGGTCAATGGTTTACCATCCAATGGTTATCTCTGGAAATGGCTATAACTATACACTTGATGAACCATTTTCAAACCAGTTTTAACAGTGAACTTTGCAACTTCTGTGAAAGGGTTGGGGCTGAAGCAACTAATACAATGCAGACCAAACTAACATTTCCAAAATTCTTTAGCAGGCATGTATGACTGATTTCAAAACTAGTTCAGATGTAATTTAGACACACCTGTCCTTTGTCTGCACTTTCATTATAAGGTAAAGGTAAAGGGACCCCTGACCATTAGGTCCAGTTGTGACCGACTCTGGGGTTGCGGCGCTCATCTCGCTTTATTGGCCGAGGGAGCCGACGTACAGCTTCTGGATCATGTGATCAGCATGACTCAGCCACTTCTGGCGAACCAGAGCAGCACACGGAAACGCCGTTTACCTTCCCGCCGGAGCGGTACCTATTTATCTACTTGCACTTTGACGTGCTTTCGAACTGCTAGGTTGGCAGGAGCAGAGACCGAGCAACGGAAGCTCACCCCGTCGCGAGGATTCGAACCGCGACATTCTGATCGGCAAGTCCTAGGCTCTGTGGTTTAACCCACAGCGCCACCCGTGTCCCTGCACTTTCATTATAGGGCTGCCCATCTCATGGAAAAACCAACGCTGTAGCTGATCTTGATTCATTCAATTAACTTTGGCTGCTCTGACTATTTGCAGAGCATTCAAATTTAACTTCTGTGAGTCATTTACCCCATATGTGCCCACTTGACTGCTTCAATTGGAACTGGTAAAAGTGCCACATAATACCCGCACCACATCTGTAAGAACTTGATTGTACAGTGTGGTAGCACCATAACTTTGGAACTCCCTGCCTATTGATTTCAGGCAGGTGCCTTCAATGCATTCCTTTTGGTGCCCGTTGAAGACATTCTTACTCAGACAAGACTACCCAGATGTTTAGAAAGTTTGTAGGAGCTTTAATTTATTTTAGTCTATTTCACTGTGGTTTTAAGCTTCTGTATGTTTTAAATTACAGTTGTAAATTTTTTAGCGATCATTTAATCATTTTCGTAAACCACTTGAAGTTTTTCTACAATCAATCCCATCAGATGTCAAAGAGATGAACAATTACACAATTTTCTGAAGACAGTTTTTAATGTAAGATGTTTCGCTGGGGCAAGCCAGTCAGATGGACAGGGTATAATAAATTTATTATACTTATTATCATAAGTATGTAATTTTTATGAAATAAATAAAATTTTAAAAAATAGAGCTCCAACATGGCTTGGATGAAATAATATTTGAGATTACGAAAACATTTAAAAGAAAGCTTCTAGTAAACACAGAAACTTATGCTCTGAGACCCAACTCAGGGCCTTAAAATTTCTTATCAAGTATCTCCAAATTCCATTTGTTACAGAATAAAGTTGACTTAACCTGTGTCCCGCCCCACCTCCGATGTTTCTGGACTCCCAACTCTCATCAGTCCAAGCAAGCACAGATAACAGTCAGGGATGATGGGAGTTGTAATCCAGAAATACTGGAGGGTCACAGGTGTCCTATGTCTATTCTAGAGCAAAGCACACAGGGGAAAACATCGCTCCTTCAAAGAAGCAGTCAAAGAACCCTATACAACACAGAGAAAGGAAGCAGGAAAGGGCATCTAAGTTCACTCTTAACCCTCCCAAATTTGTCCTTTCATTCAGATGAAAGCACAGCAGGCCCAAATGCTCACCTTGGGACCGGCCAATCCATCCTGACCTGGGAAGCCACGGTTTCCGGGAGCACCCTAAAAACAAGAAAGCAATGATAACATAACCTAGTAAGTCAAGGAGTGCTACAGTTTAGGAAGCTGGGAAGGACACTAGGAAGCATTGCCAATAGCAAGGAGTAAACCAGGAACTGTGGACATTTTCAATTTAAAAAGCATGGCTCAATTAGCACAAGGAGGCAGCACAAACAAGAACTACTGGGGTGCTATAGCCACCAAGTGACCCAATATTATACAACCACTAGACAGGTGACACAGTCCTGCAGTATTTGCTAAGCTTCTGCAGGGGCTTGTCCTGTATGCATATAATATAACGCATTCTAGGTAAAGAGGGTTTGTGCAACAGAATTCCTAATACTCTAAAGTCCACTTCAAATAAGGTCACTTCCTGTTTATTGAGCACTCATCCTGGTCTGCACAAGGTTTGCAGGTAGGTTAGACAACAGAGCACTAGGCACACTTTCCCAGGGCATTTCCCTATCACTTTCCTTCTTGCACAAAGTCCAGTTTTAAGAGGAAGCAGGCGAGTTGCACAAGAGCACCAAATCAGCTGCAATCGCACAACTTGAATTTGTCGGTATGCGTCTAAACGTCACCCCAAAACCGTCAAAAGTCTGGAAGTGCACTTTGTCAATGTGAAGTGTAAACACAACACACACATTTGCAAACAGCAGTGTTAGAGAGATTCACTCATCAAACAGCCGTGAATGGCTCCAACTCAACTGTTGAGGGTATAAAGGTAAAGGGACCCCTGACCATTAGGTCCAGTCGTGGCCGACTCTGGGGTTGCGACGCTCATCTTGCTTTATTGGCCGAGGGAGCTGGCGTACAGCTTCTGGGTCATGTGGCCAGCATGACTAAGCCGCTTCTGGCGAAATAGAGGAGCGTGCAGAAACGCCATTTACCTTCCCACCGGAGCAGTACCTATTTATCTACTTGCACTTTGAGGTGCTTTCGAACTGCTAGGTTGGCAGGAGCAGGGACCGAGCAACGGGAGCTCAGCCCGTCGCAGGGATTTGAACCGCCGACCTACTGATCGGCAAGTCCTAGGCTCTGCGGTTTAACCCACAGCGCCACCCATGTCCCCTTAAACTCTGTGTCAAAAAGGTGCACAATGAGATCCACTGTGCAAGCCATTGGGCGTTTAATCAGGTTGGGTCCTGGGCTGTGTACTGCAGTGATGGCTATGCTACAGTTCCCAAGGGACCGCTGCACTTTTAGGGTCGGGACTCACCTGCCCCCATGCATCTTAATGAAGAAATTGTTCAAAGTGTACTCATTCCTTGCTTGGCTTTCAAGCTTCATTTGTGCTCCATCTCACCTCCCACTTCCAGAGCCCAGGACAGTCCCTCATCCATCTCTCAGCAGCATCCCACCATTCTGTGCTCAGCTCCGCACGTCTCAGAGTCTGCCCCCTGCTACTTGTGATCCCTGCCTCTCTAATGGCTTCCTGGCACACTCTCTAGCTCTTCCTGGTCCTTTGAGCCCACAGGCAATTCTTCAATGCCGCTCTATGCTAAGGTTACCAGATTTCCCCCCCAATGAATCCAGGGGCACTTTTCAACTTCGACGGATTTTGTCAGGGGACTGATTTGTAAATCTGGGGACTGTCCCCGGGAAACAGGGACGTCTGGTAACCTTACTCTATACTCCGTTACAACGACCACTCACCTTCCCCCTGACCACACCTGCTTAAAGCTGAGCAAGAGGTCGCAGCCTGCCCCTGGTATGCCACAGAGATGCCAGTAAAGCAAAGTTCTTCCATCACCTTCTGCATTATGCTGGGCACCCCACAGGGCACACTGCAAGTTCCAAAGTAAGCCTATTGGCAAGGGTTTGAGCCATATAGCTCAATGGCTTTCCCCCACAAAGAAGACAGCCCTCTGCTCTTCATGTAGGAAGGTTCCTTGCCCCCCCCCAACGATGTCACCTACCCTCTCTCCAGGTGGTCCAATGGGCCCTGCAGCTCCTGGCTCACCACGGCCGCCTCTCTTGCCTTCTTCTCCAGCTGGTCCGGGAGCTCCTTGTGGGCCTGAAGGTCCCTGGGGTCAGCGGGGAACATAACATACAGGCTTAGTCACTCTTTGAGCCCCTTCATCATTTTATGCCAAGCCCTACCAATGGTCAGCCCACTATACTGTCTTAAAGAGATAATAAGGCATCACCAGGAAGTGACCTCAGAGTCTGATGAGAGAACAATGCAAATAGCCATGGCAACAGAAAGGTAATTTTGGGCAAGTGGCTTACAAGGCAGCAAACAGAGGTCACTATCCGTTTTTCCTTGTTCCAAACTATTTATTGATTTGCTGCATTTATAGCCCACCTTTCTTCCAAGGACCTCAAGGCAGTCTGCTCCATTTTATCCTCGTAACAACCCTGTGAGGTGGGCTACGATGCGAGATCCAAAGTTTCCTGGCTGTGGATTTGAACCCAGGTCTCCTCAGCCCTACCCTGACAACTCTAACCACTACTCCAACACTGCCTCTCTTTCAGAGATTTTTCAGTGCCCAATAAACTGGGACCATTAATGGCGATTCCATTAAATTTTATCCTGACAAAGTTTCAACCCAAGAAGGGATTAGATTTCAACCTTGAAGTGTTGCTGAGTGCAAAAGGATTATCAATTGAATTATTTTAGGCCAAGATATACATGAAGCTTATATTATCTACTTGCAAAGAATTTGCAATCCAATATCTACTGAGGGATGATATTCCCAAGACTACTGAGATTGTTTCAGGATATTTTGCCGAGATTTTTAAAGTCAAATTTAAAGCTACTTAATTTTACTTAATGGTGGCTATTATGTCTTTTAGACATTTTATGTATTTAATATAATGGTTTATGGATGGTTCCTTGGTATGTTAATTTATTGTCTACATCATGCCAATAAAGGCTGAATGAATATACATGATTCTGCACAGCCATGGGATGTGGAAGCCCTCCTGACTTTCTGTTGGATGAACTGTCTCATATCTATAGAAGCTGATGAGCCAGAGAACCGCTTGGTTTGTGTACACTGGCATAGCTTCACTAAACCCAGCAGGCCTTCTGCTGAAGCACACACACTACTGTAAGGGACTCTTTGAAGGCCTCTGATGCCAACCTGCTGAGCATTATCTCCTCATTTTCGGAATGGAAAATGAAGCAGTGTTCAGCACAGAACGACTTCAGTGCCAAGCATTAAAGAGTGGGGACCCAGATGCAACAGGGCAGCCATTGTTTGCCAAGCCCCAGGCCACCCATAGGACATAATTTTCAGCCAAAGGGACTGGCAGGGGAGGTGGCCAAGCCTTATTCCTTCCCGGAAAGCAAGCAGGGGAGATGGGCACAGAGATCCTTTATTATACAAGATAGGCTATAAAGAAGGCTGATCGCCGAAGAATTGATGCTTTTGAATTATGGTGCTGGAGGAGACTCTTGAGAGTCCCACGGACTGCAAGAAGATCAAACCTATCCATTCTTAAGGAAATCAGCCCTGAGTGCTCACTGGAAGGACAGATCCTGAAGCTGAGGCTCCAATACTTTGGCCACCTCATGAAAAGAGAAGACTCCCTGGAAAAGACCCTGATATTGGGAAATATTGAGGGCAGAAGGAGAAGGGGACGGCAGAGGACGAGATGGTTGGACAATGTTCTCGAAGCTGCCAGCATGAGTTTGACCAAACTGTGGGAGGCAGTGGAAGACAGGAGTGCCTGGCGTGCTCTGGTCCATGGGGTCACGAAGAGTCAGACATGACTAAACAACTAAACAACAACAAAGGCTATAAACTAGTGTTTACCAAACCTAGGTCTCCAGCTGTTTTCGGACTGCAATTCCCATCATCCCTGACCGCTGGTCTTGCTACCTAAGGGTGATGGGAGTTGTAGTCCGAAAACAGCTGGAGACCCAGGTTTCGGGAAGCACTGCACAAATGGGGAAGCATTTGCCCATATGAAGCGCCAGACCAATGATCTACCTAGTCAAGTTTACTCTTTGACTAGCATCAGTGGCGCTGCAAGGACTCAAGCAAAGTTCTTTCTCAGCCCTGCTACCCAAGACCTATTTAAACGGATATGTGGGGACTGAGCCTGGGACCATCTGAATGCAACACATTTGTTTCACCATTCAGCCAAGCCCTCGCCAAAGGCACAAGCTCCCGGTAGCACCCAATTAAATCAGCATGCCGTTTCAAAGTGACATGATACAATTGTGTGTCGTCGTCCCCCCGATGACCTCTGCAGCAGTAAAACAGTTAACAATGAACTGGCCCTAATGAATTTACAATCTACATGTAGGTAGCTTGTGGCCACGTGTCCTCTGCTGGTGTCCTGTCCCATGTTTGGCTCTTCCAGACAGCCACATGTAAGCAGAGAATAGCATGGAAAATCCACGAGTACAACTGAACTGCAGTCATTTTCAGATTTTTATATCAGATTTCATAGAACAAGGAACCCATACATGAAAGTACAAAGCCCAGAAGGAGGAAAGGTGGGCATTAACCTTCTCCCTTGCCACATGTAGCCTGGGGGCAAAGGAATTCTAATTTCTGAACCGTGCAGCTGGAGGGGATTATGACGCAGCAGAATTCCGCCTCCACCAGAAGCCCTGGGTGCACATACCATGACGTGGGTTACTGGCAGGCTACCACAGTGTTCATGCCGGTAGTAGCTGGCAGATGGCCCTGAAACTCATATCAGATTGCTCAGTGCATCCACCCTAATGCCCAGAGCAGGGATAGCAAGAAAGTGTTATTGTTTTTTGGGGGGTGTTATTGGATTATTGTTTTCGTTTTGATTTTTTTTTCTGTGAACTGCCTGAGACCTCCAGTTATAAGGCGGTATATAAATTCAATAAATAAATAAAATAAATAAATAGCCACACCCACAACTGGCATATGGCCCTTGGAGGGGTCAATGTGGCCCCTGGATCAAAAAAGGTTAGCCACTCCTAGTGTAGAGGATGAACAGGGAGCAATTGATACCGTATTTAGATAAAGGTAAAGGGACCCCTGACCATTAGGTCCAGTCGTGGCCGACTCTGGGGTTGCGGCGCTCATCTTGCTTTATTGGCCGAGGGAGCCGGCGTACAGCTTCCAGGTCACGTGGCCACAATGACTAAGCCGCTTCTGGCCAACCAGAGCAGCGCACGGAAACACCGTTTACTTTCCCGCCAGAGCGGTACCTATTTATCTACTTGCACTTCGATGTGCTTTCGAACTGCTAGGTTGGCAGGAGCAGGGACCGAGCAACGGGAGCTCACCCCGTCACAGGGATTCGAACCGCCGACCTTCTGATCAGTAAGTCCCAGGCTCTGTGGTTTAACCCACAGTGCCACCTGCATCCCGATACCGTATTTACTTGAATCTAATGCTCACCTTTTTTGGCCAAATTACGTTGCGACAATTAAGGTGCCCAATAGATTTGATGGCACATTTACATTTGCCAGCAAATACTTTTTTTTTTTATTTCAAAGTTCTGAAAATTGAGGTGCACATTAGATTCGATGGCGCATTAGACTCGAGTAAATATGGCACATTCAAAGAAGAGACAGCATGTCAGGCATAAAGGCACGTCATCTAATACTTACAGGTTCACCTTTGGGACCTTGTTCACCTTTGAAGCCTGCAATCCCAGGTTCTCCCTACAGAGAAAGAAAAGGAAACATATTAAGAGTAGTCAAGCTCCTATTATCATGTCAAGCTACTTGCTGATCTGGTCAGCAGAACTTCCAAGTCAGCATCCTCCATGTTGAAACATCCAAAGGGTGTTTCAACAGTGCATTCCTTTGAATAGAAGGGCAGAGACCGAACACCAGGCTGGAAAAGTGGCAGAAGGACTGGGATGATACGGAGTATGGGAAGGGAAACACTGATGAATGAAAATTGGGAGGCGTGGGAAAGAGAAGATTCTAAATAGAAAGAATCACCAGTTTAGCTTTCGAAGTCTCCTAACAGCATGTGCTACAGCTGGTGGATTCTGTTGTTGTACTCAAGCTCACTTCTGTTTCTCAACCACATGTCTAAGTCTTCAAACACACACCACAAAAATCCAGAATTGACCTCATCCCTTAGAATGGATATCCTCACTATCAGACAGACTTTCTGAACTTGGGTAAACAGAGCCGTACACAGAATTCCCAATGTGACCATATCCGATTCAAATTTCGACCCCTTTGCTAATAATCCCTAATTTGTCTTTTTTCACTGGCACATCACACTGTCAATATTTGCAGTGAGCTATTCACCATGACCTCAAGATACCCTGCCTGGGGAGTCACTGAAAGGTCAGATCCCATCAGCGCAAGAAAATATCTCCTCTTATCTCATGACTGCATACATGTGGACACTACCAAAGAACTGCAAGAGACTGATGAGGTAGGATTTCCCTTTGTAGAAGCCACGATTATTCTCTCTCATGTTTATAATTCTCTTTTTAAATAAAGCTTTCTGCTAATTTTCCAGGACTGGAGTTAGGTTAATGAGCTTCTAATTTCTTGGATCCTGCATGAAAACTGGTGTTCTGATAAATATCTTCCTGTTTTTATGGCAAAGAAGCTGATTTTAGTGACAAGATACAATGGTGCCTCGCAAGACAAAATTAATTCGTTCTGCGAGTTTTTCCGTCTTGCGAATTTTTCGTCTTGCGAGGCACGGTTTTAACGGTATTAACGGTTTTAAGAAAAAGGAAACAAACTCGTAAGACGTTTTCGTCTTGCGAAGCAAGCCCATAGGGAAATTCGTCTTGCGAAGCAACTCAAAAAACGAAAAACTCTTTCGTCTTGCGAGTTTTTCGTCTTGCCAGGCATTCGTCTTGCGAGGTACCACTGTACATGTTTTTGCTAGAAGCCAAGCAATCATCACATACGAGAACTCTTTAAGAATACCTGGGCATCTGCCACCCAAGACCCAATGACTTGTTTGGTTTTAGATGTCAAAGCACCTCTTTGTCACCAGTATACGAATACTCAGCATGTTTTCTCAGAAGTTAAGTCCTTCAGAGTTCAGCTGGCAGTCTGCTCCTGTATATGTGTCTAGCACAGAAGCATTTGTCCTTCAGACGCCCCCAACGCGGTTCAGATGTAGGTCTCTTTCTAACATCTTCCAAAGTGAAGAGCAATGCAAAGCATTCATTTAGCTTCTATGCAATCTCCTCACGTTATTTTAGTACAGTTGTACCTTGGTTCTCGAACGCCTTGTGACTTGAACATTTTGGCTCCCGAACGCCGGAAACCCGGAAGTGAGTGTTCTGATTTGCCAAAGTTCTTTGGAACCTGAACATCTGACGCCGCTTCCACAGCTTCTGATTGAGTGCAGCAAGCTCCCGCAGCCAATCGGAAGCCGTGTCTTGGTTTTTGAACGTTTTCGGCATCCGAACGGACTTCTGGAACGGATTCCGTTCGAAAACCAAGGTACAACCGTAATTCTTCCATGCTGTTGTCACACCTTTTTCTCAACACGGACAGTCCATCTCTGGGGCTGCTTGGTTCCATCTCAGCTGAGGCTCCCCCACAAACTCCTCCATAATATACTCTCTATCTAGAAGCCGCTTGCTTTTCGTTGCTCAGCACAGAGTGAAAGGTGCCTCTGCTTCTCTGCGTATCACAGAGAACTCTGAGGTTCAAGGACTCTCCCTTTGTGCTGGGCATGTGGCTAAGGATGCAGTTAGCCAGATACACCAAAATAATTTCTCACCACATCCAACATAGGAAGCTGCCTTATACCAAGTCAGACTGTTGGTCCATCTAGTTCAGTATTGTCTACACTGACTGGTAGTAGTTATCCAGGGTTTAAGGCAGGGAACATTCCCAGCTCTATCTGAACTTCTGCATGCAAAGCAGGTACTCTACAACTGAACCATGTCCTTTAACCCAAGTGTTTCTGAAGCCCCATGTGCACTGAAATACTGACCTCTCCACATGGCAAAAAAATCAGGGGACTGGCAGGGTTAGGGCTGATCATCGATAATGACTGGCTACAAAAGCCAGGCAAAATTTGTGGGTTCCTAGCTACTTTCACCTCTTATTATCCACTTTCCCAAAGCTTAGTTAAAATGTGAATATCAGCCTTGGGGAGAGGTTGTTAGTTTCCGTTTTGCCACTGAGCAGCTGCGTGGAGTCACAGGACTCTGTTTACATTCCAGAGACAGTCCAGGCTATTGGAAGTCTCATGGGAGACTAGAGACGGATGTAACATTACTGGTTTCCTGTTTCCTTTGTTCAGTTGCTCTCTGCTTTCATAGAGAGAGGATGTGTCTTTGCTCTCTGCGTAGTTAGGATAATAAAACTCTTTGCAATGTAGCCCAAACCTCTTGTCTCTTTCCTGTGCTGGAAACTCTGCTGAATGGAACGTGCCTTGGAGCCTTATCAAAGGCTCAGGTTGTTAAACACGTCGGGAGGTGATTCCGAAGGACTCGGGGGAAGAAAATGAGCTTTATCAGCTTGGCCGAGCGGAGACCCCGACAGAGGTTATGCCTAGTAACTTTGAGCACAGGATCATCAGTCTGGAGAGTCAGACACCTTGAAGTTTTGCATTGGTTTGGGTTTCTTACCGCCTGGCCTTTGGGACCCAAAGGCCCAGTTGCACCTTGAGGCCCAGGTGGTCCACGTGGGCCAGGAAATCCCGGAGCGCCAGCAATGCCAGGAGCACCCTATGGACAGAATCGAGAAAGCAATTAAGGACAGGAGGGGGAAGTGCAGGCGGTCTGAGAAACAGCACATTACTCGGCAAACTATTGTACAGGTTCTTGGTCGATACTGTTCATGGGATGGGCAGAGGTTATTGAACATTCACTAGATCTTCTGCAGACAACATCAGTTCTACCTTTCAAATGCATCTCCACGCACCCAAGTAATGTGGCACTCACCGCTGATCCTTTGGCACCAGGGATCCCATCAGTTCCAGGGTTGCCCTAAAAACAAAAAGAAGGCATTGATCAAACCTCTTTCCAATAAATGGTTGACTTGCTCCCTACCATGTTTCCTTCCCAGAGGGCTACCCAATATATTAATGGACAGATTATTAAAGCATGGGTCTTTTTTTTTTTCCTTCAGAAAAGGGATAAGAGTACCGAGAATGGTCAGCCTGGAAAGAAAGCTCATCCATATTCTTCATGGGGAAAGTTAGTAGGTCACCAAACATTTAGTAGTCTTCCTGCATTATGTTTAAACAAACGTATTGCACTTCCCTCATCCTGCCCATTATCAGAGCCATTTTCTTTCATCTTTAAAAAAAATATAGAACACATTTTGCATATATCTACCAACTTTACTATAGACACTTTTCTAATTTTCTTGTTGAAGAAAGGGGTTGTTGTTGTTTGTTACCTTGCACAGCCCCAGCAATTTCACAACCACGTGTCAAAATTCTCTGCTTTGTTCAATAATAATAATAATAATAATAATAATAATAATAATTTATTTGTACCCGCCCACTCCAGCCAGAGCCAGGCCCAGGGCAGCTAACATCATAAAACACAGTATACAAAGAAGATAAGAACAGAAAAATAGGCAATCAATTACAGTGGTGCCTCGCAAGACGAAATTAATCCGTTCCGCAAGTGTCTTCGTCTAGCGGTTTTTTCGTCTTGCGAAGCAACCCTATTAGCGGCTTAACGGATTAGCGCTATTAGCAGTTTAGCGGCTATTAAAGGCTTATCGGCTTAGCGGATTAGCTGCTAAAAGGCTATTAAAGGCTTAGCGGCTTAGATAAAGGGGGGGGGAGCGGAAAAAAAATCTCAAGACTCGCAAGACATTTTCGTCTTGCAAAGCAAGCCCATAGGGAAATTTGTCCTGCGAAGCAACTCAAAAACGGAAAACCCTTTCGTCTAGCGGGTTTTCCGTCTTGCGAGGCATTCGTCTTGCGGGGCACCACTGTAATTAAAATACATCATAAAACTAAAAGATCTACAAAGCAAAATTCTTGATGTGCAAATGCTAGTGCCACGATCCATGCACAAATTTAGCTTTAAAAGGGGGGAAAAGCAAGACCCAGATCCACATCCTTGAGAGAAGGAAGCATATTTGAACTACAAACATACAAGGAGAAACTGAGGGCAACCAGGCCCAAAATGGGAGTGGAGCACAACGGTGAGGTTCTGGTCTAGACAGATATCATTTAGAAATCTAGACAGATATGATTTAGAAGCATGAATGAGGACAGTGTCACTGTAGCAGCTGGGTGGGGATTCCCTCCTAGCAAGTAGAACAAGACAGGCCCCCTTATGCAACGCTTTTAGCACTACAGGCTAGCAAATTGCCAATCATTAAGTTTACAACTGCAGTTTAACCAGGTGGGTAGGAAAAAGAGAGACACCTGCTTCACATGATGCACAGCTCACTTATTATTTACCTATCCTAGCAGGTGGAAAACACTGATTACCAGGGGGAAGAACATGTCAAGGTAGAACCTGAGACTCAGAGTTGTGGGTTTGAGCCCCACTTTGGGCAAAAGATCCGTGCACCGCAAGGGGTTGGATGAGATTACCCTTATGGTTTCTTCCAACTCTACAATTATACTATTCTAAGGTTGTAGCAGCCAAATCAGCAAAGAGCCCTGTAGCGCCATAAAGAGCCAGCAAATTTAATTATGCTTTCGTGAATTAGAGTCCGCTTCATGAGATGCATGAAGTGCAAACCTGCAACCGAAGATTCTATTTAATGCATCTGATGAAAGAAACAAGAACTATGATAATTTATGCCATAATAACATCGGTTAGTTGTTAAGGCACCAAAAGACTCCTTTTTGCCAATCACCAGCACACTGTCTTTCAATCCATTGGGTATGGTGTTGAGTTAAGTTTGTGTCCATGCACAAGGGCTCAAATGGCAGATTCCTCAGGGTCATCACACCAAATATAGGCAAGGTCAAGATTAATAACCATGCCAAATACCCAGCAGAATATGGCCCAGACAAAATGTGACTTTGGCTGTTAAAGGTAAAGGGACCCCTGACCATTTGGTCCAGTCGTGACCGACTCTGGGGTTGCGGTGCTCATCTCGCTTTATTGGCCGAGGGAGCCGGCGTACAGCTTCCGGGTCATGTGGCCAGCATGACTAAGCCACTTCTGGTGAACCAGAGCAGCGCACGGAAACGTCGTTTACCTTCCCGCCGGAGCGGTACCTATTTATCTACTTGCACTTTGACGTGCTTTCAAACTGCTAGGTTGGCAGGAGCCGGGACCGAGCAACGGGAGCTCACCCCGTCGTGGGGATTTGAACCGCCGACCTTCTGATCGGCAACTCCTAGGCCCTGTGGTTTAACCCACAGTGCCACCCGCGTCCCACTTTGGCTGTTACAACCTACTAATTGTCTAGAATTTCCCAGTTGTAAAAAAGGGGCATCTTGCTTCCTGTGCTGCCTTTCCTTAATATAGTATTACCATCCATAATATGTTGATTGCCCCATTATCAAAAGGCATGTAAAAAGTGGCCAGCTGTAGTTAACTATGTGCATGTGTGAGTAGATGGGCTTTTTGTACCCACATTTTAACAGGTGGGCATGGAACGTGTGTTAGTGAACCTTCACATATGGTTGAGCATATGGCTTCCCAGGTCCTTTATTTTTGCGTCCGATTTTGGCTGGTGGCCCACATAGGGGTTGAACTAGAGAGAATCCTTTGGGACTCTTTCAACTCTATCATTCTATGAAATATAAGCAACTAGTACTCATGGAGAGAAAGGCTGTGCAAATCCTGACTTGGCGCTGCCATCTGTTGGTGGTTCCTGTATTTACACCTAGTTCACTTCCCATTGCTGGTTAAAACACAAGCAGCTGGGAAATCAGGGAATATTTTTGCATATATCTACTTGGGGAAGAAAAAGAGTAAATAACCACAGAATAATCAAGTTGAACCCTATACCTGATTAGAAATGGTTTGTCAGTTAAGGATGATTTCTCCCTCAAGGATAATTTTGCCCTCACACCATAGCTAGAAGTACTTGCTAAACGTAAGGTAAAGGACCTCTGGACAGTTAAGTCCAGTCAAAAATGACTATGGAGTTGCAGCGCTCATCTCGCTTTCAGGCCGGCATTTGTCCACAGACAGCTTTCCGGCTCATGTGGCCAGCATGGCTAAACTGCTTCTGGCATAATGGGACACCGTGACGGAAGCCAGAGCGCATGGAAACACTGTTTACCTTCCCGCCGCAGTGGTACCTATTTATCTACTTGTACTTCATGCTTTCGACCTGCTAGGTTAGCAGGAGCAGGGACCGAGCTGTGGGCAATCATCCCGTCGCGGGGATTCAAACCGCCGACCTTCTGATTGGCAAGCCCAATAGGCTCAGTGGTTTAGACCACAGAGCCACCCACGTCCCGGCAGAAGTACTTGGATAACACTTTTATTCAGGTGAGGTAAGACTATCCAGCAGGTGCCTTTCTCCACTTGCTAAGTGGAATGTGTCAACCAAGCCAGTCACAAAGAAAAATCCAATCACGGCACTGAAGAGGACTGGATTAGATGCCTCTTAGGGTCCCTTTCAACTCTACAATTCTATGATCATAGAGCTGGATTACCATTATTCTATATACTCCACAGAACAGTGCCCCAACCAAATGGCTAGGCACGTTTTTCCAAGTCAAATTAGTCCATACACCATTGAAACAATGTGGTTTTGTCATTTAAAAGCAACAATTATTTTTGAGTGGACCAATGGATCCCACAATGTGATGCCAACAGGTTTTTGTTTTGTTTTTTGTGGCTCAATGGTCCTCTAAAAGATTTCCATATTTCAACTCTTCTCTCTCTCTCTAAATTACTGACTGCTCCCATAGTCTCCCACTGGGACACTGTAGTGCAGCATGAATAACTGGATCTGGCCAGCCCAGCTGTCGGTCACCTAATGACATCAGGTGACCCATTTGCACAACATGTGGTATGCATGGCACTTTGAAGTGACAACCAGCTGACAGTCTGGGCTTCAAAGCACCACCATGCTGTTCGTTGACAGCACAGACCTTCAGTTGAAAGGTTTCGTGTGCTACCTCCCCTCTGCCATTTATAAAAATAACAGTAATACTTCTTTTAAAATCATAACATTTTAAACTGGGCATCCCCCCTGCTCCCCTGCTGTGGTTCTGTGATGTGAAAATGTTGTTATGGCATGCCCCCAGGGCACCCAAATTTGTTTCTGAAAACAAAATTACAGTCATACCTCATGTTATGTTTGCTTCAGGTTGCACGTTTTCAGGTTGCGTCTTGCGGCGACCCGGAAGTAACAGAACGGGTTACTTCCAGGTTTCGCCACTCACGCAGATGCGCAAAATGACATCACACGCATGCACAGAAGCGGCGAATCTCGACCAGAGCGTGCGCAGACACACAGACACGGGTTCCGTTCTTTTCAGGTTGCGAACGGGCCTCTGGAACGGATCCCGTTCACAACTAGAGGTACCACGGTAATGCTTTTGGTCACAGCCATGTTTTACACTTTGGCCATGCCCAGTTTGACCCACAACTTCTGAAGGGCCCTCAGCTTGAGTTTGACCCACAACTTCAATATGGCCCTCAGCTTGAGAAAGGTTAGCCACCTTTGAGTTAGGGGGCCTCAGAAGGAAAGGATGTGGTAATCTTTTAATGATGCCCTAATAGAGCTAAACCATCTCCATGCCCCCCTGGAAATTCTGGTTCTCGCCGGAAGAAACAGGTACTTACAGGAGCTCCCGCTGGTCCAGGGGAGCCGGGGGTTCCAGATTCACCACGAGAGCCTTGGGCGCCCTCAGGGCCACGAGCGCCAGTGGGGCCAGCTTCACCCTGCACAAATATGAGAAGGAACATTAAGAGGTCAAAGGGAAACATGACAAAGCATCCACTAGGATGCCACAAGTAGACCCGGATGCTTCATAACTTATGGTGACCGTCAAATGCTGGGCTATTAATAATAATAAATAATAATAATAATTTTTATTTATACCCCGCCTTCCCCAGCCAAGGCCGGGCTCAGAGCGGCTTACAAGCAATAATAAAAACAAGTTAAAAGATTACAACTTAAAAACAAAATTAAAAAATACAACATTAAAATATTGAAACATTAAAATATTAAAATGTAGCCTCATCGCAGAGGGAGAAGGAAAAGAAAAAAGAAAGAGAGGGAGGGAATCAAATTGGCTCCAAGCCAAAGGCCAGGCAGAACAACTCTGTCCTACAGGCCCTGCGGAAAGAAATCAGATCCTGATTTCTATTGTCCAAGAAGCCTGCCTAACGCTCTCAGTCTTTGAGCTATGTGTCCTTGGGGCCTGACACTTTCTTTTCCACCTTTCTGCATTTCTAGATTTTACACCATTGGGACTCCATATTAATGGGGAGTGGTGCATGCTCTAGTTATCTCCCGCTTGGACTACTGCAATGTGCTCTACGTGGGGCTACCTTTGAAGGTGACCCGGAAACTACAACTAATCCAGAATGCGGCAGCTAGATTGGTGACTGGGAGCGGCCGCCGAGACCATATAACACCGGTCTTGAAAGACCTACACTGGCTCTCAGTACGTTTCCGAGCACAATTCAAAGTGTTGGTGCTGGCCTTTAAAGCCTTAAACGGCCTCGGTCCAGTATACCTGAAGGAGTGTCTCCACCTTCATCGTTCTGCCCGGACACTGAGGTCCAGCTCCGAGGGCCTTCTGGCGGTTCCCTCGCTACGAGAAGCCAAGTTACAGGGAACCAGGCAGAGGGCCTTCTCGGTAGTGGCACCCGCCCTGTGGAACGACCTCCCACCAGATGTCGAAAGATTTATACGATCTGAAGAGAAACCAGAGTATGACCTCCCACCAGATGTCAAAGAGAAAAATAACTACCAAACTTTTAGAAGACATCTGAAGGCAGACCTGTTTAGGGAAGCTATTAATGTTTAATAGGTTACTGTATTTTAGTGTTCTGTTGGAAGCCGCCCAGAGTGGCTGGGGAAACCCAGCCAGATGGGCGGGGTATAAATAATAAATTATTATTATTATTATTATCATCATCATCATTATTATTATTATGGGGAGCCGGTTTTAAGTGGCCACCACTACATGCTATCTCTTGCTATTGTTACGAGGATGAAGAGTTCACTGAACTGTACAGAAGATGGACAGCTCCTTCCTTTACTTTTCACTCTATTTATTTTTATTTTGTTCAGTATTGATTCCTGCCTTAGGTGCTCTCAGAAGCACCCTCTGTGAAAATAGCTATTCCTTGTGGAACACTTGTGCTCTGCTCTTTCTCTTGCTTTGCGCATCTTACTAATGCGCGACCCTCCTCTTCAGAAGGCTCCCCACATCATCTTTTTATAATGAGGACGCTGATTATGATTGAAGGCCCGCTGTCAGATATCCCACAAATGGCCTCATTCTCCCTCTCCCCTACTGCCTCTTCACTGTCTGGTTACCATAGAAACCAGTCCTCAGGGAGATTAGCAACCCAAACCCATTCTCACCAGTAGTAATGGGAATTCCCAAAGGACTCTCTCTCCCATCTCCCTCTTGTCCACCTTACCCTAAAAGGCCCCACCATTAAGGAAACCCGATATGCTGTCTGGAGATTGTGAAGCGCATACCACTCATGCCACAGACAGAGGAGAAACACAGCAGCCCCCCCCCCCCGCTTGACTTGACCCTTTGGACAAAACCTGAGCTCCTTTCACGACCATGGCAAAATGCAATCGGAATTTGACTGCCACGATATCTCTTGCCCAGGTGGCATTTTAACCAAGAAGGGCTTCAAACATCATCAAAACAAGCACTGCTAGGTGCTAGGCCAACGGTAGGCAAACTAAGGCCCGGGGGCCAGATGCGGCCCAATTGCCTTCTAAATCTGGCCCGTGGACGGTCCGGGAATCAGCGTGTTTTTACATGAGTAGAATGTGTCCTTTTATTTAAAATGCATCTCTGGGTTATTTGTGGGGCATAGGAATTCGTTCACTTCCCCCCAAAAATATAGTCCGGCCCACCACATGGTCTGAGGAATGGTGGACCGGTCCACAGCTGAAAAAGGTTGCTGAACCCTGTGCTAGGTGCACTCATTACTTAAATCAGGCAGTGTGGCTTCTTGTAACATTTGAAGGGGAGCGTGCACAGGCAAAAAAAAACCCACAGAAAGAAGAATAAGAACAAATCATACAATAAACACCGCCAGCTGAATGTGGGAGTGACGAGGCATTCAGTTGCCAACGTTTCTTTGATAACATCCAAGACCAGATATATTCCTTGTATGTCCTCAAATCAAAGTCAATCATGGGCAAGAGAGGCCGGGGGGGACTTCTCAACATGTTTTTCAGACCACATGTGACTTATTATGGAAGCTTACTAGTTCCACATATTGACTAAGGTAAAGGTAAAGGGACCCCTGACCATTAAGTCCAGTCGCGGACGACTAGGGTTGTGGCGCTCATCTCGCTTTACTGGCCGAGGGAGCTGACATTTGTCAGCAGACAGTTTTTCCGGGTCATGTGGCCAGCATGACTAAGCTGCTTCTGGCGAACGAGAGCAGCACACGGAAACACCGTTTACCTTCCCGCTGGAGCAGTACCTATTTATCTACTTGCACTTTGGCGTGCTTTCGAAGTGCTAGGTTGGCAGGAGCTGGGAGCTCACCCCGTCACGGGGATTCGAACCGCCGACCTTCTGATCGGCAAGCCCTAGGCTCAGTGGTTTAGACCACTGCACCACCCGTGTCCCTGATACATATTGACTACTATTGACTACTCTGTAGTAAATACAGTCCTGTGTAAGGAAAGCAGAGGAACAACAGAAATCCCTTTGCAAGAAGAAGTGACTTTTGGACCTACGCTCTCTTAACACATCAGTTTAGGTTGCAAACCTACACATATACACCTGAGTTTGTCCCACTGAACTCAGTGTAGATATGCATATGGTTGCATATGGTTGTGCTTTTCATCATTAATATACCTGAGCCTTTAAGCTGTGCTGAGAATATTGCTCCCCTCCAACCCAAAGCTCTTCTTGCTCCTAAAGTACTCTGAAATGGCACCCCTGCTCCTAGTTTAAAGCAATATACAAGCATTTTGCCTCCAGGGAATTAACAAACTTTACACTAGCCCCCATCTCAAATGGTTTCACTAATAGCAGAATGGTATTTCTGACAGCCTTGGAAATTACACAGCCCTCTGGGCATGATGCACATATACCCTGTGTGATTTCCTTGCAATGGGTTTGTTTTGGGGTCACTGGGTTTTCCCTATTTTCACAGCGCTAAATAATGGTTCACAAAAAAGTAGGTAAATCTCCAGGGAATGATGGATTAGAAGCCTAAACTGCTTCAGTGTAATTCGGTTTTCTGTCGAAGCAATGCATTCAAAGAACAATTCACACATGCCATTTTTCAAAGGGATCTACAGGCAGTTAATCTGTCAAGATTTAACAAGACGAGTGCAAACAGGAGTGTTGTTTTAGGATTACACTTTCTGCAACATTACTCCTATAACTTGTGCTTCTCTCCACATACTCAGCTTTCATTTTCCTTCACAATTGCCTATATGTTGATTTCTATCCAGGCCTTTCCCAGACCTTCTGAAACTCCTTTTCCTAGTCTCCTTTCCTCTCACACAGATGTTCACAGACATGTATCCACAGGCTGCTTTTTCTTGGGGGCTGTCAATCTTTCCACCTTCTCCTTACTTTGCAAGCAGGCAGACCTGACGAAAGGCTTCAGGCCTCTTTCCAAAGCGATAAAAGGAGCAAAATACTCAGTGGCCTCTGGGAGGAGAGCCTTTCACAGTTGCTTAGAAAAATCATTTTGTGTGTGTGTGTGTCATAACAAGCCAGCGGCTGCAAACACACTCATTCGGCCTTGAAGTGCTACTTACCTTTGCACCCGGTGCACCTGGGAAACCTGGAGCTCCAGCGGGGCCGACAGGTCCCTGAAAAAAAGAGAAAAGGGTTTCAATAAGTTTGAGAAAAGGAGGACAGAGTTATTTTAATTATGTAGCCTCCATAGCTTTCATGACAGCCATACAAGTTATGTAATGGCCCCTTATGCCTGAAAGTCTTTTGCAGAACATATACATGCCAGCTGTCTTTTGCCTCCCCACTTTTTTTTTGTAAAGTCTATGTCTTTTTTTACAAAAAAGACACAGAATTTAGGGGAGAACAGGAATTCTTTTTTAAAAAATAATAATTTTAGAACTATTTAGTATTTCAGTAATAACATATCCAATTCGTAAGTTTCTATTTTAGCAGAAAAAAACCTAAAAATAAATGCATGTTCAGCAATCTTTTAAAAAGCAATTTATAATCTTTTAAAAAGCAATTTATAATCTTTCAAAAAGCAGTTTACTTACGGGTGGACCAGCTGGACCAGGGAGACCATCGTTACCACGAGCACCCTGTGGGGACAAAGAGATCATGAGTCAGAAAAGTAAGTGTTATCAAATAGCATTGCAGCTGCGCTCCTAATTATGCCACCAAATGGAATTGGAGCCCTGGGTAAATCTATCTTGTAGAACATATAGAAGCCACTGCATAGGACTGTATCAGGAGACATAAATGCACTAACTAGTCTGCTGCTGTGAAAACAACCAAGAGTCTTTGGTCACCTTAAGGACTAATATGTATTATGCAGAGAGCCTTGTGGACTGGACTCCAGATGTATGAAATGGAATCCTCAGGTGGCAGGTTTACACAAACATGAGCATAAAGGGGTGAAATATGTAGGAGTTAAATGGCAATGGAATTTAAAAAGGACATTTTTTGACGATTCAATTAGAGCTTGAACAGAATGTTTTCTGCTGTTAACATGCATATAAACAAACACAAGTTTACACGTGTTTATAATGCAGGAAAAACATAACTGAAAGCAAATCAAAGCGACAAAATACAAAAATCAAAACATAAATCCAGAAATAAAATAATAGAGTAAAGGGGTACAGGCCCCACTAACCATCAAAGGTGCGGCAAAGAATTATAGATGCCAATTAAGCACATTTTTTAGAATAGTGCCTGCAGTCACCTCTGGTGAATGAGCATCAGAAAAGGCTTTGCGTTGTGCATAAAAAGGTAAAGGGACCCCTGACCATTAGGTCCAGTCGTGACCGACTCTGGGGTTGCAGCGCTCATTTCACTTTATTGGCTGAGGGAGCCGGCGTACAGCTTCCGGGTCATGTGGCCAGCATGACTAAGTCGCTTCTGGCGAACCAGAGCAGCACACGGAAACGCCGTTTACCTTCCCGCCAGAGCGGTACCTATTTATCTACTTGCACTTTGAGGTGCTTTCAAACTGCTAGGTTGGCAGGAGCAGGTACCGAGCAATGGGAGCTCACCCCATTGCGGGGATTCGAATTGCCAACCTTCTGATCGGCAATCCTAGGCTCTGTGGTTTAACCAACAGCGCCACCCGCATCCCTCCAGCTAAAGTTACTACCTTCCCAATTCACCAGGAATTTATGCAGTGTTTCATTGCAAGCATCAACCTGGTGGGTTTATTCCCACCTCCATGGTCTGCGGCTGCATTTCCCCCCACTGCCCCTTAGTTTAATGCAGAACAAAGTCAAGTTCCAGCAATCTAGAGTAGGTGGAGAAGGAGGTGAAGGATAGCAAGACAAGCCTACCTGCCACCCCCTGTCCTGTTCATAAGACAGAGAACCAATGAGGGCAATGGAGGATGAGTTTGCTGCCATGACATTCATAGAATCATAGAATCATAGAATCATAGAGTTGGAAGAGACCACAAGGGCCATCGAGCCCAACCCCCTGCCAAGCATGAAACACAATCAGAGCACTCCTGACATATGGTTGTCAAGCCTCTGCTTAAAGACCTCCAAAGAAGGAGACTCCACCACACTCCTTGGCAGCAAATTCCACTGTCGAACAGCTCTTACTGTCCGACAGACATTTGCAACCCTGCGCTCACTTGCAGGGAACGGCAGGATACAAACGTAATAAACAAATAACTGCGTGCATGTGATGAAGTTTTAGGTCTTTTTTCTATGACAGAGCCTTCTTGGTTGAGATACAACATGATGGGATAGTTAAGGTAAAGGGACCCCTGACCATTTGGTCCAGTCGTGACCGACTCTGGGGTTGCGGCGCTCATCTCGTTTTATTGGTCGAGGGAGCCGGCGTACAGCTTCCGGGTCATGTGGCCAGCATGACTAAGCCGCTTCTGGCGAACCAGAGCAGCGCACGGAAACGCTGTTTACCTTCCCGCCGGAGCGGTACCTATTTATCTACTTGCACTCTGACGTGCTTTTGAACTGCTAGGTTGGCAGGAGCAGGGACCGAGCAACGGGAGCTCACCCCATTGCGAGGATTCGAACCACCAACCTTCTGATCGGCAATCCTAGGCTCTGTGGTTTAACCCACAGCACCACCTGCGTCCCTTTGATGGGATAGTTAATGTGGCATAATTCTTCCTATGGAAAAGCTTTGCTAGAAATTAAATCTGTGACTCACACTGCTTACTCAGATGTTCAAGATAACTTTTGTCTGCACACAGAAGCTTTTCACTCCCGCCCCTGCTGTGCCTGTTTCAAGAACCACTTTTGCGCTCCCCCTCCCCAATGAAGTTACAAACAGACAGAAATAGCTTGTCAAACAGTGCACAAGGCTGCTATTTGGAGTGGGGGGGGGAGAGAAGAGCTTCACTGCATATAGGAAGTTGGCTATGTGTATTCCTCTGGATTAATGCCATTTTTATGTGAGACCCAACACAACAGGAGCAGACATCCACTCAGGCAACAGGCCATCTCCTTCCTCTCCTCCTCTCTGCAATTGTAATTGGATAAATTGTTTTCCTCTTCCCCACTAATTGGAGTCTGGCTGACACTTTGAGGCAGAAAGGGGAGCCGATTCCTTCTAATGGGTGCTCACTGAATATGTTTAGAGTTGCTAAGTTAAACCTGGTTACTTCAAGGCTGTTAAACCGTCTTCGTTACTTTATCTCCTTAATTCTCTCAACTATCTGAATCTGTAAGGAATATGAAGACTGGATCTTTGAGCTAAAACGCTCCCGCTGAGCTTCACAGCCAGCCCTATGGGGGCTTTGACATTTGTTCAATAAACAGCCAGAGGGAATTTCACGCTAGGTTTATTACAGTATCAAGTGAAGGCTGAAATCTCTGGAGATGTAGAATGGAATGCTGGAAATAGGCCCAGGCACGATGTCTCTGGCTTGCTAGTTTGGTAAACTGAGCACAGTCATGCCTGTTAGCTTTGCTTCACAAAAGACCCAGGTTCAAATAGCCATGCAACCGCACAGCTTATGGGTTGACACAGGATCAGTAATTAACTCTCAGCCTGATCTATCATGCGGAGTAGCTGGGAGAATAAAAAGAGGGAAGCCGTGTAGGACACAACTCCCTGAGCTTCTTGAAGCGCAGGACAAAAGCAAAGTGAATCAACAAACATGTGGATGTTCACATAGTTTTGCTAAGGAGGGTGTGACACAGCAGTGGATGGCTGCGCTACTCACCTAACCTCCCACCAACTGGGTCGCTGCTGCATACCAGGATGGAGAGGGGGACATAGCAGCAAGGTCAGTACAGGGCTAACATGCTGGCAAGACAGCAAGATTGGCTTTGGAGTGTTTGCGCCGCACTGACCTCGCCACCCTCTTGCTCCTCTTGATCCCAGTACAGTGGTACCTCGGGTTAAGTACTTAATTCATTCTGGAGGTCTGTTCTTAACCTGAAACTGTTCTTAACCTGAAGCACCACTTTAGCTAATGGGGCCTCCTGCTGCCGCCGCAAAGTTCTTAACCAGATGTAATATGTCTGGGTTAGCGGAGTCTGTAACCTGAAGCGTATGTAACCTGAGGTACCACTGTATGTAGTAGCGACTCAGCTGGAGGGAGGTCAGGTGAGCAGCACCAAACACTACCGGTGTGATATTTCTCAGCATCCACATTTCCCCCCATGATCCAATCAATACACTAATCTTTCCAGTTTAGCCAAACCCCCTGAATTTTGAATCTGAGCATCTAAACCAGAGTTTCCCAAGCTTGGATCTCCAGCTGTTGTTGGACTACAACTCCTATCACCTCTAGCTAGCAGGACCAGTGCTCAGGGATGATAGGAGTTGTAGTCCAACAACAGCCAGAGACCCAAGTTTGGGAAACTCTGGTCTAAACATGGCCTCTAGGGTTGTGACCTCTCTTATACCTGATGCTGAACTTTAGATTTACAGTGGAAGCAAGTGGGAGAAGAGGCAGCCACAGTTCCTTCTGCTTCCTCTTCCACTTCCTGGCACTGTATGGCATTGTGCATATGGCACACCTACAGATTTGAGGAACTGTCTGGGTGACAGAATCATGCAACATATGGGCAGGAGGAGCTGTTTCGGCTCCTGCCTTAGCCACTCATCTGACCTCCAGTCCGTCATGTTATTACTGCTTATCCGGAGCTGGAGAGCGAGGGGCGAGGTAGCAGCGAGGTCAGCACGACGGAAGCTCACCAATAGGAGCACCAGATGGGCTCTGCCGGTGCACTTGCACTGCGCTGATCTCACCACCACCACCTCATCCATCACCCTCTCCCCACTCCCAAAGTAAGCAGCAGCAACATCACCAACCAGAGGTCAAGTGAGCGGGACATAGCTCAGTTGGTAGAGAATGAGATTCTTAATCCTGGGGTTGTGGGTTCGAGCCCCATGTTGGGCAAAAAGATTCCTGCATTGCAGGGGGTTGGACTAGATGGCCCTCGTGGTCCCTTCCAACTCTACAATTCTATGAGTGGAGGCTCCCTGCCACACTATCCGCTCCACCTGATGCCCAGGTTACAAGGTTTAGTGTTATTTATTTTAAAGCATTTATATACTGCTTAATAGTCCAAAAATCTCTAAATGGTGTAGCATGTAAAAAAACAAGCTATATACCAGTAAAACAAAAATGCAACCTAAAACCAGTCAAACAGCAATATAAAAAAACATAAAAGCTCATGGCAATGAATAAAATAGAAATTCAGAAGGCTTGGATATGTAAAACAGGGTCCGGTCTTATGACTCAGGGAAAAAATAAATTGACACAAGACATCTGAAGCCACTGGTGTCTGCTGCTTCACGTATGGCAGAGAGAAGGGCATTCCACAGTACAGGGGTAACAGCAGAAAATACCTGCTTTTCAGTCTGATTTCCTATGATATTCTGTAGAGTGTAGAATTTTTCCAGATGATCTAAGTCAATGATGGCCAAACTTGGCCCTCCAACTGTTTTGGGACTACAACTCCCATCATCCCTAGCTAACAGGACCAGTGGTCAGGGATGATGGGAATGGTAGTCCCCAAACAGCTGGAGGGCCAAGTTTGGCCATCACTGATCTAAGTGGTCTGACAGTCTTTGACTTAACATATAAAGTTCTGAATAACTCAGGACTAAGTTAACAACAGTATGATGAACGTGGCCCAATAGCTGACCGGTGTCCAAGGCATACAAAAAGTTGCACCTCAGCACAGGTGTAATATGTGTGCACCCAGGTGCTCCAATCAATAACCCGGTCTCAGGTTTCTGAATCAGCTGCAGCTTCTGGACCAACCCCTAGATGGCAACTCCAGTTTACTTCCTACCCTTTGAAAAGCATTAGCACTTTCCTACAACTTTACAGCATGAATGGGGAACCTGTGAACCTTCAAATGTTGTTGGACTCTGGCTCCCATCAGCCCCAGCTAGCAAGGTCGAGGGTCAGGGATGATGGGAGTTGTAGTCCAAGGGCCACAGTTCCCCACCGCTGCCTCTATTTGCATAGGAAAAAAGATCCCATTTAAGCAAATGCAAGTTTCTCTGCAAAGCAAACAGCAGCTATGTGGATGGGGACATTCCGGATTGGGACCCCAGCAGGGGGCAAAGGGTTAAAGCCCCTGAATTCCCATGCTAGATCCCCACCAGCATGTTCACAGCCATTTGTGTAGAAGAAATTCTGCACTTAACAAAACAAAAGTTGGGTCCCCCCCCCCCCCCCGCAGCAAGCTGGATTCAAACTAGACATTAGCCCCCATTCGGTGCTACTAATCAGAGGCTGCTTTCTGCTTCTCTCCTCCACGGTCGACATAATAAAGCATGCCATGTCCTTTAGGGAGATGCCCACTGCCATCTTTCGTGAGATGCCCACTGCAGTAAAAATCAGCTGGCTGGCGGGCAAAAGACCATTACCATGCATCTTAGGGCACAGCAACTTAAACAGCCTTTGCCAACTCATGCCCTCCAGGCATTGGAGACTAGTCCATTAGGGCAAATGGGGCACTGCCCCACCAACCTTGGCCCTGGCTTTCTGTTTCCTCCTCCTTAGAGCTGCTGTAGCAGAACTCAGCTGGGAGGTGGATGGGGAGGAAACTACAGCTAACTGACTCTGCCTGCCGCTGGCTATAGCGCCTCCTACTGTTGGCCTCCTTGCCTTCTGCCCTACCAGGCCCAATAGGCACCAGCTACCTCTGCCTCCAGATGTTCAACAACCAAAAGCCACAGCAAGTACAGTGGTGCCTCGCAAGACGAAAAGAATCCGTTCCGCGAGTCTCTTCATCTTGCGGGTTTTTTCGTCTTGCGAAGCAAACCCATTAGAGGTTTAGCGGCTTAGCGCTACAGTATTAGCGGCTTAGCCGGCTTAAAGATCAGCTGATAAGCGGCTTAACGATCAGCTGATAAGCGGCTTAACGATCAGCTGATAAGCAGCTTAGCATCAGCTGTTAAGCGGCTTAAAGATCAGCTGATAAGCGGCTTAGCATCAGCTGTTAAGCGGCTTAAAGATCAGCTGATAAGCGGCTTAGCCATCAGCTGATAAGCAGTTTAGCGGCTTGGGAAAAGGGGGGAAGGAAAAACCCCGCAGGAACTCGCAAGACATTTTCGTCTTGCGAAGCAAGCACATAGGAAATTCGTTTTGCGAAGCACCTCCAAAACGGAAAACCCTTTCGTCTAGCGGGTTTTCCGTCTTGCGAGGCATTCGTCTTGCGGGGCACCACTGTATACAGAAAAGGGCAAAGAAATCTCATGCCATCATTACGTGGTAGGCCATGACAAATGGGGTAGGGGGAGGTCGCAAGGGGCAGGAGGTTTTCCACTGAAGTCACGGGTGTGTACATTTTTCCTGCACTAGCAACATTTCCAAGATACAGGACTTGCAGCGTTCAAGTGAATGCTGATACTCACCGCAGCACCGGATGGGCCAGGACGTCCTCTCTCGCCTGGAAGACCCCGGGGACCCTGGGAAATAACAATAACAAATGTGAGAAGGGCATCATCATCACATCCTAATTTTCCAGACTGCAGACTTCTGAGTGCGAAGGAACCTAAGGTAAAGGTAAAGGGACCCCTGACCATTAGGTCCAGTCGTGCCCGACTCTGGGGTTGTGGTGCTCATCTCGCTTTATTGGCCCAGGGAGCCGGCATACAGCTTCCGGGTCATGTGGCCAGCATGACTAAGCCGCTTCTGGCGAACCAGAGCAGCGCACAGAAACACCGTTTACCTTCCCGCCAGAGCGGTACCTATTTATCTACTTGCACTTTGACGTGCTTCCGAACTGCTAGGTTGGCAGGAGTAAGGACCGAGCAATGGGAGCTCACCTCATTGCGGGGATTCGAACCGCCAACCTTCTGATCGGCAAGTCCTAGGCTCTGTGGTTTAACCCACACCTACTTTTCAACATTATGGCTAGTGAAATGCTCATCAGCACGACAGTGTGGTGTAACAGTTAAAAGGGTTGCAGTAGGGTCTAGTGGTAAAAGGTAAAGGTAAAGGACCCCTGACAGTTAAGTCCAGTCGCGAATGACTCTGTGGTTGCGTGCTCATCTCGCTCTATAGGCTGAGGGAGCCGGCGCTTGTCCGCAGACAGTTTTTCTGGGTCATGTGGCCAGCATGACTAAGCCACTTCTGGTGAAACCAGAGCAGCGCAAGGAAACGCCATTTACCTTCCCGCTGACTGACTGTGGAGTCACATGTGAAGCTGGCACAATTCACCGCGAATTCCAGGGAGGTCTTGAATATGTACATTTAAGTTGCACAAACTCTCAGGACTATTTCCAAGCACAATTCAAAGTGTTGGTGCTGACCTTTAAAGCCCTAAACGGCTTCGGCCCAGTATACCTGAAGAAGCTTCTCCACCCCCATCATTCAGCCCCAAGGTCCAGCCCCAAGGGCCTTCTGGTGGTTCCCTCATTGCGAGAAGCCAAGTTACAGGGAATCAGGCAGAGGGCCTTCTTGGTAGTGGCGCCTGCCCTGTGGAACGCCCTCCCATCAGATGTCAAGGAAATAAACAACTATCTGACTTTTAGAAGACATCTAAAGGCAGCCCTGTTTAGGGAAGTTTTTAATGTTTGATGTTGTCGCTTTATTATTAATAATATTCTGTTGGGAGCCACCCAGAGTGGCTGGGGAAACCCAGCCAGGTGGGCGGGGTATAAATTATAATAATAATAATAATAATAATAATAATAATAATAATAATTCAAATACAAATAGGCAATGCCCACCCTGCAGGGCTAAGAGTGCTGTTATTACTGATTAAAAATAAGTTGAGCAGTGGATACTCACCATCGGACCAGGTGACCCAGCTTCTCCAGCAGCGCCAGCTTCACCCTAGAGTAAGAGAGACCATGGTAATTATGGAAGCAAAACTTGTCTTTGCTACCAAACTCCACACCTGTGTGGATCAGGGGTGGGAGATGAGACTCTGAAGGAGCTTCCAAATGACCTCTTTATTCTGATTTGTTTGTGATGACAACACAGGTTATTTAATGAGCATTCGTCGTGGTTTGTTGGCAACCTGAATTTGCTGGTCTGCGTTTGAAAAGAGTGATGGTCTGGAAGTGCCCTGGATGCTGTGGAAACAATTCTCATTGCCATTCCACTTCGTTAAACACTAGAGGGCACTCCACTAGCACATACAGTGGTACCTTGGTTCTCAAACTTAATACATTCTGGACTCTCAAAACTTTTCGAAAACCAAGGCACAGCTTCCGATTGGCCGCAGGAGCTTCCTGCACCCAAGCGGAAGCCACAGGAGCCGCGTTGGATGTTTGGCTTCCGAAAAACGTTCACAAACTGGAACACTCACTTCCGGGTTTGCGGCGTTCGGGAGCCGATTTGTTCAGCAACTAAGCGGTTCGAGAACCAAGGTACCACCGTACAACTGTATCAATGGCAAACAGTTTCCTGCAGATGCATCTCAACTGGCAACCCCATTTATGGCAGAAAGGCAGAGGTGGAATAGAGTGGGATGAACTATTGCTGCCAAAGAGGAGGCTGCACAACTGTAAGGAGCCTACTCAGTTTCAGCACCCATACAAAGCCGAGTGCAAAGTCCTCCAAGTTCTTGTGATACTTGCTGGCTGCAGAAAGGGAAGACCTCTAGATGCCATGCAATGAAATGAGCATCTACTATAAAAAGTGGAAAGGTCCTAAGTTACAGTTAGGAATCCTCATATAGCTTCTCCCACTCCTTCTTGTCTTAGGCTCCTAGACATGGGGGGGGTGGCGCAGGGGGCGCAGGTAGACTAGGAAGCTTAGAGATATCATGTGCAGTGGGCATCCATGATGCCACAACAGCAGTTAGCAAAAGAGATACCAGTTGGCGGAGACAAGGGTAGTGACAGACTACGGCTGTTCATTGCTGTTAAATACTGCGTGCTTAATTACTACAGGAAAACAGCAATCTGCTAATTATGCACTTGGGTGCTAAGAAAACATGGTCATTTTCAGCATCCGCTTTCTTGGGTGCTGCTGAAAACCAAAACAGCTCCCTGCTTTGAAAATCCTGCTCTCTTTGGATTGCACCGTTTTATCCCTGGAGAACGGATTTTTAACACAAAGCGTTTTCTTTTCCTGACACATCTAGATCAATTGGTCTATCTGTCATGATTTCTTTTGGGGGGGGGATACAGTGTACTTTACTTTGAAAAGTCTACAGGGAAATTTTAAAACTGTACACTGTAAATTCACTTAAGAACTGTTCATTTCACCCTGGCAAGCAAATTTACATTGGTTTTGATGTGCAGGACTTCTGTTTTAAAGGAATATAAGCTCTCAGTCAGCTTCAACTGCACACCTTGAATTTGCAAAGATGTGATTGAATCTCACCTGAAAATAGTGATAGCCTGGAAGTGCCTACAGTCTGAAACTTGGTAAGGGGGCGTTGACTGGAAGTTACTTGAGGTTGCAAAGGGACCTTGACAATATTTAGAAGAACTAAAACGGTATTCATTGGTTGGGGTGGAAGGCATGGGAAAGCCATAGGTGCCCATGGCTACTAAAATCTAATGTCCCTTACCTTAGCACCTGCAGCGCCAGCTTCTCCCTTGGAACCATCTAATCCAGGATAACCCTAGAAAGAGAGAGGAAATCATGAAGAAGTTTCATTGCATATCCTTGGCAGAGACTTTTACTAAAAATCCAACCTATTTAATGCTTGCATACTTACTCTGTGACCTTTTACGCCGGGAAGACCTGGGGTCCCAGGGAAACCTCGAGCACCCTAGGAGTCAACGAGAGATCAATTCAGGTAAATAAATAAAGTTTCTCAAACAGATGCTGATAACTGCACAAAAGCTGGAATACTGAACAGCTCACTGCAGAAGCTAAAGGGCCAAGTTTCTGGCCTATCAGCCATTTACATTGAAGGAAGACCTATCCAAAAGGCATACATTGATAAGTCTGCACTAGAGTATGGAAACAGGAAGCAAAACCAACTAGTTCATGTTAAGCTGTGGCTTCTTTAGCCCTTTATTCCATCTCTATCTATACTCAGAATGTAAAGCTCTCTGTTCCCCATCAGTTACTCCCACTTTTCAGCAGGCTTTGATTCAGTGACCCTCTTAAATGGGAAGGCAAGCAAAATTGCTGACATCATAATGCCAATTCATGACACCTGTACTGACTGCCAAGTTTCAAGCATGCCCTAACCTTTTCTCCACACACAGCCCAGTCTCAAATTAATACCATCTGCAGATAGGTTTGTGCAATTCCACACTAGCCACAGAATTTAGAATTTTGTTTTAAACCAAGCTTCCTACGGCTGCAAACATAGGCTTCGAAGATATATAGATATTTGCTGTTGCAATTTGTATACAAAAGTCCAAATATATATGGCATAGAACAGATCAGATAAAATTGCCAAACAAAACAAAAATGTTAAAAAGTATACAATTTAAACCTCAGAGAACAAAACTGTGGGCCTTATTTTAATGGTAGTAGCTAAAAAAATTGCAGCCTTTGCTGTCACCAGCTTATCTTGTTCCTCCAGGAGAAAAGTTACCGTATTTTTTGCTCTATAAGACTCATTTTTCCCTTCTAAAAAGTAAGGGGAAATGTGTGTGTGTGTGTGTGTGTGTCTTATGGAGCGAATGCAGGCTGCCCAGCTATCACAGAAGCCAGAACAGCAAGAGGGATTGCTGCTTTCACTGCGCAGCGATCCCTCTTGCTGTTCTGGCATCTGAGATTCAGAATATTTTTTTCTTATTTTCCTCCTCCAAAAACTAGGTGCGTCTTGTGGTCTGGTGTGTCTTATAGAGCGAAAAATACGGTACTTAATACCCCAGGTGAGATAATAACAGTGGGGTGATTAACCCTTTACGCAAGTCTCGGTATGCAGAGCAGAATAACCATATGCAGACCAATGTTTCTTTTAAAACATGTTTCTTATGGCTACAGAGTTGGGCTTCAAAGTGCTCAGGCAATGATGGCAGGGGAGAATTTTCTAGGGATCAGGGAGCAGAGTTTCAATGGCTAGCAGAAGCAGAATAAAATTCATAAAAACGTAAAATAAACATTGATTTATTTAATTTGAATAACGTAGACAGATTGGAGAATTTAGTTTTTAATGAGATACAGAATTTGGTCTTGTGGGTCTTAATGTTGCTCAACACTGATAATTTTGTTTGCAATCCGTTTCTAAATGCAATAAAAGTCTTGGTCACCAGCATGTGGCAAGGAGCTACAGGAGTGAGTTATTCTCTGGCTCTCTAAACAACCTGAGAGCCAGGGTGGTTTCAAAGTCAAATTCAGCAGAGACTCCCACATTTATCCAGTAGCCTAAGCCAGAAATCCATCATACTATTTTTATTTTTAATCAAGGCGGAGGAGAATCCTGAAATTCTAAGCTCATCGTCAGGAAGAGTAAGGAGATCCCTTCATCCAAAACCACAGAATATTTCCTCCAAAACTGTGACTGTTTATGTCAACTAAATGTACTCTCAGAATAAAAGTGCATTCTGCTGCATTTCTTTATCCGGTTGTATGTGCACAGATATCTGAGATATGCTGGACAAAGCCATACCTGAGGGCCAGGTGGCCCACGCTCTCCCGATTTGCCAGGTTTGCCAGATTCACCCTGAAAGAGACAAAAGTGATCAAGTGGTTAAAACATACCCTTTAAGAAAAGGATGACATTTATACAAAAGTCAAGGTCAGAAGAAGACATCAAAATTGAATAACTTAAAGCTGCTGTGTTAACTCCATGGTACTTCCTAGTTTGCTGTTCTGTCTCCAACAAAAACTACAGTTGTACCTTGGATCCCACATGCCTTACGACTTGAATGTTTTGGCTCCCAAACGCCGCAAACCCAGAAGTGAGTGTTCCGGTTTGCGAACGTTCTTTGGAACCCAAATGTCTAATGCGGCTTCCGATTGGCTGGAGGAACCTCCTGCAGCCAATCGGAAGCCGCGCCTTGCTTTCCAAACATTTTGCAAGTCAAACGGACTTCCGGAACGGAATGGTTGTTATGATGAGAGATGCAGTCCAAGAACATCTTGGGACACCAGGCTGAGCAGGGAACTTTTGGCCTTTCAGCTCCCATCAGCCTTGACTATCGGCCATGCTTGCGGGGGCTGATGGGAGATGTAGTTCAGCAGCCTCTGGAGGGCAAAAAAGGTTCTCTGCCCCTGACATAATAGCAGATTAGAAATCTGCATTAAAAATAGGTAAAGGTAAAGGTAAAGGGACCCCTGACCATTAGGTCCAGTTGCGACCGACTCTGGGGTTGTGGCACTCATCTCGCTTTATTGGCCGAGGGAGCCGGCATACAGCCAGCATGACTAAGCCGCTTCTGGCGAACCAGAGCAGCGCACGGAAACGCCGGTTACCTTCCCGCCGGAGCGGTACCTATTTATCTACTTGCACTTTGATGCGCTTTCGAACTGCTAGGTTGGCAGGAGCAGGGACTGAGCAACAGGAGCTCACCCCGTCGTGGGGATTTGAACCGCCGACCTTCTGATCTGCAATTCCTAGGCTCTGTGGTTTAACCCACAGCGCCACCCGCGTCCATTAAAAATAGTTGGTTCAAATAAATGATATAAGTAAAAAACTCCCTACTTAGCAGCAGCTACCCAACAAAGCCCACAAGAAAACAGCACAAGTAGTTTCAGTTCTTTTGTTTTATATCTCCCTTGACATATATCCCCCCCGCCCAAAGCTGCCCTTCTAGATTCAGATTTACCCTGGTCAAATCACCTTCAGTAACTCAGGCAACAAAATATGACCTTCTCATTACAGTAAAAAGCCCCCAATCCTGTTACAAAGGGCATGCCCATTTTATACCAGTTTAACAAGCCCTTCAAAGAATCCTTGGAATTGTAGTCTGAAGAGAATGCTGAGAAGTCTGTAAGAAATTACAAGCCCCGTATCACAGAACTACAGCTCCCAGAATTCCCAACTATGAAGCAATGACTGTTAAACCATTTTAAATCTGTAGTGTTTCTTTGCCTCAGGTTTTTTAAAATACTTTTGCAAACCTTGAGTTTTCCTACTTGATACCTTTCCTCTTGTGTGCAGAATGTGCTATTTTGGCTGTATATTAGGACCCACATTCTGAGAATGACTTCCACATTAGCCTGAGTGATTGTGTGTGTGTGTGTTAGTTAGAGGATGAGACATAAACACTCTGTGCCTTAAAACGTCAACTGTTTTGTATTTCACTTTAGCATTAACTTTTGCAGCAAACTCCTCAGTTCTGCTATGTATGTGCTAAGCTGCTCATCATGATGGGCAGATGTCAAGAGATAGGATACTCACATCATCGCCAGGTTTTCCGGGTGGCCCAGGTGGCCCACGGGGACCCATTGGACCCTAGAGAGAGGGGGAGGGAAAACAAAATATATTAGAAGTCTGAGATACAGCCTCTTGTATATTCTACGCCACCTGCTGACACCCGTTAGTGGCTAGGGAGTCTTAACAAGGTGAATATGTTGACAGTATACGTAGGGATCCATCCTTTCTGTAACTGTGGACTCCCCAATTCACGGATTATTTGAAAAGTAATTATGATGAACAGGTTACGCTAGTAGGTTTGCAAGAAGTTTTGTAAGGTGAATTATTTGAAATATTGCAAAAAAGACAATCAGGAGAATTGTTAGTTAAAGATAATTAAAGGTAATATGAAATTAAGAAATGCATAATAAGCGATAAGAACGGAAAATCATCAGAGGTGTTGACGGAAGTCCAAAAATTATTGTATAAGATGAGAAGTTTTGTTGTATGAATGATAATTAATATGTTAAAAACTAATAAAAATGTATTTTAAAAAAAGAGGGATTTCCATGACATGTGGCTGCTAATACACCACTGCAAAGTTCAGGAATGGGACACCCTTTTGGGGGGTTCAAGGGCCACATTCCCTTGGGGGAAAAGTTCAGGAGGCAGGCAGAACACTTCATTCATCTCCCTCACTTTTCATTCATATATTCATTCTCTTCCATTCATTATATTCCTCAGCAGGCAGAGCAAAGGATCCAAAGCATGTCATTTGCCAACCCATGGCAAAGCTGATGGTCAGTTCCAGTGGCCAACAGCACAGGTCAGAAACTTGAGGAAGCTTCTAAAAGAAGGCACCATATGCCTTTTGCTTCACCCCCACTCTTAACTAGGGTTTCTAGTTATCATATTGCATTCACAATTAGAATGACAAAAGCGTTGGGGTTTTTTCCCCCTTCGCACACATGCAGTGCATCCCTGTTAGGGAACTAATCTCAATTTCATGACTGGCAAAAGGCAGTGCTTGTGCAAATAACACTAAACCATGGTTTAGTGTTATTTGCACAAGCAAGACGGATGTGCCGTGAGCCTTGGGCTCACGACTGCCCCTTCTCCTCCTCCCATACAGCTCATTTCAGTTCCCACAAGACCTGAATTGTTGCATACAAGCCAGGGACTGCGGCTGAAAACAAACCTGGTATGTTTCAAGACAAGCCAGGCTTTGTAGGAATCAGAAAACTAAACCCTACCAGACTCCTCCTCCCAGCAACATGGGAGGACCAGAGGGAAGGCTGCAGTAGTGTAGGTAGCCAGGGCCAGGGTGGGGGAGTAGTCTGTACCGGGCCGGGCTGGGCCGGGGTAACCACACAGGGAACCACGTAGATCTTTAGGGTGGCACGGGGATCTGTACTGCAGCACGGTGGCTGCTGTGCATCAGGTTATGGGATTCTAGGGTAGAAGGGGAGCTTGAAATTGGTGGCTGCCCTGAAAAAAGGTGGAGTGTGTGAGAGATTAAGGCTCACGGCAACTCCTTACAACTTAATGCATAAAGCACTCAACAGTGATTTAACAGAACATGCAACAAGGCCCCTGGCATTGTGCGCAGGATGCGCAGATAATGTTCCTGAGAAGCACTGATATGAAGTACAGTTAAGCTGTATTTTAATTACACCCCAGACAGTTAGAATATGCTTTTTAAAAATTGGCAAAAGTCAACTTCGGCAGCTCCTGAGTCTCACACACACAACACACTGGTTAAAGAGGGCTCATTGCTGCGCTCTTTTTTCCATGAGCCTCCAAAAACTCTGAAATCATAGTTCTAGCCACCAGCAGAAATCAGCCCAATATAAACATTTTACTATTTTACTATTCTACCCTATCCCACCAGATAGAATCATTGGTCAGTCTGGACTTCTTTGGGAGCAAGGGCGGGATACAAAATTAATAAAGAAAGAAATACCTTGCTATTTCAGGTATGGTACCAGATTGTGGAATGGTCTCCCACAGGAGGACATGCCTTCATCCCCATTTTTTAAACAAAGGCTGAAAATGATGCTGTTTCAAGAAGACATCTTTAAAGGTCTTTAAATTGTGCCCTACTTCACAGCTGATTTTGCTATTGCTTTAAACTGCCATTCCCAGTGCTAGGTTTTGTTCTTTAGTGTGTCATTTTATTGCTTGCTTTTTCCTCAAATGAAGTTTATAAAGCCACTTTGAAGATATGTTAATCTCACTTATATCCAACTCTCTCCATTAAGATGTACCCAAAGTGGCTTAAAAGCGTTCAGAAAAAGTAAACAGTAGCTTTATTTTATTTTTGAAAAGAAAAATCCAGATCATCAGTAATGTAGTAATGCCTACTCAAAAGTACTAGGTGAGGGAAGAGTTAATAATTGTAGGAGTTGTTTTTTTGCATTAATGATAAGAAAACTGACCATTTTTGGAGGCTCAAGGCCTTAATTATGTTTTATAGTAAAATACACAGTTAGATTCCACTACTCTGTGTCACTGTCTGTTCCTACTGAAGCTTGATGACACCACACACACACACACACAGACAGACAGCTGCCACTCAAGGTAATATTTGATAAAAATTCATTAAAACAGTCATCCCACCAAAAAAATCCCTAATTTTTTTAAACAACAAGGTATGAAAAAGCCACAAACAGCTAAGAATAAACACAAACTTAAGAACAAGCAAATCAGATGGTTGCCGCCAAAAGCAATCTGAAATAAAGTTTTTAAAAACTTTATCCATCTTTCTAAAACCACAAAGGCCAAAAGCCTACCTTGTAGTTCATCATCCTGTTTCTACTGCGGCCAACCAGATGCCTCTGGGAATCCCACAGGCAGGACATGAGGGCATACTCATGACGGATCAGGGTTCATAAACCTTCCTACCTAACATACTGTCCAGACAAGGTGCCACCACAAAGAAGGCCTATCTATTTGTTACCTTGCCAGTTTCCTTTCTGAACTGCTAGTGCACTCAGACAGGACCTCATCAGATAAAAAGGGCACACCAGAGAATATATCTATATCTATACCAGGCATGGCCAAACTTGGCCCACCAGATGTTTTGGGACTACAACTCCCATCATCCCTAGCTAGCAGGACCAGTGGTCAGGGATGATGGAGAATAGTAATCCCAAAACACCTAGAGGGCCAAGTTTGGCCATGCCTGGTCTATACAAAGTGACCTGTAAGTTATCCAATACATGGGCAAAATGTCACATAGCACATCTTCAGCGTCAGAGAGAGCTGCTTCACACTTTGCATGGTACAGTACTGGAGAATCCCAGTTGGCAAACAGATGGTGGTAGCATCTGCTCTGGACAGTATGTAATAGATTCCCAGCAATAAAGAAATGTTCTTTATCAAGGTGTGGGGAAGAAATCTAGGGCAGAAAATCCCACAAGTGCCTCTTCCCCTTCCTTGATAGTAAAAATGCAATAATAGCACCATTATGTAACAACTTGCTGCTGTTTTGCAACACCACACATCTGCCCCACACTGCCTAATGATAGGGCCGGCCCTGACTGCTCAACACAGAGCTGCTGATCGAAGCGGCAGCGTCACGTCAAGTTCCATCGCTGTGACAAAAATCAGATAGTGGATGGCACAGTGAGGCTGCTCTGCATCCCTGACCTCCCTCTGATTGTGCAGTTACTGCATGCTGAGATGGAGAGGGCTGGGGCAACTGTGAGGTCGGTGTGGTGCAAATGTGCTGGTAAAGGCAATCCAGCGCTCCTGCCAGCACATTTGCACTGCGCTGACCTCACCAGTGCCTCACCCCCACCCATCTCCACCACAGTAGGCAGCACATCGTACCATCACTACTGAGACTCACCCATGTATTCTCCCTACACTTCTCCACCCCCAGGAGTGGCAACCAGGAATATTGAGTGTAACAGGGAGATAAAGGTAAAGGTACCCCCGACCGTTAGGTCCAGTCGCAGACGACTCTGGGGTTGCGGCGCTCATCTTGCCCTATAGGCCAAGGGAGCCGGCGTTTGTCCGCAGACAGCTTCTGGGTCATGACTAAGCTGCTTCTGGTGAACCAGAGCAGTGCACGGAAACGCCGTTTACCTTCCCGCCGGAGCGGTACCTATTTATCTACTTGCACTTGACGTGCTTTCGAACTGCTAGGTGGGCAGGAGCTGGGACCGAACAATGGGAGCTCACCCCATCGCAGAGATTCGAACCGCCAACCTTCTGATCGGCAATCCCTAGCCTCTGTGGTTTAGACCACAGCGCCACCTACGTCTCTTAATAGGGAGATAGCACAATACAGATTTGCTTTTAAATGCAAATGGAGGTGAACTTCTTCCCCATTCTTATACACAGCTAACATATTCAGTAGCAGACACATGTCAAGGATCACTTCTTGTTCCTGCAAATCAGGCTGTCTCCCACCACGACATTGTTCTCATACGCAATGTAGAAGTACATTAGAACCCTGGGTTAATTGTAGGACACCACAGACTTCCTACGGAAACCACTATCGATTGATGCTCTCCCAGAAAACAATATCCTAGCAACTATAGATGCATTAGCCCTGTGGACCAACATCCCACTCAGAGATAGACGGAGGGTCACAATCCACAATGATACAGAATAACTGCTATGTCTATTCGCTTATGCCAACAAGTTCGTAGGCCAACTTGGAACCTTTTAAGCTGCTCTTTGCTGCCTAAGCTACATCAATGACTTTTTAATCTGCTGGATCCGTGGGAAGAATGCTCATGAACAATTTCCACCCCTTTCTACACCTGAGCCTGGAAACTACTAAAATAGGAAACCCACTCTGCAGTCTTCACAATGCTGGACACCTAAGTCCACTGGTCGCTGCACATAAGTGGCCAGCTACTACCCTGAGCACACCATATGGTTAACAGTGGTGGGCCAAGTCCTAGGGTTCAAGTACATTTGCTGCAGTCAATCAAAGCCTCTCACCTGGTGGATATATTCAGGTAGGAGCTATTGTCTTTGTTTGTTACTATGGTATGCATTTTTGTGTTTTTACATTGCAAACTGCCCTGTGATTCTCGGATGAAGGTCGGTACGAAAATTTAGCAAGTGATGATGATAATAACAACAATAATATTCTTTAAATTAGAATACATTTCCAATGAGAACATTGATTAAAAAACAGCAACAGGCTGGCACCAGGGTCATGAGCCATGCTGAGCCACATGCCTTAGGCGGCAGATCAGAAGGGAACCAGATCATACACAGATCAGCCATCATATGTCTACCTGGCTAGCTTTCCAGTAGGGTTGGGAGATATATCGTCCAAAACTGGTTCGAAGTCCATATCGTGATATTGGTTTTATAATTTTTGACCTGGCAATATAACGTGAATCACGATGTGTGTGTGCTATGTACAAATCACAACGTGGGGAAAACTGTGAAGCCAGCCAATGCCTCTACATAGTTCCATCCTTATTTCAGACACTGTGACATATCAGTATATTGGGATGTTTAGCTGGTGATATATCACGATGTTGAAAACCAGATATCTCCCTATTGCCCACCCACAGCTGGTGGGACCCCTGTGGGGCTCTCCAGAACATCTGTTCTGGTCTGTCCTCAGAGTGAGGCACCGTGGGTATGATGGACTGTGATGAGAGAGGCAGTACCTTCAATATCAGAGGCAATATTCCTCTCCATACCAGTTTCTGTGAATCACAAGTGGGGAAGAGTGTCATGTTTCCCAACCTTAGGTCTCCAGCTGTTTTTGGACTACGACTCCCATCACTCCTAGCTAGCAAGACCAGCAGTCAGGGATGATGGGAAAGCCATTTCCCGTTCCCGGGGAGATGACATTGTGGGCTGGGAGCAAGCCCTCCCCACACGTGTGGGGCAGGATAGCCCCTGTGCCATTGGTTAATCCTCGGCCACGTCATCCCTAGGCCGTCCAATCCGGACGGTCCGGGGGCGTGGCACAGGCTATTTAAACTGCCCATGGCCGAGCACTTGTCCTTTTCTCCCTGCTCGGTCAGTTCTGTGGTCCAAAAGCAGCTGGACACCCAAGGTTGGGAAAAACTGCTATAGAGGTATCTGGTTGTCCACTGCAAGAATAGGATGCTGGACTAGACGGGGTTTTAACCTGATCAAACATGCCTCTTCTTATCTTTTTTTATGTTCCTCTCCAATCCACTAAAACCCCATCATGTCCACCCTTAGTCATTCCCGCACAACTGAAAAGGTGCAAAGTCTCTCCATGGGATAACTGTTAGACCTGACTTCAACTGCAAAGCTCAATAAATCTTTTCAGTTTGCTCGTGCCCTTACTTTTTGAGAACCCCTAAGCTAAGAGCTTTTGATTGATACTTTATAGACAGGCTTTCTCAGGACGTTGAGGATCCCAGAAGTAAAGAGGGGATTTGCAGGTGCATCGTGGCAAGAGGGAAAGGAGGAAAACACGAGAGCATGAATTGTGCCACAAACATGCGCACTTCCTAGATACTCACGCCAGTACCAGGTTCACCAGGTTCACCAGGGCTGCCTTGAAATCCTTGAGGGCCCTGAAAAGAAGAGCACAGATACATAGTGGTCCCCTTGGGAAATTCTTCCATCTGCCTCATTTTTTTCTTCCAAACATGAGAGATCATCCAAAAAAGAGTTGAAAGGTTTTGATACTTACAGGAGATCCTGGGGGTCCCGGAGGGCCTCGTGGTCCCATAGGTCCCTATAATAGAAAAAATAAATAAATTAAGCAATCGTTACCCTCCCAAAAAGAAAGGAAGATACAACCCCAGCACAAGAGATACACTAGGCCCTGGCTGTACAGGCATTAAGAACCAGAGCAGGGCTTCTTCAATGGCTGCTGCTTCTTTAATTCTCCCTCTCTTTCTTTGTAGCATCCAGGGCTATTTGTATTTATAGAAGTCATTCGGCAGTGAAAACACACACACACACACACACACACACACACACACACACGCTTTCCCTTGGAAACTGTCCATGTTTACTAAGCCCGAATTTCATTTACTGCTTGCCAAGAAATGCTAGAGAGTAGAAATTTCCTGCTGGAAGTCTTGTGGGATCTTGAAGAACAGTAGCTGCTGTCTGTCTTTGCATACTTCAGCTCTCGGTCCAAGTGCAACAGTGACCCAGCCCCTTAAAACAAATCTCTCTATTACTTCCCTGTCCATAATCATCTGTTTCAACTCTTTTGGCACATGGCTTGGGAAGTTCTGGCAAGCGATGCAAAGGCCCAAAGACCTTTTCTCTCTCTCTCTCTTTAGAAGTCAGCCTTTCCGTTAAAGCGGCTTGCTTGAACAATCTTGGAATAGCAGGTCAACAAACGTTTATAAAGTAAGTTAGGCAATGAAATTAATTGGTTTTCTGGAACTCTGGGTACAAAGGAAGGTGGTGGCGATGAGATTTGATGGCATCACTCGGGCTTAACATCAGGAATGCATTGGACTCTATGGGCTTCAATAAAACTATGCTGGTTGAGGTGCTGCAAGCAAAAGCTGTAGCTCCTTTGGGCCAAATGCAGCTATGCTGGTGACTCAGCTACCCTATTTTAAGGGGACAGAAACAGTCCCAGTATTATTGCAGTGCAGGGATCAGGAACAAGTGGCCCTGCAGATGTTGCTGGACTACAACTCCCATCATCCCTGACCATTGACCATGCTGTTTGGTGCTGATGGCTGTGGGAGTCCAACAACAATCCAGTGGGTCACAAGTTTCCCCTTCCCTATTGTAATGTATTATTTTATGCAAACCATCTTGAGCATCCTTCTGAAAGTATCCGAAGAGATTTTTTTAAAATAAATTTTAAAAATCAAATACAGTGGTACCTCGCAAGACGAATGCCTCGCAAGACAAAAAGCTCGCTAGACAAAAGGATTTTTTGTTTTTTGAGCTGCTTTGCAAGACGATTTTCCCTATGGGCTTGCTTCGCAAGACGGAAACGTCTTGCAAGTTTGTTTCCTTTTTCTTAACACCGTTAATACAGTTGCGACTTGACTTCGAGGAGCAACTCATAGAACGCGGTGTGGTAGCCTTTTTTTGAGGTTTTTAAAGACTTTGGTGATTTTTGAAGCTTTTCCAAAACTTTCCCAACACCGTGCTTCGCAAGACGAAAAAAAGCGCAAGACGACAAAACTCGCGGAACGAATTAATTTCGTCTTGCGAGGCACCACTGTAATAATAAAATGTTATCTAGCTATCTATCGATAGATCTATACACACGGTGTCAGTGTTACCTTGGAACATTTTATTTACTTTTCTTAACATTTATATATCCCACTTTCCTTCCATCACAGAACCCAAGGCACTGTACGTGGGGCTCGTATGACCAAACCTAAGTGGCGGCCTCACGTGGCTTCAAATTGTACCTTGGGAGAGCCTAAATGGCACATGGGGTGTCTGCTTGTCTGTTTTACTGTAGCCTTCAGTCAGAGAAGCTAATATGGGCTATAAAACACTCTGAATGTCTGGAGCAGAGGTGAGGAATCAAACACACACAGCACCATACCAGATCTACAAATTTAGGGCCATTTGGAAGGGCTCCTGTAACATTTACTCATTGGAAGTCCCACCACTTTCAATGCAACTCAACCCCAAAATGTGCTAAGGATTATGGCCCAGGTGTACATCATACCTAGTTCTCAAGATGGCTGAACTCTGACTGGTCTCACTGATGTCTTTCGTAATTTCTCTGTTTTGTTCTGCAAAATGCATCTTCTGTCAAGCATTTTCTAATGTAAAACGAGGCTCTCGGCCTAGCCTACAGCACATATCCCTCACAGGTTTAACAGAAAGCAGGTGTGGCGGTTAAGTGTGCTGGACTAGGATCGGGTTCAAATCCACACATGGCCACAAAGATCACAGGGGACCTTGAGGGTTGTGGCTGAGGTTAAAATAGAGGGGAGAGGAAGAGGCATGTGTGCTACCTTGAGCTCCTTAGAGGAACAGTGGGATAGAAATGTAGTAATTAACATAAATATAATATGCATTAGTAGTTGGTCACATTCCAACAATCAAATGTTGTCTTAAAAAGCCAATATTATGAATAAGTCTCAGACACCGGCATAACGCAGGAAGCTGCAGTTAACCACAGCTTCCTACTACATCTGAACGAGGAAACTGGGGTTAACGGCTTTCACACAAGCCAAAATGTAAAGCCATCATTCGAAGATGGTTTCTGAAGCCTGGCTAGCTTGGAAGTCATTAACCGTAGTCCTGGCTCGGACATGACCTGAAGCTATGCTTATCTATAGCTTCTTGTTTCATCACTCACGCGAAGGAAGGAGTGACACGGCTGTGTGCAGGTCCCTGAAGCTCACACCTATCTCAGTTTACTAGGCCAATCTCTGATCAACTGAACATGACAATTCCCCCTCCCCAGATAGACTGGCTCCAGAGGGTAGCATTTGCCAAGTTTACAGGACCAATAGATGATCCACTGTCAAGGAACTGCCATCAGTGCCGGAGGGAGAGAGCAAAAGCCAGAGGGATTCCAGAGAGCGTCCAGGGATTGGGAGAAGCAGCCCATCTTCTGGGGAAGAGAATCAGCGTAGCACCAGTGGAGAAGGGGGGCAGATGGGGGAAGTGGTGAGGCGGTCCCATGACTCCTTGCCTGGGACCAGCGGGGAGAGTAGGGGTCCTCCGCTGCCCACGCCCTCCTTGCGCAGAAGGCTTTCGCGCAGAGAGAGTAGGAGGAGACTAGGCGTCAAAGAGCTTCTTTGCTGGAAGAAGTTTAAGAAACGCCCACTGATGGATTCTGCCAGCGACTGAGTCAGCCACGGGTGAGTGGCTGTCCGGACAGAAAAGGTTCACTTAGGCAACCCAGCCAGGTGTTTGCACCCAGCCGGGGAGATAAGCAACGGTTTACGCACGAGCAACCCCTAGAACCATTACATCCACCATCAGCGCTACTCAACAGTGCCACCATTTTGTATGGGGCAGCCACCCAAGAAGCCCCAAGGCACCCACCATTTTCAGGCTAAGGCCCAATGAAGCCCTGGGTCTTGCCTGAGAGCCTCAAAACCCTGTAGGTGGGCACTGTCTGCAGAGAACCTAGGAAAATACCATTGTGCGAGTGGAGCTAAAAGTCTCTTAACAGACCGTTCTCACCATCACTAAACTACAATCAGTGACATAGTATGGGAGGGGCCACAGGGCGGTTGCCCTAGGTGCAAATTTGTTACGGGCGCAAAATTTCAGCACCTGGTGCTGCCTCACACTTTTGCCGCTGATGGCTTCTCCATGTGAACCAGGAAGTGACCTCTCTAGACAACGGAACGGCTCTTTTGTTATTTCCGTGGCTGTAATCTCCTGGGTGACGCAGATGCTGTTAGTATGCACATGCGTACTCCGTCCATTTCCCTGCCTTCCATCCACCTCCTCTGCATGGGCTCCGGGCACTGGCAACCCATGTTACGCCACTGACTACAATTGCCAGGATTCTTCATGGAACATCATCCCATGGCAGCCAGCTGCCATAAAACCAATACACCAGATATATCTTGGGTGAGGAACCAATGGACTTCTACGTCAGAAATTGCCAAACCAGAAGGCTTCCAGTGGCACCCCTGGGCAGGTGCCCGAGACTTTGAGCTTTCATTTTTAAAAGAGCTCTAGCCCTTCGAGAAAGAAAGTTATGAGGTGAAATATGCAGGTACTTTCTAAGCAATTTCTGTGCAATGAAAATGGTGTAACTACCTTGTATATCTTTCATGATACTGAGGAATGCTTCTGGTTGTTATTAGACAGCAACAGCATCTGTGTGTCTGTGTGTGTGTGTGTGTGTAAGAGAGAGAGATCTCCACAATCAGGGCCAGCAGGACTTTCCACGGTAAGCATAAGATTGCCAGGAGTGGCTGCCTTGCTAATTTTGTGTTAAGTCACACTCCCTCCGTGGCAGCCATTTTGTGTCTAGCGCCCACTAGTCTAAAAAGTTGGGCAACTCCCATTGTTGCTGATCATTGGCTGTGCTGGCTGGGTTGTAGTCCAACAATATCTGGAGAGTCACAGCATACCCACCCCTGCAATATACATTTGTCGCGCACACATGAGCTCAAACGACCAGGGGACTCTCCTGTGGTCCTTACCATTGGTCCTTGCATCACTCCCATCTGAGCGCCGCCTGCTTTCTCGTCAAATCCTCCAGCCATCTGAGCAGCAAAGTTCTGCAAAGATAAAGCACAGAGAGAATGTGGTCAGTTTCAGTGGAACGTGATGTGATCTGACGGAGAACATTCACACAATGAGGAATACAAGAAGTCTTTTGAAAAGTCCAGAGTTTCCCATAGTATCTGATGGGCAAGCATGCCCACATCACAGAGGAAGAAATTAGGGCAAGCTCGTTTTACATTTTTTTACTCTCCCTGGGGGACTATAATTCCAGACATAGGGTGATATTTTTAGGCGGAATTTCATCTGGAGAGAAAAAGGAAGGGGGTTTTCTAAGTAGAAAGTTGTATTTTTTTGCCCACCCTATTATCAAGTCATTGTTTTGGTGTTTTCCACGACAGTAAACAAGCGGGGGGTCTGCAAGGATAGAAATCAACTTTGTGGTACACAAACTTTCCAACAAGTTATCAAAAACACAAAACATTGTTCATTATATCTAGAGACAGGGTGTCTGGAACACAGAGCTACATCACTGAATCTAAACAATATTCAAGTGCACTTGGAATAATTAGAAAGTGTAGCTTAAAAATGGACACCGACAGGTCAAACCTAGCTCCAAAAAAGCACTGTTATACATTCTAAAGAGACATCACCTTGCCAGCAAAGGTCCGTATAGTTAAAGCTATGGTTTTCCCAGTAGTGATGTATGGAAGTGAGAGCTGGACCATAAAGAAGGCTGATCGCCGAAGAACTGATGCTCTTGAATTATGGTGCTGGAGGAGACTCTTGAGAGTCCCATGGACTGCAAGAAGATCAAACCTATCCATTCTGAAGGAAATCAGCCTTGAGTGCTCACTGGAAGGACAGATCGTGAAGCTGAGGCTCCAATACTTTGGCCACCTCATGAGAAGAGAAGACTCCTGGAAAAGACCCTGATGTTGGGAAAGATGGAGGGCACAAGGAGAAGGGAACGACAGAGGACGAGATGGTTGGACAGTGTTCTCGAAGCTACCAGCATGAGTTTGACCAAACTGCGGGAGGCAGCAGAAGACAGGAGTGCCTGGCGTGCTCTGGTCCATGGGGTCACAAAGAGTCGGACACGACTAAACAACAACAACAATGCATTCTGAGGAGAGCAGAACAACCCCATCAGATTTATTTATTAATCCTATTATGAAACCATTGAATACACCTCTGTACAAGGATGCATGTCCAAAGGCAGTGCCGGAGCGTATGCCCACCAGTTTGACCCAGTGGCGGAGCCGGGTGCAAGGTGCACGGCAGCTGAGGAGGGTGGGTGGCAGTGTTGGCGCCCATTCTCCTGCTCTCCTACCCCGGGTCAGGCCTGACCCGGGGCCGAGCTGCAGCCGGGCACAAGTGCCCAGCCAAGCCTCAGCTCCTTCTCACTCACAGCCAGGCTTTGATGAAGGAGCCTGCTGCCACCTCATGAAATTGTACTCAGAGCCACGGACCCCCACGGACACCCCCCCACGCTACGCCTCTGTCCAAAGGTACAACCTCAAGATCAGTTACTTCCTAAAACATTTTAACTCTACCACCCTGTCCACAAAAGACTGAAGGGAATGGGAAGAATGGACGTTTTCCACTCTTTTCGGTGGGTGTTTCCATACAGAGTAGCAACTCTAATGTTTACTAGTAGTGACTCAGTAAAGAATGTGTATTGTTGGCTACCCTATATGAACCTGGAGTAAAGGAATATGACTTGGTGAGTGTGTCCTATGTGTGGAGTAACATTCAAAAATCAGGGTTGGTTAATTCAATCAAAGAACATTCTACACATTCTACACATTAATATCCTCCAGTATGCCTATATTTGATATTGTTTACACGTCCCTAATAGCAATCAAGTGTGGGTTGCAAAAAATATATATACAGTCATTAAACTATGTTAGTGTAGTGTTCCTCAAACATGGGCCTGCAGATATTTGACTACAAATCCCATCATTTCTGACTACAGTGGTACCTCGGGTTACAGATACTTCAGGTTACAGACATTTCAGGTTACAGACTCCACTAACCCATAAATAGTACCTCGGGTTAAGAACTTTGCTTCAGGATGAGAACAGAAATCGTACCGCGGCAGCACAGTGGCAGTGGGAGGCCCCATTAGCTAAAATGGTACCTCAGGTTAAGAACAGTTTCAGGTTAAGAACGGACCTCCAGAACGAATTAAGTTCTTTACCCAAGATACCACTGTACTAGCCAAGCTGGCTGGGGATGATGGGAGTTGTAGTCTAGCACCACTAAGTTCCCTGAGACTTCTTCCCAGCTAAGAGGGTATAGGATTTAGTGACTCTGAAATACAACCTTAAGGAAATGCACTAATGGAATGTCTGCCTTTGTCCAGACCTGCCACTCTCCTGATCGTTTCATAACCTGACACAAAATCAAAACCTGCTCAGCCCTAGCAACACTGTCACTGCAACCCATTGCTAACTGGCTTCCCCAGCTGAAAATTACAGTTCCAAAAATTTCCCTGAAATAGACATAACTGGTTGGTGTAGCCATTAATCTGCTGGGTCTAGTAAAGGCCACCTAATGGCCCTCAGAACTAGAGTTGCCTAGGCAAGTTGGGTGTAATTAACTAGGAATGAATTTAAGGTGCTTTGCGGAGAAATTTACAAATGTATTTTGGACCCACAATGGAGTATGGAAATAGGGCCTACGAACATCTAATTCTATACTGGGCTGTTGATCCAAGTCTATAGACAGTGGTGAGCCCTGATGATCCTCCTCTAGCACAGTAGTTTTCTACCTTGAGGGAACCTTTTCCAAATCAACTGATCTGCATTTGATTCCTGCATTGTAGGGGGTTGGACTAGATGACCCTTGGGGTCCCTTCCAACTCTACAAGTCCATGATTCTATGATCTCCTATGAAATTATCTATGCCCCTGCCATAGACCACCAGTGCATTAAAAAGTATTCTATGACATCTCACAGAAAAAAGCCATAGCCCAGCCTGTTGAGAAAACTGTCCGTCTTGCATGAACTGAGAATGTATTGCTATGTGTCGGGGGGCCGGAGGAGTGGGCTGTATGCCAAGACTCTTCTAATTCCTAGATCCAGTGTTAAAATCTGAGGAAGGATTCAAATTGCTGGAATAGCCAGAAAAGTGTTTTTTTATATATATAATGGCCCTATAAATATAGGTCATTAAAGTATCAAAGGAAGTGGCTCTGTGCCAGACAAATGGAGGGGCTCCCTCAACTCACTATTTGTTAGAAAAGACAAAGGCCAGAATTGAGTTGTATAAGGGTAAGCTAGAACCTGGAGGAAGAAGCAGGCTGAAGCCTATGAAAGAAAGAGATGCCTGATTTCTGTGGCTATGGAGAAGCAAGACCCACTTGGGGTGTCAATGCTGTGAACCCCTCCATCATAGGCTCAGGTTGTACATATGTTTAAATAAAGCATATGCCATAAGGCCCTTGTAACTATGGGACTGCCTCTCCTGGTATGCCCCGCAGAGGACCTTAAGGTCCATGAATGACCATAGTTTAGAGGTCCGAGGCCCTAAGGAAGTCAGACTATCCTCCACCAGGGCCAGGGCCTTTTCAGTCATGGCTCCGACCCGGTGGAATGCTCTGTCCCATGAGACTAGGGCCCTTCAGGATTTAACCTCCTTCTGTCGGGTCTGTAAGACAGAGCAATTCCACCTGGCCTTTAATTTGAATTCAGCCTGATTTTTTATTTCCTTTCTCTTCCTTGCCCCTCCCCCTTTTATGAAGATCACCCGCTTTGAGACCCCACAGCTAATTCTCCCCTGGCCTCCTCGCTGGCCCAAGTAGGACCAATTCAGCCAGCTAGCCCTGGGGATTATCTGATTTTTGAATTTTATTGTTATTCATGTTTTTATACTGTATTTTACGCTGCTATTATAATTAAGTGTTTTAAATTTGTTGTTAGCCACCCTGAGCCCGGTTTTTGAACCGGGAAGGGTGGGGTATAAATAAAAAATAAAATAAAAAATAAAATAAAGACACTACAAGCTCCACTGTACCTCATTTGAAAGGAAACACAAATGCCTGGGTAAATGCCTGGAACCCCTGGAATCTCACACCACTCAGAGATAGTGGTGGAGTTTCTCTAGAGAATACCCAACACTCCCTTGCAGATGACTTCTGGCAAAATAAGCTTGGCAGTGAAGGGGATTCTGACTTGTTGCAGAAACGCATGTTATTGTGGGGAAGGGGGTATTTCCAGAGGACCCTCCCAGAACAAGGTTTGAAAACCACAACTCTAATGGCCAAAGAAGGCAATCTAGGCATTGAAAACCCAGCAGTCTGTTGTATTCTGAATATGTGGCATTTTTTTAGGTAGCATATTATGCATGCTGAACTGAATTAAGGCTTATTGCAGAGTTAGAACACCAGGAATTCTTGGTAGGTAGCACAGTGAAAGAGCTCTTTTCATTCTGTAACCACACATGAAATGTGTGTGTGTTTGTGTGTGTGGGGGGGGGTGTGAATCAAGCAGAGGATACTCACTCCACCAAGGCCAGGGGGACCTGGAGGTCCAGGAGGTCCAGGAGGCCCGGGGTTGCCAGGTGTACCAGGTTCGCCATCTCTGCCACGTGGTCCAGGAGCACCCTATTTTTAAAAAGGAAGAAAAACGTCCCAAGCAAGTCAGATCATAAACCACTATATCATCTCATCCGAGATTACACAGGGAAAATCATGTTTTAAAACGGCAACGGCACACGGTTCAATTAACCCGCATAACTGGTATCATGCATCTCATACAGTCCGAATCTAGACACGTCTACTCAAAAGTAAATCTCACCGAGTTGGCCTGAGGGTTCATAGGATTGTGGACTTAAAATATTGCTAAGTCTTCTCTGTTAATTTCATCTGTGTATTAACAGCCCACTCCAAATCATTGTTACGCTCACAAATGTAAAAATGCTCAGCAGTGATGCCAGTACATGCTACTGCTCTGCTTTAGCAATCTGTGGCCTGTGTATACTTATGATCGCACAACAGCCAGATTTTCTAGGGAAAAAACTATTTAGGATGCAGGAGATGGCCCTAACGGATCCTTCGGTTGTGTGCATTTGCGTAAACTGCTTTGGGAAGCTCCTTTCTTCTTTAAAATTGAAAAAGACTGATTTTAGAAACTTCTAGTTTAAGCCCCTGCCCAATACACTGAATTCAAAGCTAGAGCCCCTCTCACTACCTGACAGGTGTCTCTCCTGCCTCTGCAGGAATATCTCCAACAAGAGAGAGCCCACCTACCGAACCTGGAGCTGGTTCCACTGTCAGACTGCTGTGACCATTAGCAGAATCTACTCCCCTGTAACATAATCCTATTAGATTGCAGAGTGGTTTAACAGTCAATTGTTCTTCCCAGGGAACTCTGAGGATCTGTAGGCCCTGTGAGGTGAACAGGGATCTCCTAGCACCCTTAACAAGCCACAGTTCCCATGATTCTTTGGGAGAAGCCTTGACTGTTTTAAAGTGGTATGATGCTGCTTTAAATGTATAGTGCAGATGTGACCCTAGTCTTGCCCTTTGGGGCAACAGAGAACAACCCTTTGCCTCCCTCTATGTGATTTCCACCCCCTCATCACCTTTGCTGCCATCCTCTGAACCCATTTCCAATTTGTCTACCTCCTTCTTAACATACCCAACATTGGGTGCAGTAGTTTAGATGAGGCTGGCACAGAGCAAAGTTGAACTATTACTTCTCATGACCTGAAAACTATGGGCCTATTGAGTCACCCTAAAATACAAACATGTTCTCCGACCAAAAATGTGATGCGCACAGGGACTTGTTTCACATGCTGGGGATGGCCCTATCCATTCAACAGAGACAGCCAAGGAACAAAGATGTATAAAAGAATACTACAGCCCCGGACGCTCGACGAAAGGAACGCTTGACAAAGTGCTGCTCTGCGCATGCGCGAAGCGCGATTTAGCACTTCTGTGCACGCGCAAGCAGCAAACCCGGAAGTAACCCATTCCAGTACTTCCGGGTTTGCCGCATATGTTGGACGAAAAGGACCCTAAACAGGGCGGACTCAAAACAAGGTACTACTGTACTTCCTCCCTAGGGTGGAGAGAAGAGGCGGAATTGTTCCGCCTTGCAGTGATGGAATGATCAGCATAGCACAATGATGAATTCCTCCAAAAATATTTGCCTAGTTGCCTATGGCGAGCAAGCATTGTTTCCAGGCGACAAGGCAGGAAAGCTCTTATGAATTCAGAAACGAGTTGCATTTATTTCTGCTTCAGACCTTCGACGTACCACAAAGAGCCGTCATAGTTGTCTGTGGGAAGGTGAGGCAGTAAAGCAACTGTGCGGGCATGCAACTTTTGCAGATTGGTTTACAAGACTGCACACAACAGTATGCTTTAATCTCACAGGTACAAATCTTATATTTAATACTCCAGGTACACTGCTCAGGGTGGCACTGACGATCCTCTCCCACCATGCTCCACTCCCGCCTCTCCCCCCAAAATTTTACCACCACAAAAACCTTATGAGGAATGTTAGACTGAATGATAGCAACTGGTCAAAGGTCAGGCAGTAAGTTTCATGGGTGAGGGGAACTTGAACCCAGTTCTTCCCAGTCCTAATCCAACACTAACCATTTCATCACTCATTCTCGTTTGAAAAAATACTGAAACCTTACTCCCTGACTCACCTAAGCACAAAAAGCAGACTATTAAGTGCTCATCTTGTACCCTCTACAACTAACCTTCCAAAATCAACACCATCAAGATGCCCCTGACTTGAAGATATGACAGGTTTGATATTTTAAAAACTAGCAAAGCCAAGACTTGAGAACGGAAGTCAGGTGCTTTCAGTCGTGATGTACAATGCAATCCTATACATGTTTCCTGGAGAGTAAGTCCCATGGTGTACAAAGGGACTCGCTCCCTGGAACGCATGCATAGGACATAGCTGTCAACTTTTCCCTCTTCTTGCGAGGAATCCTATTTGGAATAAGGGAATTTCCCTTTAAAAAAGGGAAATGTTGACAGCTATGGCATAGGATCTCAATCTTAATCCTCTGCCCAATGTGTGAGAAGTTGGCATTACCTTCTCTCCTTTATCTCCGCGTTCTCCCCTTGGTCCTTGTTCACCTGAAGGTCCCTAAAGCAGGTGGAGACAAGAGACTCAGTTAGATATTTTGGTGAACATTTTCCTCCAAAACATTAAAATATTGTAGCAGAGGAGCTCAGTTCCCTACCTGTGGTCCAGGGGGTCCTCTTGGTCCTACAACCTGGACAGGAAAGAGCGAGAAAGAGAGAGAGAAAAAGCTGGTTATGTTGGAAGCCCATTTTGTTTTGACAGCATTCAAGGGATGAGGAAGGTGGACACAGAAAGTGTAGCACTTACATCTTTAATATCGCCAGGTTCTCCTTTTTGTCCCTGCAAAATGCAAAGTGTGCACAAGGTTTAACAGGACAACGGAACAAAACACCAAAGCCAGGCTTCCCCTACACACAAATGATGCCCTGTGTTCAACTCATGCACAATGTTGACATTCTATCTAGACTCCCTGCCTGAAACACTGTGCAACTGTAAGCAGGCCTGTGTACTTGAAAGGGGTAAAGAACATCTGGGCCCCAATTTTGCACAAGAGGTATGCATAAACTTAGCCTAAGTTTTGAATGGCCTTATTTAAGTCAATGGAAGTATTCATTGCTTTTAAGTTAAGGAAACATTTCGGCTTTTTCACTAGGTCTGGGATATGAGAACTGCAGTTCACATTTCATGCCCATGAGACAGCTCGGCTCTGCAATAATTCACAATAACCATCTGTTGCAGTAGCTCCACTGGCTTCTCCAGATTTCCTTCTGTTCTTCGCGGGGGACAGGAAATGAGGTACATTCTATATGCCAAATGAATGTGTGCAGCAAGGGACTGACAGGGCAGCCGACTTGACATGTTCCTGTGCCTTAGACAGCATCTCGATATGCAGAAATCAGCAGGCAAATCATTTTAGGACATCTTAAGCAGTAAGAATTATTGCCCTGTTAATGCCCTCCACTGATACGCCACCTTTTTAAGAAAAGCAAAGGCAAGAGTCAAAATACTGAAACTATGAAAGAAATCTACAGGTCAGATAGCTGTCAAAGGCAACAGGAGCTGACGCCACAAGTAAAATTTGGCACCCCCTGGGGGGCAATTAAATAAAGCATTCAGTTGCCTCACCTTGGGGCCAGGTTGCCCTGTTAAGAAAAAACGGGGGGGGGGAGGGGAGAGAAAGAAAGCATCAGAACCATGTAGCCATAAATCATATGAGCATTATAGTACCTTCAGCCGTACGCATGAGATGCACACAATAAGACAAGGGGGGGGGCAGGAAGATAAGGGAAGAGGCTCTGTGACTCGATGGTGGTGGTGAGGAGATGCTGTGCTTTTCTAAACCCATCCGCTGTGCTGGAGATACTGCTGCCCCAGGAAAATTATAGGCACAGGACTTTTACACTTGGAACAAAAGCCCCATGCAAAGTGGCAGAGCAGGAAAGCACAGACGGAATAATAGGATTCCAAACCAATCGCTGCATGTTCAAAGCCATACTGCAGGAGCACTCAGTTTAATTCCATTTTGCCCCACTGGAATTAAGTGTTCTGTTTATCAAAGCAGCAGCAGCAGCAGCGCACATTCGGCCATGATCCTGCACACAGGTACGCATGCCTAAGGCTGCAATCCTATGCAGACATATTTGGGACTAAGTCCTACAGAACTTAGTGGGAGTTTCTTCCAAACAAATGTGCCCTGGGTGCAGCTGCAAATCTCACTGAGAGATGTGAGACAGATTCCAAACCTAAGCTCACTTCCTTGGAAGAAAATCCTCACCGAAATTACGAATCATTTGGACTCGTCACCAATCAAGCATGATTAGGATCAATCTGTTAAGCCATCGCAAATGTGCACAGAACAACAAGTTTTAGAGGAAAGCATGCTTTTCATGTTTTGTTTCATTTTTTTAAAAAAGCAAGAGTGACACAAAATGCAGAAGTTAAAAGCCACATTCAGCTTAACAGCAAATAAACATTGCGGAAGGGACACAGTTAACTTTTGCAAGGCTCAACCCTTTACTCATTCTGGCTGCCTCACACTGTCATTTGTTTTACTTTTTGAAGTAGAGGAGCCTCAAAGGTAAAAGGGTTAAAAAAGGCCACTTCTAATTGTAACATGACTCCTGGGACAGAGCAAAGGCGGTCACATTACACACACATACAAAAAGAACACCGTTTTTGGAACCTGAAATAATGCTGGATTCTTTCCTTGCACCAACTAAAAATCACAGTCACTTTGCTAACCATGCCTCCTGGGCAGCACTTTTGAGACATAGCAAAGCACTATTAATCACCCCCAATATCTCAGGTATGAAAGCTAGCCCCCACCCCCTCGCTTCCTGACTGTCTATTTTCTCACAAGGCTAAATCTTGAGCTGCTGGTTCTGAGACCACTTTTTTAAAAAATAAAATAAAATCTCAGAGTCCCTTAAGGCAGTAGCATCAAGGGGCTGCAAGAGTAGAGGGAGTAAAACATGGTTGGGGGTGTATCTGCCAACATCTTCCATAGTTTTACACTGCAGCTGGTTCCCCAAAAATGAGGATAGCGTTTCACTCCTACTAGCTCCAAAGCCTACACTCTGCAAGAGGTTTTTTCACATCTCTGGCCAGCACATGAAATGGAAATGGCTGAAGAGCAATGCAGAATGGGTGCAATCCTGAAAAAGCAGGCATGCCAAAGTCACGTTGACATTAATGGGATTAAGAAATGCTCAAATTCCATTGATTTCAGTAGGACTTAGGTGCATTATAACTGTGGGGGGGGAATGTACTGGAGGCACTTATTTTAAAGCACTATAATTTACCATCAACCTTCTTATTATCACTACTGTATTTAGCGTTCTCTGGATTGCACACAATAAAGTTTGTGCAAATCCCACTGATTTAAGTGGAGCTTTACATGCCCCTAATGTGTTTAGGATGGGACAACTCACGTTTAAAAGACCCCATTAAGGGGGGAAAGGTTTAATTTGGTGGTTTAATGAGACCTTTCTCATCTGAGTGAAACTGTAAAGGAACTATCCTTGTCCAGCTCACCCTGTAATTTCTGACACTGAAATCACAGCTAAACACGGTGCAGTTGGGGAGAAGACACAGTATCATATACTTAAGCACTGCAATGCTCTTCTCATTTCCTTCGTGCTCACAAAAATATATACAGTGATGGCAAGTGGGCCACAGAAAAGCTTGATTCAAGGCTGCATGTCTGAGGATCTGGTACTTTACCAGACCAGCCTTTTAAAAATAAAAATAAACCATTTATCTGGTCACTTCTAAGGAGTGAAACTTTTCTCCAGGGGACCAGACAGGAAATGTTTTGTAAAGTGGCAGATTTTTTTTTCCTTTTAGCCCATCAGTGTGTCACAAACACAGATACACTCTGCTAAGTAAACAACTATGGGCTACCTATTTTATGGGCTTGCTTACATGGACAAGTTAATCTTTTGTCAATACTGCTACCCATCTAAGTTCCTTCACATAAACTATGACTCAAATAAGATAAGACGTATTTTCTGCACCTGAAACTGCTTTACCAACTATGAGAAGTAGCCTTTCCTAGAAGTTGCCATGGATGCTGCAAAGCTTTTTGTGGTTTGCATCCATGGCCTTTAGGAAACATCCCCCCCCCTTTTTTTTTTTTGCTATTATCTCTCAAGTAATTTATTTATATGGAATGGAAATAAATAAATTACGACCACTGGCGGCAGGCTGGTCAGTTGGGCAGGTGGGGCAACACTCTCCGAAGCCTATCTCAGGGTTGGGACAGTCTCTCGGTTCTTCGCAGATTATGTTGTCGCAGAGGATAGTCCCAGTATCACAGACACAGATCCGGCAGCGCTCAGGTTTCCACACATCTTTATCACTATACCTCTGCCCATTCTGTACACAGCTGCCTGCCTCCTCTGTGCCAGAAGGGGAGGGAAAAAGCAGGGTAGGGTAGGGGGACAAAAGAGTCAAAAAAAGGGAAAAGGGAAAAAGAACCAGAAAGGAGGGGAGAGAGAAAGAAACAGGGTAATAACATCAGCATTGGTTATAGCAATCCTAAATAATGAACACAAAGGTGGCCGCTTCTGTTCCAGACTGGCTCCATTCAAGGACATCTCTCCATCTTCCCCAGATTTATGATATTTTGGCAGTGTTATCCAGAAGCAAAAAAAAAAGGAAGGGCTTAGTAATCTGCTCTCTCTCTCTCTCTCACACACACACACACACACACAAATACAAACACACAAAGACTCCTCAGTTCTCACAATGCTGGTTTGAGAGCCTTTACCAGGACACTACAGAACAGGGATGGGGAGCCTGTGGCCTTCTCAACAGCCCAAACTAGCATGGCCCCTTATGGTGATAAAGGATGATGGGAGTCGTAGTCCAACAATGTCTGCAGGGCACCTTCTTCTGCACCCCTGCTGTAGAATCATGGAGGTTTTCTTCCTATAAGATCTCTGGAGCTCCAGGCAGGACATAGCTTTACTTTGCTTGCTCCTCACAACAAACCCTTTGTGAGGTAATTCTCAGTGAGGTAAGGGCTAGGCAAGGGTCATAGCTACTCGCCCCCTAGTTGCCTCTCTGAGAGATGAACAGGATTTTGAACCTGGCTCTGCCACAGTGTGAAACACTCTGCCCGCTGTGCCACTCTGCCTGGATGCACAGCGTGTGGAACGCCACTTTCAGAGAGGGCACCTGGCAAATTCCAGGCCCAATTCTGCCTCGGCCTCAACTTCAGCGCATCTTTTAACAGTTGTCATACACACCTCTGTCCACAGCAGCAAGAATGCTGAATTGGCAGATGATGGGGATACAGAGGAGAACAAGCGTCCCAAACAAAAAAAATCTGGTGTTTAAAAAGTCTCCCGAAGGCCTACATGCTTGAGCTTGGTCTGGCACTACTAGCTCTGCAGCTTGAATTCTTGGGTGCACTTCTGGTGTGCAAGAAATTCAAACCGATCGGCCATTTCTTAGTCAGAACAGCGTTATACTAGGCCACATAGTCGATTCAGGTTTGTAACCTCTGGCCAAAATGGAAACTGCCGCCACCTGGCAATCGTGGGGAAGGGGTGATGCTAGAGACCCTTTTAAAATGCTTCTCATCTGGAACACAGACAGCAGAGTGCGCCTAAGAAAGAGCAACGACCCTATCTGACTCTCTGTATGTGCAGAAGAGGACTAAAGCTGTTTTTCCCATTAAAAAGGAGTGAGTGGTTTAGGTTTTTTTTAAGCAGCAGTAGACAAAATTGATGTGAGATCTTGAAGTTGGCAAGGGGGGGGTGCATTTTGGAACTGGAAGGCACGAGTAATAGATGGCAGAAACCCCGGTGCTCTAATCAGAAGAACTGACCATGTTTATCCCCCATTAGGAGACTTAAATAGAAATGATCGTGGTAGGGAAGAGGTCACTAGAAACCCATTAAAAATGTGCCCCTTTGGCACATGCTTTCCTCTTCCCCACCCCCTCACCCCACTTTCTAAAACACATCCTAGTGAAGGCTTGACAGCACCAGCAAAATGACAGGGGGCTTATTGTGCCCTGAGTAGGGGGAGCCTGCAGGAGCCCAAGGGACCCACGCACTCATGAATGGGGCTTTTCTCGAGTGCACACAGAGCGCGATTCACATGGCTCAGTTAGGGACTAGTTTAAATAAATATGGGCAGCATTTCAGCATCTGGAAGCTATTGCCGCCAAAGGCAAACAAATGTTCATAGAGCGGGAATTGAGCTCGCTCCCTGACCTGGGAGCACACTTTAAAAATAAAATAAAAGACATAAATACAAGACGAGACTCCCAAAAGGCGTGCTAAGGTAACAGTGAGTGAAAAAGCAACGCTATAGGCAAATCCACTCTCTCCTTAACTCATAAGAATGCAACAATAGGTCCTTTTTAAAAAGGTAAAGGGCGATATCTGCGCTCCCTTACTTGCCCACACACCTCTGAAATTCAACGCTTGACCTGAAATTGCTGGACACAATGAAGGGGAAATGGATGTGCTAAGCTGCACTGCTGTGCAGTCAGGCCAGCTGATCACAATTGTCTAAACTTTAAAGAGAAGCAAGGGTACCTGACTGACATAACACAGCACCTACCAAAGAGATGGTCAAGGACAACTCTCCACGGGGCACCCCAGCTCATGGCTGAACCCAGAACCCTTTCTAGGGGAGGCTGGTCATGGGGCAGAGCCTTACCAGTAATCTTCTCACGGAGGATGAATGGGAAAAAAACAGAACTGGTGACACCACCGCTGCTTGGCTGCCCCTACCAGGTACACGGCCCCACCTCCCGCAACTGGACCTTTCTGCTACTAACTTGGAAAACTCAACTGCAGAGATTTGCTCCACATGAGCAAAAAGGAATTCAACTCCTTGGCCTCCCCCTGTCTTTTCCCCCCTTCATTTTCTGGAAGCTCGAGCTGAGAAAAATAAAGCATGGCCTGTGATCCAAAGCAAGAGGCCTCCCTCCACCCTCACCCTGCTTTTCGAGCTCTATTCCCTGAAATTGATTTACAGTCTGGAGCATACGGAGGCAGGCGTGGAATTCGAGCAATAGGGAACCTACCCAAAGAAATGAGCTTTTTTTTAAAAAAGAAAAAAAGTTCTTTCTACCTAATAAAGTTTCCATCTTCCATCCCTGAATAATATCCCAGACAACAAAAGCTTTCTGGGGAGGGGGGAAGGGACAGCCCTGACTGTATGGTTGCTGTCTTTCGTAGTATCACATTTTGCGATTATTTTGTAATTCATTAGAATATATATATATTCTAATATATACCGTATTTTTCGCTCTATAACACGCACCCGACCATAACATGCACGTAGTTTTTAGAGGAGGAAAATCCGTAGGCATGCCACCCGTAGGCATTTCCTCCATAACTCGCACAGACATTTCCCCTTACTTTCTAGGAGGAAAAAAGTGAGTGTTATGGTGCAAAAAATACGGCATATGCAATGTGAATGGGGGGAGCAGGGAAAGGACATTGCCACAAGGAAGAAACTACTGTATCTTCCACCACCTAATTTAAGAGAAACCATTTTTTCCCTGGGTTTAAATTTTGCATGCATGTGCTGTTCATGCATATATTGGGGGGGGAGGTAGGAGAGGGGGAGAGAGATGGAGAGAACAGAGCAAACTAGACTGATGTGTCTCTGGAATGCTTTGCACCCTTCAGGTGGCCTCTTGGGTTGGGGGGGAATTTTCCCTTCTGCTCCTTTCAACAACAACAAAAAAATCTGTTAGCTATCAAATTCCCTGGGATCTCCATCTGCACCTTACTCCACATCCCTAACTGAATTGGGGGAGGGAGCAAAAGGGGAGGACAGATTTTTTCTGCACAAAGATCTTTCTTTGTAAAAAAAGGAAAAAAGGGGGGGAGAAGGCAAAGAGTCTTGCTTGTCTAACCCCAATGTTCTCTTTTGTCTGGATCCCCCTTTGAACCCATCGCCACCACATTCAGTTAACTCTTTCGCGGCCGCCACAGGCAGAAAGTGCATTTCCACCACTTTCGGGTGAGCTCTGTCTTTCTGACTTAGGGGGGTTGTGGGGAATGGAGTCCTGGGTGGAATATAATGGTTTGGCCGGCTCTTTAAGTAACCTTATCCCCCACGTCACCCCTCTCCCAGAAAGGCCAATGGCAGAAGAAATGGGGAAACCCTGGGATTGTGGTAAGTGGAGCTCTCTTCTCAACCAAGCAGGCACCACAGTGCAGCCTCCCCCTCAACAAGCATATCAGTATCTCATACCAAAGGAGATGATGGAGAGAAGCTTTTTATGGGAAGGAAAGAATCTGGTGAGCAAAGGAGAGAAATCCAAGCACAGGGAGGCCAACTCGGAACAGAAAGTTTAATTGTGCAAACCCTCAAACTCTCGGTCTTTGCTCCAGATCTTTCTTTTTAAACACCTCTTCCCTCCCTGTTATTTCCCCACCTCATCCGGATAGGTTTTCTTTTCGCCCTCTTTCAGAAGGAGGAGGAGGAGCAGCAGCAGGAGAAGAAGAAGATGGAGAAGAAGAACGGTGCAACTTACGTATATCCTCATCCTGACATTTGACAACTGCTAATAAAATGACTTGCGTGGCTGCTAGGAGCACTAGAGTCCTTGAATCCACAAAGCTGAACATGTCTAAATGTTAGACATGCAGGACCTTTGCGGGGAGGAGGGAGGTGGTGGTGGTGGTGGTGGAGGAGGAGGAAAAGGTGGTGATGGTAGTTCCCCCAGTGGCTACCGAGCCTTCATGCAGCCGATCCTCCCTTTTCTTTGGAAACAGCAGGAGAATCCAAAGTCCCCCCCGGAGGCCCGGCAGAAAGTCTCTCTGCTGCTGCCGTCGTGTGCTCCGGGCTGAGGCACCGCGGCTTTATGCTCCCCTCTGCCTTCTAGCAGCCAGCGTATATGCCCAGGTCCCCGTCCCCCCCCCCTTGCCCCCCAGCTGAGCTGTAACCTGAGCCCCGAGCCTTGTCCCCGACGGTAGAGACCCCTCCCCTCCTGGCCCATCTCAAGTGCAGCAGGAGCCCTGCAAGCCAAAACGGGTGGCAACCGGGTGAGAGGGAGGGAGGGGTCTGTGGCGCCTTCCCCCCGCCCTCGAAACACCCATCTCGATACCTCGACGGCGGGCGGGCCCGAAGTGAATCAGTCCCGCCGCCGTGGGACTGCAAGTTGCAGAGCGCTCCCGGGTCGCTCCGCTTCTCCACGCGCAAGAGCCGGCTGCTTCTGGACTTTCGTCTACTGCGTTAAGCTCCTTTCCCTCCGCCTGGGAAGAAGCAGGGGCCAGGATGAGTCCCCACGGGGTGGGGAGGGGGGGTCCGGGGAAAAGCCACGCAAACGGAGCCAGGATCAAGAGGGGCCTCGGGGAACATCGGCGGCTGCGCCTCCGCACCTGCTCCAGAGTTTGCAGCCGGTCCGGTTTCGCTTCGAATTCTCCCAGACGGCGCAGCTCCCCGGCTTTTCCGCCAACGAGGAGTGCGGGGAACACCTGCCGCCTTCGTGGTCTAGGTTTTCTAACGCCTAACTACACAAATACACCCCGTTTTCCAGCCCACCCACCCCCAGTGGTTTCACCCCCAGCTTCCAATTGCACCGTTGCTCTCTTCGCTCTCAGAATTCGGAGCTAATTCGCGCTATTTCCTTTTCCTCGCTTCGCTTTGCAAACTATACGGATCCAGTTCCAACCCTCTCCTCCTTTCCATCGACCCTTCCCACTCTGCCTTTCTCGGGATTTTTTTTTTTTTAATATATATATAAACACACACACACACACTCTCTCTCTCTCTCTCTCTCTCTCTGTGCATGGTGGCTTTCTGTCCTAAAGGTGTGAGATCGCTTTTAAAGATCAGGTCCCGGCGCAAAGATCCCGGGACAACTCTTCCCACCAGAAGCAGGAATTCGGCTTGCAGACAACGCATTGCAGCGCCGCTACTGCATGGCGACGGGTGGAAGAGTTGTGCCTCTGGCAACGAACCCTAGGCCAGACAGGCGGATACAGTGTATAATTCTTATTATTATCGTTGTTGCTGCTGTTAAGGCAGCAGGGCAGGTTGCAAGCAATTTAAAAATCAGGGTTAAAACAAATCACAGTCATGGAAATAGGGTGGCTTACTCCCTTAAGACTACAGGATCTGCCTCCATTCATTCTCTTCCCCCGCTCTTTAAAAGTTAAAAGTTTGATGGCAATCCTCTTGAGATCATTGGAACGGACACAGGATTCCGCCGTTAAAGCGCAACGCTAGACAAGGGGCTTCGTGCCTTGATTCCGGCGTCCGATTGTTGATCGATTCCCCAGCCCAGCCCGCCTCTTCCTTCTTTTCCCCCGCCCCGGTACTCGAATCTCCTGGGGCAGGTAAAAGGAGGAGAGGTGTGCAAGTCTGGAGGGTGGAGGAGGAAAAGACGGCGCAAAAGCACGCGCCACACCCCTATGCATGGGTTTACTCGGAAGTAAGTCCCTCTGAGAAAGGGGCTTACTCTCGAGGAAGCCCGCGCAGGATCGCACCAGCCCTGCAAGTGCGTACTTAAGAAGCGTGCGTCGCGCCCCGCTTTCGGTGGCGTCGCCGCGCAAATGCCCTAACGGGGCGCAGCCGCCAAGGGAAGCTTTGTTTCCCCAAAGCGAGCCCGGAATCCCCTTGCGCACGTGGCTGGCGCGTAGGGATCCAATGAGAGCGCTCCAAAAGAGACCCGTCTTTGCGGATGGAGGGGAGATTCCCTCGTTAGGAAATGCTGAGTGAATAGGTCAGTGGTTTTCAGCCAGTGTGCCGTGGTATCCTGGGGTGCCTTGAATGGTGGGCATGGGTGCCACGGGCAACACTGGCCTCTGTCCCTCTTTCCTCCCATCCTTCCCCTGATGCCCTCTGCTGTCTCTGCCTCCCAAAGGCTTGCACAGCTGTTAGATGCTGCCCCCCTGGCTACAAGCTCCCCAGGCAAATGGTGCCCCATAGGGTAGTGTGAGGAGGCCCAGGGGATTCCCAAGGAGAGGGGATAAAGGAGGCTGAAGGAACACTCCACTGAGGGTGGAGGTGGGGGGCTGCCAGCTCTGCAGACAAGGGGTGACATAACTGGGCTCCTGAGCCCCACAGGGGTGCCGCAGGAAGAATGTACAGTGGTACCTTGGGTTAAGAACTGCCCAGGCTTGCACCCAGCAAAGGTTACTTTGGTGCTGCTGCTAATGCTGTGGTTTGACTTAACCCCCAGAGGCACGCTCCATTGCCTCTCTAGACAGATGGATGCCAACAACCTATTCCAAAGGTTTTCAACCTTTTTGAGTCCACGGCTTCCTTGACCAACTACAGTGGTACCTCGGGTTACATACGCTTCAGGTTTCAGACTCCGCTAACCCAGAAATAGTACCTCGGGTTAAGAACTTTGCTTCAGGATGAGAACAGAAATCGTGCTCCGGCGGCGCAGCGGCAGCGGAAGGCCCCATTAGTTAAAGTGGTACCTCAGGTTAAGAACAGTTTCAGGATAAGAATGGACCTCCGGAACGAATTAAGTTCTTAACCCGAGATACCACTGTAATGTCTATGAATTACAAAAATGACATGGTACAATTCCCATAAAGATGCCACCAGACACAGGTTCATGATGGTTAGTGATTCCACAGACACTCTTAATGTGGTAATGATAATAACAAACTCATTCTCGGAGGGCTTATCCTAATGTAGCCAAAGCAGCGGCACAAGAGGGCAGTGACAGCAGACTTGGGGGAACCCCAAGCTTTGCAAAAAGAACAGAACAACTTTGTGGAGGGACTCTAAAGAAGGGAGAGAACCAAAAACAACCCAGCGGGCACACAGAGTGCTGTCTTAACTGTTGAGAGCATGGAGGACGGTGTATAATAAGCAGCGCTTTTCTTCTAGAATAAAAAGTGCCCAGAAAAAATTACTTTCAAATTGTTATGTACTGAAGTTCTCACCCTGGGCCAGCAGGGGGATACTGTACATAGTTTTCACTCAGGTCCACATATGCAAATAAGGGATCGAAAGTGACGTTCAGTGATTGGATAGTTACAGAAAATGGTTACTGTTGCGTTCTAGTGGAGCTCTATATAAGCAGGCTGGCTGAACCCTTCAGTTCAGTTCTTTTCTGGCCTGTGAATAAACAAGAGCTGTTTGAAGAATCGCTGTGTCGTTTGATATGTTCACCCACAACTTAACACAAATTGTCAATGCTATGCCCACTATGCCCAGGGAGTGGGGAGGTCTTGCCTATCACATCTTTTTGGCAAGTGTAAAACACTAGCAGCACTAAGCCAACTAGGTCATACAGCAGGCCCACTGAACTTAATGGATTTAATTCCACTGATTTTAATAGGTCTACTCTGTGACTAACACTGGAAATCACCTAATGCATTTATTTTGATCTAGCAGCAGAATACACTGTTCCATTATTCTTACAGGCCAAAGGGACACTTTCAACCCAGAAAAAAAAGATGGTTTCATGCCTATCAGCACCACAGCACTCAGCAATGTGCAAATAATCCCATATATGCTGATCAGATCAAAATAATAGCCAGTCCACTGCTGCCTAGAAGCTGTGCTGTTTAACCTGGAAGTCGTGCTCCCTAATATGCAATGTACTGTTGCTGGCTGTGGGCTTGTTCCATTGTTTTGGAAGCACACTCTGCACATGCCCAGAAGCGCTCTCCCTTACACATAACTACAAATTCCAGAGCAGAGTCCAGAATTAATGGGTGGTTCCAGAGGTGGTGAGCACAGCCTGATATTAAGCTGCAGACTCATGAAATCAAAATTTCTGATACCTGTGGTGGGGGCTGCCAGATTGGATACAACAGGGCTGAGCAGTTCATTATGGATCCAGGGGCATGTTGCTGTTGTTTAGTCATTTAGTCATGTCCGACTCTTCGTGACCCCATGGACCAGAGCACGCCAGGCACTTCTGTCTTCCACTGCCTCCCGCAGCTTAGTCAAACTCATGCTGGTAGCTTCGAGAACACTGTCCAACCACCTCGTCCTCTGTCGTCCCCTTCTTCTTGTGCCCTCCATCTTTCCCAACATCAGGGTCTTTTCCAGCGAGTCTTCTCTTCTCATGAGGTGGCCAAAGTATTGGAGCCTCAGCTTCAGGATCCAGTGAGCACTCAGGGCTGATTTCCTTCAGAATGGAGAGGTTTGATCTTCTTGCAGTCCATGGGACTCTCAAGAGTCTCCTCCAGCACCATAATTCAAAAGCATCAATTCTTCGGCGATCAGCCTTCTTTACGGTCCAGCTCTCACTTCCATACATCACTACTTGGAAAACCATAGCTTTAACTATACGGACCTTTGTTGGCAAGGTGATGTCTCTGCACAAAAATTTGCATCTGGCTTGTGGCCCTCAAGAGATTGCATAGAAAGGAATGCAGCTCCGAGGCTGGGACAGATTCCCTACCCCTGACCTAAAGTGTATAGCTTTTTTAAAAAAGGCTGGGGCAGAAAAAATAATAATAACAGCTTTGCTCCTTGTTTTCTAGCAACTGACCTAAAAACAAGCTAACAAAACAAACCAGGCCATTTTTTCTCTGGCGAGTTGGCAGACATGGGCCCCTGTCCAGAACTCACTGAGACATGCCCTCTTGCCAAGTTCAGCTTTCTCAGATTGACCTGAGTCAATCTCTGCTATCAGCGTGTGCGTGTTGGCACAGGGCTTGTCCGCACCTGAATCTAACGTGCGCTCGAAGTAGTTTGCATTCAAATCGGATGGGTTGTGGGGAAACGCATCAAACAGCAGCACACCACAAGAAACTCCGGGATAGATATGGATGGTGGCTTAATGTCATGTATATTCAGCATCAAACACCAGGGGTGGGAGCACACTGGAGCCAAAGTTAAAAGGTATTTATTTAGTTTCCGACCCTCTCTCACAGCGTCGGAAGTGAGCAA